AGAGTCAAGAGACTCGGATTTAGTTAAGATTTCGAGATGGTGAGAACTTTTCCAAGAACTTACTATTATATTAAGAATTTGAATTTTTTTTTATTAGGATTTATGAATAAAAATTATAATTTTTTTTTTCCTAAACAATCGTTAAAATTAAAATTTGTAGAAAAAGATCCAAATTTGATAACACCAATGTAATGAAGATGTTATCTTTGTATCTAATCAATTGAAAAATGAAGTTCAGTTCACTTTAAACACTTGCGATGACACGTAGAAAATATTAATTTTATCTTTTTTTTGACATCAGCATCGCTATTTTCAACCAGCTGCTGGACATGGACATGGTGGACATGTTCCCGGTGGAGTTCCTGGTGGAGTTGCTGGCGGAGTTGCTGGTGGAGTTGCCGGCGGAGTTGCTGGTGGAGTTGCCGGTGGAGTTGCCGGCGGAGTTGCCGGCGGAGTTGCTGGTGGAGTTGCTGGTGGAGTTGCTGGCGGAGTTGCCGGTGGAGTTGCTGGCGGAGTTGCTGGTGGAGTTGCTGGCGGAGTTGCTGGGGGAGTTGCCGATGGAGTTGCTGGCGGAGTTGCCGGTGGAGGTGCCGGTGTAGGTGCTGGTGTAGGTGGTACTGGTCCTTGTTGCAAAAAACAATTATAACACAAAAACTTTACTTTAAATTATTGTTTTTAATTGCAAAAGAATTTAATAAACAAAATTATTGCTTCAGAATAAAAGTTACTTATTTAGATTAGGAATAGATATTCAAATGTTAATTATCTTTTCTTTAAAACAAAATATAAATTTAAGCCACCTGGTGTTGTTGTTTCACATAATATTGATGTTGGTCTCTTTCTGCAATATGCTGATGAAGACGATAATACTTTTGAATTGTGCACTTCTTCTTCTCCAAATGCTTTAGGTTCACTGATAGTCGCATTGCGACTAGAAACTGTTTAAATGTATTAAGATTTTAAAATTTCTTAATGATTAGAACAAGTAAACTTCCAACCTTTTTCAAAAACGTCCCATAGTTTTTCCATTAATTCAACAAAACCTTCAACTTCATCTTTCTGTGAATCTTTATCTTCTTCGACAGCTAATGCAGTGACACAAATGACACTGATAAAAATTGCGAATTTCCACATGTTCTTTTATAACACTTCACTCAGAAAAATATGCTTTATAAACTCCAAGATGCATCTGAACCATTTCAAAATGTGATCTCAGTTAAATACTAAAATTTCATAAGCCAAATAAGATTCTTCGAGATATCATTGACCGCTAAACACTTAGGAACACGCAAAAATTCATTAAGAACGGGTTTTTCTTCTCACGTATTAGTCCTTAATGTTGTAGAAATATTTGTGTATTTAGAAGACATCAAAAAAGCAATGCAAATGAACTTTTGAACACGACTATAAGAGTCTTATAAGTCATAAGCATTGTAACAAATTTAAAATATTTTCAGATAATTGTTTTACTTTTTGATAAATTTAAGATAAACAGTCAATGAAATTCTACAACATCATTTTTCAATTCAATTAATTTGCACCAAAAAACTCTGAAATTTATAAAAATGTTTCATACACATAAATTTATAAAGTTGGCAATGTATACGTGCATGTAGAAACCGATGCAGTTTTAGGCATTTTGAATCTGGTAGATGTCATTATTATTTTATTAAATCTTGCAAAACTGGTCTACATCTTACGAAAATTATTTTAAAGAATATTTTCAAATTTGAATCGTGAATTGATTTTAACTTGGGACATATCTTGAAATACTTTAAAATAAATGTTATCTATATAATCAACTAACAAATGAAAATTAGTTCACTTTAAACACTTGCAGCGATCACTCGCAACTGGAAAATATTTATTTTATAATTTTTAAGACACAAGCATCGCCATTTTCATGTTATACATGGACATGGTGGACACGATGATGAAACAGTTGCTGGTACAAGTACTGTTGGTGGTACAGGTACTGGTACAGTTGGTGGTACAGGTACTGGTACAGTTGGTGGTACAGGGACTGGTACAGTTGGTGGTACAGGTACTGGTGCTACAGTCATTGGTGGAAGTCCTGGTATTGATGGTACTGTTCCTATTTGTGGAAAACAAATATAACACAAAAACTTTATTTCTAATTGATTGATTTTACATATAAGTATGCAAAAGAATTTATTAAACAAATAGATTGCTTCAGCATAAAAGTCACGGAAATACAAAACAAACATGAGATCAATTGCTGCAAGTAAATGGCAGCTTACTTATTTAAATTAGGAATATTCAAATGTTAATTATTTTTTCTTTAAAACAAAATATAAATTGAATCCACCTGGTGTTGTTGTTTCACATAATATTGATGTTGGTCTCTTTCTGCAATATGCTGATGAAGACGATAATACTTTTGAATTGTGCACTTCTTCTTCTCCAAATGCTTTAGGTTCACTGATAGTCGCATTGCGACTAGAAACTGTGTAAATGTATTAAGATTTTAAAATTTCTCAATGATTAGAACAAGTAAACTTCCAACCTCTTTCAAAAACGTCCCATAGTTTTTCCATTAATTCAACAAAACGTTCTACTTCATCTTTCTGTGAATCTTTATCTTCTTCGACAGCTAATGCAGTTACACAAATGACACTGATAAAAATTGCGACTTTCCACATGTTCTTTTATAACACTTCACTCAAAAAAATATGCTTTATAAACTTCAATATGCAACTGAACCATTTCAAAATGTGATCTCAGTTAAATACTAAAATTTCACAAGCCAAATAAGATTCTTAAAGATATCATTGACCCCTAAATACTCAGGAGCCTGCACAACTTCATTCAGAACGGGTTTTTCTTTTCACATATTAGTCCTTAATGTTTTTAAAATATTTGTGTATTTAGAGGACATCAGAAAAGCAATATGAAATGAACTTTTGGACACGACAATAAGTCATAAGCAAGTGTAACAAGTTTAAAATATTTTTAAGATAATTGTTATACTTTTTGATAAATTTTAGATAAACAGTCAATAAAATTGTACAACATCATTTTTCAATTCAATTAATTTGCACCAAAAACCTCTGAAATTTATAAAAATGTTTCATACACATAAATTTATAAAGTTGGCAATGTATACGTGCATGCAGAAATCGCTGCAATTTTAGGCATTTTGAATCTGGTAGATATCATTATTATTCTTTTAAAGCTTGCAAAACTGGTCTGCATTTTACGGGAATTATTTTAAAGAATCTTTTCAAATTTGAATCCTGAATTGATTTTATGTTGGGACAGTTCTTAAGATACTTTTACATAAATGTGATTCCGATCGGAATGGTTTGTTTAAACATAAAATAGCATGTATATATATATAGACATAATATATATTTTTCATGTTATGTAAATACTTCATTCCACAAAGTGTCATTTCGGGTTTCTTGTAATTATCATTTTGAATAACCTTTCAAAGAAATATTCTCATATTTGTCATCACTAAATTAAATAAATTAAAATATAAAATGTCAGATCTATCTGTATGACTGACTCATATTTAAATAATAACGATTGTGAATTAATAAAATGTATTCAAAATCGTAAAATCTTAAAGTTCAAATATTTTCAACTCTCTTCCCCCACGAGACAAACATAAGTTAATTTTCGTTTATCAAGTCATTAACGTGAGATGATAGTTTCCCTTAATTTTTCATCTTTTGAGAACACACGAGTCGAAAATTATTAAATGTAACTTAATTAACATCAATTTTGATGATACCGAAATGTGCCAGATTTAACGCAATCAACTGATAATTTTCATCATTATATTCAATTTCAAAGGTTGATGAAAAGACATTTAACAACAATCAACGGAACTTAATTAAAAGTTCAAAATAAGACGAATAATATAAAAGCTAATTGAATTCTCGTGTATAAAACATACGACCTGAATTTCTCTGCAACGAAACTTTTGTTTTCTTCCAGACCATTTGATTTTGAGGCGTGAGTCATCCATCCATGTCCCATTGGCCTAGTGAGGGTCAACAAGTGCATGAAAAGTTAAATACAGACATAAAGACAAATACGCTCAATTAGCCATCAATTCCTGATTAATAAATAAGTACCCAAAAATATTCAAATGAATGGGTTAGAAAACAAAAGAAAACAAGAACTAATTCGATAAGTAGCTTAATGTACATAAATATCTACTACTCTAAGCGTATTGTTTTAACAAGCTGACGCTGAAATTTCCAAAAACCTGTTAATTCTACATAAGAAGTCATAACATACAACATCATTATACTTATGAGTGTTAATTGAGAAAGCTCAAATATCCAATTAAGATATAAAAAGTGAAAATCAACAAGTTTTTAAGAAAATAAAAGTGAGTCACTTAACAAAATTTAATTAATTAGATATCGGCATTTCAGAAGAACAATAGGGAAGCTCATCATGGCTAATGCATAGCAAATTACTTCCTTTTAATGTCCATTTAAATAAATGTGTTGAGCTTCATTGGAGAATGAAAAAATATTTAAGTGAAACGTGTTGAATATCTGAAACCATGAAATTTGATTTCGAATGTTCAGTACATGAGATACAAGCTTAAGATACTTAGACATTTAATAGGTTTAAACATTTTTTGTGACTACAAAAACTTTCATGATGAAGTTGTAGATGTACTGACCTATGTCACTAATCAACACCATTCAAGAGACGAACTTCATTGTTGCAACTCTCTACATCTAAATTAACAATCAAGTTTTGAAACACTGCACATAAGTTCCGTTCAGGGTTGTATTGCTGTTAAAGTTTTGTATGTACAACAGCCAACCTGCGGAATCACATGCAGTGAATTTTAAAATCAAAAATATATCAAACATTCTAACAGCATTTTCTCTGCAAAGCTTTTTATGCAATGCAATCAGAAAGCGGTTCAAAGTTTCATGCTAAAATTAAGGCCGTCATAATCAAATCTTCATTGTTGAGTCAACAAAAAGATAAAAAAGAAACTCTCGGCTGTTACTGGCAAACGTTACAACGATCAAACAATTTTTTTTTTATTTTTGAGTGAGATTATTTGTTTATCTTCAATCTTCTGCTTTTGATGCGGATAAATTTCTCTTAACCTTCACGATAGACGTTTCTCAGCATCTCGTCTTCTGAGGTGAGTAAAAAGAAGCATAAAACTTTCTCTGGTTACGTTTTTGTTTTTTGATTATTCTCGAAACTTAATTTGAATTTTGTTAGATAATTATCTAAAGATATTTTTGTAATAACTTTCTTGCACTCATTTACATTTAATTCATTGAGTAACCGTTGATCGATGATAAACACAAATATGCGAAAATTTATAGACGACAGAAGTCTGAAAACGTTGCATAAGGAATTAATTTAAAACAAACAACAAGAAGAATTTTTTACGACTAAACCTATATGTAGTAACGAAATAATCAAGCGAATAATATTTCGAAACACGTTTTAAATCGTCGTAGAAACACGGAATCAAAGGTGCCGGAAGAAAAGAAGAAACTTTTGGAAGAAGATAAAAAGTTATTGGAATGATTACCGCAACTTTTCATATTTGGTTCCGTTAATTGTGTTGAAATTGAAAAAGTTAAATCGAGAAAAATTTACGAGAAAGTAAATTATTTATTCTGTATGTGGTTTGGTTGCAGTTAGCATGGATTTCAAGCAAATAAACGAAATAGTCGCAAGTCACGGGTCAATGACCTGGTCGTGTTTATATGTCACTGAGGTATCAAAATATCTCTCAGGCTTTTTCGCTTTCACGTTCATTTTTTTACAAGACTGCGTTTGAAGAGCTCTTCAAATATTAATTTATTCAGATCTCGTTGGAAACTTTTTTCTTCTCGTTGCCATTTACAGTTGAAAAATACTTGAAAGAAGATGATTCGACATCATAAAAATTTTGTCTTCATTTTCCTGTTAAGTTTAAGTCAACAGAATTTTAATGAAAAGAAAAAATATTTCGTCACAGCAGAGAACCTTATTGAAATAGAAGAAAATTGAGATCGTAAATACTTTCAAACGATACCTACGAATAAGAGATCAAATAGCTTTGCTTTTTCATACGGGCCAATGACTTCTGTAAAGTAATTTAATTGAGCGTATTTTTGATGAACAAGAACTTTACTCCAATTAAGATTAACAATAACGGAACAAATTAAAAAGATTTCTTTCATTTGACTACTTAGAAGTTTTTTGAAGCGAAAATTTTACTTACCGTTGCACATTTTTCAAATATTTCATTGAGCTGAGTAGGAAGATAATAAAAAGAAGAAAATATTGTTAAATCGACAAAAGATTTCGTTTTGAATCAATCTAAATTCAGCCTATTTAAAAGAATCCCCAAAGCAAAAAGGATCAGAAAGCAGCTTTTCGTTCGGATTCTTAATGAGAATTCTTTTAACTCCTTTCTTTTCAACTCCCAAATATATTCACAGAATAATTCTTTGAATTGCAAATTCTTGCTGAATTTGCTTTCAAAATGTCGATGTTAAAAATAAAATTGATACTTAGCTTAAGTAATGCTTAAGGTAATCATGAAATCCTTTTTTTAAGTATTTTTTGTTCACATTGTATGAATTATTTATTTCGGATTCACTCGGATTCAGCATGAGAATTCCTGCTTATGTTGCACGTCCCAAGAGAAACCGAAGAGTTGCAACTTTTCATTTCCAATTAAATCTTGGTAGAATCACGCAATCAACATTTGATTTAAGCGTGAACTAATCTCCAAGGAAGACAATTTTTATTCTCTACAGTTAACACGCTTCAGAATTTAGAATGTTAATCACGTTTAATGTTCTTTTAAATATTTTCTTTTCAATGCTCAAACATAAAATCTTGAAAAGCTTTCTTCATTCTTCTTCCTTTTTTCCTACCTTTTGCATAAGAATGAAATCACCATTGATGTGTAGAGAAGAAAGCTTCTTCAGATAGTTCTTTAAGAATCATCGTGAAAGAAAATGAAAAGAGTTTTTAATAATTCATTGCATAATAATTTCTTCTTTTAATGTTGCGATATTTTCTCATCTTCTAGCTGAGAATGTGCTTTGCATATGAAATCAGATAGGAATTTCTTTCTTCACTCTACAGCATTGAAATACTTAAGAAATGATTTCGCTATAATGATTTTTTAATACATTATAAATGCGATCATAAAAGAAGGAAAGGTTGAAGTTCTTGAAGATATCTCCATTGAATCAAACACAAGGATTGAAATCTTTTATATTGAAAGACGTCTGGGACGCTCTGAATGACTTGCGTGTCCCATTTTCCACCAACTTTAACATTCATCCATAAATAATTTATTGATCTGCATGGAATTTATAAAAAGTAAAAATGTAGGTGAAGTGGCTCATTTACAACAAGAAAAGAAAGTTTTTTGTTTCGCTTCTCTTTCTCGAAATATTCGTTTTCATTTTATTGTCTGCCCAAATATTATTAAAAGACCGAAAAAAAAAGAGTCACTGAGAAGGAAGAGAAAGAGAAGAAATTGCTTTTGATGTGCCAAGAATTTTAATGCAGACACGAAGAAAGACAAAAGAAAGAGAAAGAATGGAGAAAATTTTAATGAAATTAAGAAACTAAATATGTTTGTGAATCAGTGGAACTTACAAAAAAAATGTGTGTGCGAGAGGCCGTTGGTCTTCGAGCAGAGTAAGCAAAGTGTTTATACACTCACTCACTCATCACTGCTTTTACTTCTTTCATTTCATTTTGAAGCAAGTGTCTGAACAGTACGGGTTGTGATCTGTTATCTACTGTCAGCTTAAAGCTCGCAGCGTTCTCTCGTAATCTGACTTTATATTTCAACAGAAAATAAACCAAGTGAAAATATTAAATTGAAAAGCGAGAAAAATCTCGTATGTGGGAAGAAACGTCATTTTCCAAAGTGTTAACGACGACACTACCAGAATATTATTTTCCGTGTTTGCCGGTGCTGTGGTGTCAGCTTTTCTTGTTGACTTAGAAAGCACTGTTGTAGTGACGCAAACTATTTATCGTTGAAATTTCTTCTCTTGCACACTTCCAGTGCAGTTAAAAAATCCTTGAAACCGAATACTTGCAGTTGAGTGATTTTAAATTGAATTTTTCTCATCTTACCGATAGACAGATAGTTAAGTTCGAAGTTTTCTTCGTAAACGAAAGAAAGAGAATTTAGTACAAAAAAAAATAGTTGCGATTGAGATAAATTTATGGAAATTAGTGGAAGAGTTACATTTATGGATGGAGGGACTTAAACGGAATTGAGATAATTTAGTCCCAGCTGAATTAATATTAAGAGTAACTCGAAAAGAAACTGAAACATCCAGCAAATGCACATGAATAGTGGGATTAAAAAAAGTTTTACAGCATATTTAGAATAACATCAAATTGCAACTTCGAGTTGAATGTTTATCAACGTTATTCATCGTTCTTTGTACCCTTATGTTGCATGTGTAGAATATAAAATAAATTGTTCCAGTGATTTGTTTCATAGAACGTGAAAGAACTGAATTCAGTGGATAAAAATTTTACTCGTCCAATTTTTATTCAAATCGGAAAGGAAAAATAAATTTCCTTGTTTGAATAATCACAAGGTTGGCGTTAGACTTGCAAATTCCATCGTTTCAGAGGAGTTTAAAAAGTGAAATACAAACAAAATAAGCGAATTAAAATTATTTGCATTTACGATCTAGACATTTACTAAAATATCAATAATCTGCCATCAGTGATGCTGCTTTCGAGCGATGCCACTGAGACTGCGACTCCAACTAAATCCAATGCTTTCAATGCAAACTAAGGAATAACAGATAAAGCTTTAAACAAAACAGAAAAGAAACTCTGCATACAAAACTCAATTAATTTCACAAATAAACTCAGAAAGCTTTTCCTACTTTTGAATGGCTTTTTTTTTGGTTTCCAATAAATTGAATCTGCTGAGGAAAGTTTTCGCGTCTATCTCGTACTCTGTGAAATTATTTCATTTGTTTTACAATTTCAAAGTGAATTTATGAACGAAGAGATTAAAAGCTTATGCAGAAGAAATTATAAAATAAAATATAAATTCAAACACACACACACACACACACGGATATTAACCAATTCAATTATGACATTAAGGTCATTGGTGCGATTTTTAGTCGGTTTCATCTTGGTTTATCAGCTGCCAGCCTATGTCAGCTGTAAATCGGTGAAAATTTCAAGAAATGAAATCGAGAACAGTGAGAGTAAAATGAATCATGAACAGTTTAATGATGAAAGCAATCAACCCTTAAGCTCAACATTAAACAAACTTAAAGTGGACCTTATTGAAGCATCAATCAACCACACAAACACCACTCTAACTTCATTGAATGAAGCTGACAGCGAACCCTCGACGCATATGTGAGTGACAGAATGTTTTTCATCATTTTCTTTCTTATTCTCCCACCCCCATCTCGTGTTCACGTAAATGTGTACATCTGTTTGGATGAGGGAAATTTTGGCGTGGTTAATGAAATACTTAAATACCAAAGATTTGAGAAATCCGATCATTACAAATCAGAGACTGTTTGAAAGCAAAGTTACTTACTTACTTACTTATCACCCTTATGATTTCAGCCTAAAAGCACATTGAAAATTGTTTTATTTTTCTTTTAATTGGAATCTTCTTGCTAGAGCAAGAATGAGAATCTTAATTAAAAAATTAATTTGGAAAAGTTTGGTTTCTGTGTAAAAATCGTTTCCGCATGAGAAAATGGGAAAACATTTGTTTTATTGACGATAAGTATCGAGAAGAATTTCGGATATAATTACAGAATGATGGTTACGATGGTGAATTGAGAAATTTCATAAATTTATGAAAAGCTTTTTCCTACTTTCTGTCAATTATTGTTAAATTCTTTTGAGATTTTGAAGATAAAGTTTGATTAGTTGAAAATTCTTCAATCTCACTGTTACCGAGTTGAGGTAGTTTTGCAAATTAAATTATTTGAAAAAGTGAAGGAACAAATAATTTAAAGAAATTTTGAAACTTCTCCAGAAATCTGTTGAATAAATCGTCGTGATTTCCCTTAATTTGACCTCGTATCCGCCATTATGATTATCAGGTCTAATTTGTTTATTAATTCATTTTTAATGAATACGGTTTATGTCCCGAAGCAAATGACACAAATTGATTTCACTCACAAAAGTTTTCATCCGAGGAAAAAGAATTTTTGTTCCCACACACAATTACGACGACAAAAACGACACAAGAAAAAAAATTCATTTTTTGGTCGACTTTGAGCTGGAAAATCTCCAACAATGCCCTTGAAACCGTTTTTGTGATGTCTGCAATTTTAGTCTCGTTTTTGTTCCTTCCTTCTAATTGTTTTTCTATTGACAAGCATCGTATCGTTAGAACATCAATTGCCCATTTTCTATCCATGACTTATCAACGTTTGAGCAAAAAAAGAATAAGAAAAAAAAAAGTTTCAAATGATTTAATCGACATTTCCGAAAGAAGGAAGAAAAAAACAGAAACAAGCACTCAAGAAGGTCATTCATCAAATAATTCTTTCATCAGACAACAACTCTTATTAACTAGCACTTTGAGCATTGACATCCAACCGCCGTCCAATATTGTTTTAATCTAAAACCTTTTTCTTGCCTCGCTTCCTTTCCTTGCTTTTGAAGAAAGTGGCGATAAAAAAAAAGCTGGAAGGAAAAGCCTGAGAGTTTTTTCGCCAATGTATAAAGTTTCTAATCAATCTCATAAAAAAAGGTTCATTTTTCAAATACAATAAATGCCTCATCATTACATTGACAGTCGGGTGCGAGATGAAAGCGTGAGGGTTTGCGAGGGAGGCACGACGATGGATGATGCGCATGAAAATATGTTTCATTGTAAATAACGAGGAAACAATCGATATCAATGATAATACCAGTAATTCTTCTTCAAAGCTAGTCTTCCCTCTTATGATACCCAGTCTGAAAGTTTCGCATAACTTTAACACCGATTAAGAATGTTTTAAATATTTTTCCACAAAAAAAGTTTTTTTCCTTCTCCGAATTCATCCAAAGAATCTTCCCATTAAGTTCATTCACTCACTGGGCTTGAAAAATTCATTCAACGATGGAATTTCTTCGAAAAAATATAAACGAATCTTGTCAGCAACAAAATTTTCCGCACTTCACAAAAAGAACGAAAAAGAAAAGATGAATTTTTCCGAATTTTCTTCTTTTCTTTTCCTCGCATATCTGTCTTTCCTTTCATTCAACAATACAAAGCTTTAATGGCTTTTGAAAATTGTCCTAAATCTCGGTGTTATTGATACATTTGAACGATGAAATAAACTTGAGCGAGTGAGAAAGAGAGATGGATTCGATTTTCGGTCAGATGATTTTCTTTTTATCGCTTCAAGCGGAAATCAATCAAATCATAGATATCATAGCTGAAATTTATTATTAAATTGAATGATTGAAGTTTCAAAAATGTTTCAAAACAAGTTAAAATTCTTGATGTTCGTAACAGCGTGAGAAGCGCAAATATTTTCAGCAAATAAATTTTAAGTGATTTATTTTGTTATGAATGACTTAAAATTTAAATTGACCCACATAAATTGAATTAAAGTTAATTCCAATCAATAAATTTTTTTCGTCTTCGTTTGCGACTGTTTTAAAGTTTAAGGAAAGAAAGAAAGAAAGAAGAAATGTTAATCGCTAACTTTCAATTTTTCGATTGTCACGACAAATAGAAATGAAGAAATGTTAAGCCGGAAATGTTTACTTAACATTCAAAGATATTTAAAGGTGAATCATTGAAAACAATTTTGGAGACGTCGATGGCAACGCGAAAGCAGAAAAGTGATTTGGGGCTTGTGCCTTGTGCCTTGAAAATCTAATTTTCCCTGAATTTTGTCGTTTCTCTGACTGGATAAATGGAAGACATTGAGCAAGGGAAATTTAGGGTGGAATATAAAATGTGCACGATGTTGTTCACAATAAAACCTTGGAATGAGTGAAGGGCAAATGACTTTCCTCAAAACTTTTTTTTTGCCAAAAATGTGACGATGGAAAGATAAATCTTGAATCATGTTTAACGTCAAAAGCGAAAAGACTCGAGAGAGGCAAGTGAACAATTTTTTGATAAATAAGTTTTTCGGTGTCATACGAAAATCTTTTTAAGAAATTCCGGTTTGAAGTGTTGTTCCCAAAATTATGGAAAGAAATAATATTTCGAAGATAAATCTCTACTGTCGTCCTACTTGAAAGGTGCAAAAGGTCTCGTAATACGTCGAAAAATTGAGTTAAATGGTTGTTGGTGAAATTTTTTGTGCTAATAACCTCGTAAGTTGTGATTCAAAATAAAAATCTCTCGATAAAAAGAATCATTTATTAGTTCTTTTGTTGACTTTTTCTGCTAAAAAGCAAGACGTGGCACGTTTGTCAATCAAAATATTGTCAACAGTTTAACAAATCGAATTATTCAAAGTGAGTTTACATTGACAAGAGATAAGACGACCTAATTACGTATCACACATTTGCTTCTAAATAGCAGAATGTCTTGTCATGTAACACGAATTTAGAAACGAATTTATGTCCCAGATTGATTCAATAGAAATTCTTCTTTTTTATTATCGTGAAAAGAAGAATAAGAAGACTTCTCTTACCTTACAACCTCTTTTACCATACCGTTTACCCATCTTAAATTCATTTATTGCCAACCATCCGATGAATTGATGGAATTTTTTTGCTTTTCTCTTTATTTTTGGGTGAAAGGTGCAAAAGAGCTTTCAAAAAAAAATCGTAAACTGAACATCAAAGCGACGCGAATGAGAAAAGCTCAAATTTATGTGTCTGTCATTGGGGAAAAATGAACGTTCTTATTGATTAGGTAATGTAATGAAAGGAAATTACTTCTTCTTCTTCCTTTTCTTTTTTCTCCATCACCATCCTGACACTATCAAGATTATGGAACTTCAATAGTGAAACATTAAAATTAACTACCAACAGTTATTTGCGATAAAAGTCTATTAAACGTAGGCTCGTTGAAATAAATTTTCGACACACCAATTTAGTGTTCAGGGTGGAGGAGTTTATGAAGTGATGTTATTACTATCTAGTTGTAATGTCTTTCCGACCTTATCCATGCACTCAAATCATTTTGATGACACAATTTTCCGCTATTGAGGGAAAAGAGATGAAACCGTTTAATAAACGTCATTTTCTCATAAATTTGAACTTCATTAACTTTTAATGTTGATTCTTTTTTATGACTTTCTTATTCTCGACTTTGTTTTCAAGGCTGTTCCATTACATGCTTTCGTATTGCATGCTCGTGACGAGGCAACAACTGCCTCAAATAAATTTTCTTATATTTAAAAGGAAACGAGAATTGGTCGAAAGCAAAGAAAATTTCGAGCATATTTGTAAATTATCAAACTTTTCCCAGTCATCACGTCGAGACTTTTCCGCTCAGAAGATTTATTCGCCTTCGCCAGCTCCTTAAGACTGCTTTCCCGGTTGTGTAACTTTAAGGGGCTGTTTTCCTTTCCTACATATTCTCACCGGCACTTGAAGATCGTAAATATCAGATTTTGTTACGCATAAACGAGCTCGTGAAAAATATTTCCGATCCAGAAATTTTTTATGTGACGTTTATAATGGAAGGAAAAGAAAGGAAGAAAAAGTTGACTCATCATAAGCTTTCGTGAACACTGCCAGTCATGATTAGGAGAAGTTGATGAGAAAAATATTAATTATGTTCAATTATTAGCGTTAACTTATTTATTCTTTAAGCTAATTTCATGATGATAACCACTAGTTGCTATTAGTGATAAAGAGAAAGTCTTTTAAGATAATTTGAATTATGCATTAATATTTAAATAAATTCATTTCAATACATTTTTCCCAACTTTTGCGTTGTAATAGAATAAAATCTCCCATCATCCTTCATAGATATTTTTTACTGCCTTCCACCTCCTTAAATTTATTTATATTCGATAAATGATAATGTTACAAGGGCAAACCTTGATTTTCTCCCAATGGTGAAATTTTTAAATCTCAGCCTAAAAATCCCTCGAAAAAAAAAACGAAATAAACAAGAAAATAAATAAAATTTTCTTCGTGGTTCTAAGTATATAAAACATAAGGCGTTGAAAGATGAGATTCAAAAGGAGAAATCATGGGATGACTTTAATTTATTAACATTTAAACGCACTAACCAATTTCCACAATTTCGAAGCGGCTGTGACAAACAAAGTTCAAAAATTGAAGGCGAAAATCTACGCGTGAAGCTAGTCAAAAAAGCCAAATAAACGTTGGGATGGGTGGAAACGATTCGTGTCAGATAAAAATTGATGATTGAATTAAATTTGAATAAATTTTCATCCCCATCAATTTCCTAACTGCTAAGGCAATATAAAAAGGCGATCGAGTGGGGAAATAAAGAAAAATAAATATTTTTTTACGTTGGAAAAACTGGAAGGCAGCAAACATTATGCAAGAAAAAAATGACTTAATTTTATCCTCTACCGTCACTTAACAACAAAGCTTAAGAAAAAAAATTCTGATCCTTTTCTTTTATATTATATTTCAGAAGCAGGAAGATGCAAATCAATGGACGCTCGTTATCCAGACTATTGACTTCATTTAATGTAGCGAGAAGGTCGTTCCGGCGAATTTTCTTTGCTTGGAATTTTTACGGTCCCGAGATCGGTCTGTCTAGCTGTTTGTTCCAGTATGCGTGGCAAAAATATCCGATTGTCTCGGAAATGACTTACTCGATGATGGGACGTGCGAGGCAAATGTTGTCGGGTTTTATGCAAGAGTTCCGGAATGGATTTATTGAAGGACAATCATACGATGACTACAGAATCAGCTCAAAAGTTGCTGAAACCACAGCAGACGATTATTACGATTATCACAGGAATCAAGCCTACATGCAATACGGTCCATTTAAACGTGTCGGTAACCACGCAACAAATCTTCCGGAAAATGTGAAAATCGTTAACAAATCAGATCCCAAACTTATTGATGCACTGGAAATGTTGAAAAATCTCCAACCTAAAAGAAACACCAGCGAATTAGTTAACAGATTAGCTCGACATCTAAAATCGTTAAAACTGAAGTCTAACAACGACCAACAATTTCGTTTTGTAAATGATGATGGTGATGAAGTTAAATATTTTCCAAAATACAATCAACGTCATGATGATGCTGATAAAATTAACAATAAAAATTCCACGGTCTCAAATTCGACCGTTGAGAACAATAAAAACATAACAAAAGCTTCTGACGGGGTAGTTGTTGAAGCTCGAAGTTCTCCAAAGATGAAAATTAGTCAAACAGCACAGCCTAAAATTGGCTACGCTTACGGACCACCAGCTGGGTTACCAACGTACAATCAACTGCCACCACCTGACTACAGTTACTATAAAGACGGAGTTTATCACCATGTTCATGACTTAAGAGAGGAAAAGCATGTTCCATCTGCATCATCCCATCATTCATCATCAAATGGAGGCGGTGGTTGGCTTGGCTTTGACTTTGAAGACACAATTCTTTCAGCATTAGGATTGGAACCACCTGGAAGATCTTCTGAGCCTTCCGTTTCAAAATGTTCAAAAGGTTACATTTTTGGTATCTTCATACGATATCTTCAAACAGCATTAGTGGGTGGATAAATAATATTTGTCTTCAAACATAATCATAGCCATAATAATCGTAGAAATTCATGCAAAGCATCAAATATCAACAACGACCCAGATGAAAATTCTCAAGAAATTTATTTAAGTTTTCGTTTACGTATGTTTTATTATAAATTTAATATTTAAGTGTTTATTGTAAACACAAAAAGATTAATTAATTATTTATTTATTGATCTATTCTGTTGTCGGCAAATGACAAAAACGAGATAAAATTGATAACATTTAGTTGAAAATAATGAGAAGCATCATTAGATACATAAATCCCACGCAAATACACTCAACTTGATTGAGTTACAATCGTAATGTTGATCTAAACGATTGCCACACGTCCATTTGATGGACTTAATTGGAATTATTGAGGAAGGCTAGTCTAATTATCTTAAATAAAGCATTTAAAAGCTCGAATGAAACGATAATATTCAACTAAGCTGACATGAATTATCCTGTTCTAGAAGTTGTTTCAATTTTAAAAAGAATTCTTTTACTAGAAACTTGTAAATATTTATCTAGATGCTTAAGTAAGCGAGAAGTACATTTCATGTTATTTATTATCAGAATTTTGTTAATTATTTAATAAGTAAGAAAATTCTTAGTTCTTAATCAGTTGTAAGAGATGTAACAAGCAAACGAGTCTTAATTTGTAAATGAGTTGTTTAAAAAAACATTGATGATGTAACAAATTTCATGAGCACGCCGCCGTTGGCTCTCTCGTCGAAATAAAATTAATTAACTTTTCAGCATGAAAATAAATTGCCAGTTAATTAACCCTAAGAGAAAAGAACCTTTGCAATGTTGTTTGTTTAACTTGAATAAAATTAAAACAGGTTGAAAATCGGTGAGAGTTAAAAGTTCATAAATCATGACAGTAAATGTTAAAATTTATGATCGACGAGCGACAAACGACGTGCGCCATAAATAAGTCAATCACAGCAGAGAGTCGAGTGTATCATCCTCCGGTGTTTTCCGAAAAAAAACCCCACAGATAAATCACGGGGAGGGGTTTTGAATTCTTCAAAGTTCATTGTCTCATCCACGACACGTAAGCTTAAGAAAATGTTTTCCTCTGTTTCTTATTTCATAAAATTCGTTTCAGGTTTGTTAAAGAAAAAGTTTAATCATTTATTTTGTTCATCTCATTAACATCCACATAATATATTAATGTATCTGGTGTGCTGCTATTGTTTCATAAATATCTTTTCTATCGCAATTTATCGCAATGATGATTGAGTAAAGTGTAAACAATTCTTATGTCAATATTATGTTGGCATTGAAGGCTCAACTGATTCAGGATGAATGCTGTTGCAAAGTGGTTTGTATTTAATGATTCCAGGAAGATTTTTGTTGTGATATTTTTTCATTGTATCAAAATATTTTCGTTCCTGATATGGTGAAGTATTATTTACAAGTCTGGCGAAACATTAAAGCATTGGATGGTTAAAAAGAGTAAGTTGGGAATAAAAACAAGATTAGGTGTAACTCTTTTGATCTGAACTTATTTTCAAATTAATTTAATAATGAGTAGAAAGAAAATTCTTAATAGAAAATTCCTAATAGAAAAAAGCTACGACCAGAATTTTTTTTTTAATTACCTACAGGAAATAATCTGACGAACGTGAAATTTCCAAAAGAAAATATTTGAGCTGTGAAATGAAAAGTAGAATTAATTAATGAAATGAAGTTAAAATATATTTAAATGGTAAATTCTTACAGTAAATAGATACCAAATTCTCACCAAATTTGATAATTATGAATTGAATTAAACGCACTTGAAACAACAATTGTTGCTTCGCTTTACGAATTGTTTAAAACTGAAAACTCTTCAACCATGTCAATTGCTGGAGAACATTTCTTATTAGAATAAATGACCTCAGGTACTTCGATTTGCAATTTTTTTGAAACAATTAATGTTTATTTTGTAAAATGAGAATAAATTTAATTTTTAATTAAAACAAAAACATACAAAAAAAAACATTAATTTGTAACACAATCAAATGCTTTTGTTTACTTTTTATGATTTCTTCTTTTGGCAGCTTTTAATTTCTTTTTCTTTTATAAAACAACACGCATAGTTCAGGTAAATTCTGTTTGCATTACAAAGACAAAAATCATAAGGAAAATTAACTGTTAAAGTTGATTGTTGTTAATTCTACTCGCATATCCACAATCTGGCACGACTTCTTGGATCCATTCTGGTTCGATTCTCGTTGCTGTTCTTAAGTACACCTGAGTAGTGTGCACAATTTCACTGAATAAAACATAATTTGCTTTTTGATTATGAGCATCCTTAAGCTTATTCCCCATGTTGGATATAATTCCATTGCCATTGCTACTGCTCGAAAAACCATTGAGATTTGCATGGTAACCACTAAGAACACTCGATGGATGGATCATTGCCCTTTGACGATTCGCCATGACAATGTAATGATTGTCACGTTGTTGCAATTCAGCAACATTGTTGAAGAGTCCGGTAATGAGACACTTGCGAATCTATTGAACACAACATCATAAAAGAAACGATGAAATAACATCGGAAAATATTAAAAAATAAAATTCTTTCTCACTTGATCTACATTATGATGAGGTGAATCTGCTTGGCTTGAAACATTGACGTTATCGCAAATCTCTGCGAGTTGCTGTCGCACTTCAAATGCATATTGAAGACTTTTTTGATTTAAGAAATGTTCAGTACACCATTGCTAAGAGAAATAAAATTAATTTAATGTAAAAATGTTGAGGGAAGTTTCTTACTTTGCTTTTGTTATGTTTTTTATATTCTGTGAAGATATTAAGCAGCGTAAGATGATCACCATAACGTGTTTGGAATTTTGAATGTTGAGCTGTTGCTTGATCACGATTATTCTGATTTGGTTCACAATAAACATTCTCTGTCGATAAAATTGCAACAAGGTCCAGAATATCGTTGACACATTCAAACTTGGGTGATGAAATGATAATTTTGCTATAAATTGGATCAATTGGAAATTTCGACATTCGATGTCCAGTTTCAGTGAGTTGTGGATTTTGTACAGATTTTATTGCTCCAAGTTGCTTTAATTGTTTAAATGCAACTTCAATGGAATCTCTTGGTGGTTTGTCCATAAAATCAAATGTTTCAATATTTATGCCAAGTGCAAGAAGTTGAAGAATTGTTGACGATAAATTGCAACGTAAAATTTCTGGCTTTGTCATTTTCTCAAATAAATCATATTCATTTGCAGTGTACGTTCGATAACAAATTCCATCAGATTCACGTCCGGCTCGGCCCGTTCGTTGCCATGCTTGTGCTTGTGAAATTTTTGTGACTTTCAACGAATCAAGACCTGTAATTGGATCGAACTTTCTCGTCTTCACAACGCCAGTATCTATCACATATTTGATTCCTGGTAATGTAATTGACGTCTCAGCGATATTTGTTGCAACGACAACTCTTCGGTAATTTTCTCCTGAGCGTTGAAATGCTTCAAGTTGTCTTTGAGCAGGAAGGGCTGAATGTAAAGGCCAAGCTCTTAACGGTGGTTGACCAGCTAAATCATGCGATCTTGTGATGTTTCTTATTTGAGACGTCATTGATTCGATTTCATCTTTTCCTGTGAGAAAAACAAGAACATCGTGATGGAGTGGAGCCGTTCTGTGAATTTCGAATAATGTCACAAGCGTTGCAAACATATAATCGTCTTGTCTATGTTTAGAGTGCATAACTTGCACTTGATGCATTCTTCCTGGCATATACAACACTGTGCAATTATTAAAGTACTTTGAGAAATGATCAACGTCCATTGTTGCTGACATTATGATAATCTTCAGCTCTTGCATGCGAAACATACTTCTTTCTTTCTGAATTGATTTGACAATACCAAATAGAACATCTGTGTTGACTGTGCGTTCATGAGCTTCATCTAATATTATGTATTGATACTTTTTGAGAAATCTGTCATTCAATGCTTCTCTTAAAAGTATTCCTTCCGTCATGTATTTTATCTTTGTGTTTTCTGAGGTACAATTTTCAAAACGAACAGCATATCTAGAAAGATAATAGAAAATTAGACTTAAATTCAATGAGAATTTAACTTAATTACCCAACAACATCACCAAGTTGTCGCATTTTTTCTTGTGAGACTCTTTTTGATAATGTAATAGCTGCTACTCTTCTAGGCTGCGTAATACCAACCATTCCTTTATTAAGCATTCCACTTTCTAGGATAAATTGAGGAATTTGTGTTGATTTTCCACTTCCAGTTTCACCAATCAATATCAAGGTTGAGCTTGTTTGTATACAATTTAAGATGCTGAAATAAAAAGTATTTCTTAACATTATCAATTCGACAGTATTAAAACTCACTTACTTTTGTCTTACTGCATATGCAGGAAGTTGTCTTCGCTGCTCCTCTAATGTCTTATTCATCGCGATCAATCGGTAAATTTGTTCTTAATAATTATGCAAATAATCCTTTGAAAATTTCAGTTATCTTCTTCTATTACTTTAAAAAACATACTTTCAAAAATATTTTATATGTTAATAACTTAAACGTGTTCGCTGTAAAAATACTTTTTTATATAAACTCGTGTGAAAACATCTCCGACTGAGGTAGATTATTCGTCGAATTTTGGAAAACAACAAAAGGTATAAAAACCCGTATAAATGTTCTGTGATGTCACGGTTCAAAGAGATTCAAAAAAGTGAAATATACAATAGATAGCGCTGACTGTCATTTAAAATGGTTTCAATAATTATTTTCCAGTGAAATTTGTAAGCTGCCGGAAACTAATATTTCCTTCTAACATGGCATTGTTAATAAGAAATAAATACTCCAAATTCATTTTCAACGTGAGTTAAGCTCTTTTAAAAATGCTAAGCGTCATTCTAGGCGCCATTATTCTATGTTTAGGAAAAACATAATCTCTAAATAATTTATTATAAGTTCAATTAAGCAGATATCGGTTCTTTCCATATGAGTGCACATGCTTTTCGATATTTCTATGACCTTCAGAGAGATAAAACTATAAAAACAAACAATTAATTTTAAGCAGCGATGCCATCAGATTCGTTGGTATAAGAAATATGGAAAGAATGAAGAGTAATAGCGTAAAACTCAAAAATATTTCTACGATCCTTACTGAACTATCAAGAGAGAAGAAGATAATAGTTAAAGCCTCAATGTATAATCTCACATCGAAGAGCTCATATCAAAAAAAAAGAATGATTATCGACAAACGCTATGTCGTTTATAATTCGCTCTTCACACTTCAACAAAAGTTAGTCGCTCGCGAAAAGTCAAACAGATCGGCCGAAAAGAAAAATTAATTTTCGTGTTGATTATTCGAATAAAAAAGTATCTTTATTTTCATTCTCTTTTGGTTGAGTGAACGAGGGAAAGAATTTAGTAATTTTTTGACTTTCATACCTTCAACATCTGAAATCTGATTCGTAATGAATCGTAAAGTCATTTTATTAATTTTCTTCTGTTTTCACTCATCGACAGCTGGGCTGAATAAATGTTGCCCAGAAAATGAAGTCGTACAAATTGATTCTATCGAAGATAACAATTTATCTCCTCGAGAACGTTTCAGTTGCGTGAAAAAGCCATCGAAACTTAATAATGTCAAAAGAAAGCGTGAATCGGAAAATTATGAGATTAATAATATTACAATTCCCATAAATTTGATTGCCTACAACATTTTAATTGATGAAAACACCCACTGGCCAGCATGTGAAGTATCATCATTTATGATCCTAACTGGATCAATGGAAGTCAGTCAATCGAAGAGTTGTGTGGACATAATGGATAGTGATTATTACGTCTTCTTTTGTGATGAAATGATAGAAACTGATGAAAATGATTCATTAAATGTCTTTAAATTACAAAAGTGTTGTCAAAAAGACTTTTCTTACGACGTCTTTGCAAGAAAATGTGTAATTAACAACGAGACAACATTAAATGAAGAATTCAATACATTCCTTCATAACAAGACAATTATGTTCGATTCTGGAATTCCAGAATGCAAACCTGATGATGTTCTTGTCGAATATCATTCTAATGTTCACTTATTAAAAATGTATGAGAATTCTTTGATTGTAATGAAAACAGCCGAAAGTGGTCCCGAAAAGTTCAATGATAAAAGTTTCTGCGTTGAGAGCACCTTAAACTCAGAACATGAAATCGCTGACAGTTCAATACAATCTCAGTTGAAAATGTCATCCAAGTGGATTGCAAAAGTGTGTCGACCAGCAAATGTTATCTGTAAGAAAATGCCGTGCGTGCGAAAATGTTGTAAAGAAGGTCAAAGGATGGTTTATGAAAATGAAACATTCTGTGAAGATCATAACTCTCATTTGGATATGAAATTTCATTCATTCAACTTTGAGTCATCGCCTGAAGAGCCAAACGAAGTAGAACCAAGTGGTAAGGTTTTAATCAAAGTCATCTGGAAAAATAGAAATTTACAATACGGAAAATATTTTGAAACGAAACCTGATTTATTTAAAGTTTACAATAACACACCTGGTATCATCGCTCCAGGTTATTTATAGAGAAAACGAAAACAACTTTGGTACACGAACAGTCTGCTTTACTTTAAACTTTACTTTCAATATGTAATAATTCACTAAATAAGAATGCAATGAAAATTACCTGATTCGAGTTTAACTTTTAACCAATATAAATGTTTGTAGAAATTCTAACTTGACAGCTTAAACTTGAAAGTGTTTCTCATTTCTCTGAACCGCGATATTTTTACGCCCATCCAAAGTATAAACAAACAATTACATTTATTGTTGAAATCTCAAAATCTCAGAATGTTAAGGCGGAGAAGTGATGGAGGTCAGGGATGGAAAATGTAATAATTTGTCATGAAAATATTTAACTTCATTGTTTGATATAAAAAGTTCTTGACTTTAACTAAATTAATTGAAAAATGATTTTTCCATCCCTGAGCAATAACGAACAACGATATTTATTTTCACACACTTGACTTTTCCTCCCGGTTGTTAGTACGAGTATTTATTTGTCTAATGGAGTTGCTTTCTTCCTTTTCTTTTCTTTTTAAAATAAATCGTTTGAGTAATAAACCGAGATAAAAATGCTTTTCTCACGTCCATCCTTGTAGCTTTGATGATCAAATGGAAAACATTTTTCAACAATGAAACGAGTTTTGTCACAGGAAAAGTTACAAAGTCGTGTTCTTTCGTCTTAAAGGTCAAATATCGTCATTCTCCACTCCAGCAAATTTCATTTTAATCTCTTTACATAGCATTAGTTCTAACGTAGCTGTTTGTCGACAGATAACAAGTAAATTCTCATTCATAAAAAGCAAAATTTTGAATAATAAATTCCATTCATTTGAATACAAATTTGGCTTAATTCGTCGTGATGTAACAAATTTGCTTTACTTCATATTATTTAGAGTACGGAATATTGATGCCAAAACATTGTGACAAATTTATGTTGGATCGAGAAGAAGATGCACATTATATCAGTGGAATTGATGGTAGTCTCTTTATTTCAACGATGGAAAAATTCCATTCAAATAACGATTATTGTGTTGACTTCTTTTATACAAAAGACGAAATCGATCCTGAGGTTGACGTCATTCAGGTAACAACAAGAAGTTAAATGTCTTTGTCTTTCATTTAATGGCTGTTTGAAAAACTTCATTTCCAGGGCGTAACGTTCGTCTGTTTTGACGAAGATGAGACAAGAATGATTAGACTTCGTTTTCAAATTTATGCCACACTTTTAGCCATTTCCGCTGGCTTCTTAGGCATCACATTTATTGTTTACATTTTTCTCCCTAAACTTTTAAACCTACATGGAAAAACGCTAGTGTGTCATGTTCTTAGTCTATTTACCGCTTACTCATTCTTATCAGCTGTTCAATTTGCGACAGATGTTAAAATGACTTACTGTAAATGCATTGGTAAGTGAAGATTTCAGATTTAATTTTCAATCAAAATCAGCCAAATATATTCACACCCTCTGTCGTTTCAGGTTACATTGTTTACTTCAGTTTCTTATCAGGTAATGAGCAAATATTTCAATTAATTTCAATGTAGAGTGTGAAGTGACAAGCTTGTTGATGTAAAAGGGATGACATTTAAAGAAAAACGATTCATTTCTTGATTTTATCAACAGCATTTTCATGGCTTAATGTTATGTGTCTTGACATCTTTTGGACTTTTGGGTAAGCTACGCTTCTTAATATTAAACATACAAGCAAATACAGAAAATCTAATTAACAAAATATCGAAATTTTATTATCAGTTGAACTTTGTTTTGTTTTCTTCGGTTTTGGCATAATTAACAAGCCAATGCCAACTGATAAAAAAACCTTTGGTTATGATTAAATCATAATCAGTAATCAGAATATATCGTGCTGATTACTCGTTTGATTAAAGGTTAATTAAAGTTTTCCTAATTCTGATTGGATGTATAACTTCTGGTGAAGGGAAAAGAAGAAGAAATCTTGTTGCTATCAGTTGAGTCTCGTATTTAGTTCGTAAATCTTTCAATTGAAAGCGTTCCACTTCAAGAACATTGAAGTTAACCCAAGTCAATTACCATGTGAAAGTTTCTGAAGTAGAAGATAAATTAATTCTGATGAACTCGTTCATTTCGTTCTTATGAAAAGCTTCCATAGAATCCTTGAAGCGAATGTTTACATAAATTATTGATGTAACTTGTTAACTTGGAATTTGGTTACTTTAAGTTCACGTTCATTTATATTTATTTTTTTAATGGCTTAGAACATACATTTTCTTTTTTATCTAAGTAGACATTCATTCTGTGTGAACTTAAAACAAATTGTTGAATATAAAAAGTAAATATTGTTTTGTGTAATGTAAAAATATTTGAATTAAACGCAATGATTCTTTTCCTGGTTTGCGAAAGACTTTGAAATTATCTACAATGATTGCATTAACAAATTGTAATGACTTCAGGAAATTTTGCAATGATTTCTTATAAAGAACAGATCCGAGACTACTCAAATTAAATCTTCTTTGACCAAAGTAAATTAAATATTTTATTTGATTGATTGTTTCGGCTGTTCATATAAATCACATGATTAAATCAAGAGGATGTTATATTGTAATCTAATCACCAAATGATCTGAAAATTGCCAAAAAAAAAGTTCGCGTCAATTTTATTCCGACGCCGCTTATGACGTTCATTACATAAATTATATTTTTCGTTTTGCGAAACCATCTGGATGTCACATAATTTCCATGTCATTAAATTGAAATATTATCTTGCAATAAATTTTATGATAACATAGCGATGAATCAGGCTCATCTCCGGTCTAAACAAAAGGATACTGAAGGAGAAGCGAAAAACACGAGAAAAATTATCAAATATTTCCTTTCACTGGTATTTGCTTTTTATGATGGTCATTGTGTGCACCCTGCTCGATCATCCATTAAATACATCTCTTCTCCTTTTCCTCAATCATTGAAGGAAATGGTTCATTTGTCGTAGCTTTTTCTACGGTCAATTAGTTTGTTAAAGATCCATTAAAAATTAATTTATACCCTGACAGAAAGAAAATCCTTTTCAAACAAACAAAACAAGCTTCCCTTTTCGGGTCCCCTACCCGCGAAAACACTGTAAACATTAGGACTACAGCAATGCTTAAAGGGTATTTCTATGAAGATACCAAGTAATTCAAGTTATAATAATAAAAGACTGATGTCAGTTGTTCCCATGTTCGTTACAACATAAACAAGAACAACAACCAAAAAATATTATTACAAGTCCCATCAAAAGCTATCAGTAACTTCATTTTCATTTTATTTCAATGTTTCATATTAATTCTCCATCCACTAAAACTCTATACTTAAAGTCTTACTTTTCAATCTTCGTCAACCATATTTACATTTTCAATTCCACAAACTGAGACAGAGGGTAAAGGAATGCTCAGGGAAATACAAAAACTGATGTCGTCGTAAGTACAACAGACTGAAGAGTTATCTTTTAACAAAAAAAAATGAAAAAAAACATGAAGAAGGAATATTTTGAATCCGGTTTAAAGAATTTTTATGAAAGGATGATTCAGTTGTTGTTAATGTGTTGCGCGTTGAAGAAAGAAGAAGAGTTTTCTCAAATATTTAACAGGGGAAAAACGTTTTCAAGCCGTCATAAACCAGAAGAAGAAAGGTGAAAGAGAAAACGTTTGAATTCAAAATAATCATCATAAATAAATTTTTGCTGCTACTGAAATGTTAACATTTCGAAAAGAACGAAAGAAAGAAGAAGAAAACAACGCTCTTGAAACCTCTTAAAATATTCTCACATCTTGCGGTACCGAAAGATTCAAAGCTTTTATCAGATATTAAATTTTTTTATTTTCTTTCTCTTCTCATGAATTATTTATGAAAAGTTTTAATTTTTAAATAGTTAATCAAAGGTTCATATTTTGGTAAATCTAATGAGAAATTTTTCAACTTGAAATGTTCAAGTGTACAAATTGTTTAATGAAAATTAAGCGATCCTAAGAGAAATCAGCAGCATTTGTTGTCGTTCTTCATCATGAGTAAAGCTGTCATAAAGAGTTACTGAGTTACTACTTAAGTGAATTATTTACTCGTAGCACTGCTTGATTCCCTCGTAGCATTTATTAAGTAGATGTTGTGTGTAAAGCTCACAAAAATATTTACATACAAACCTTACTCTGTTCTCTTAAAACAACATAAAAAAGGTCGATTCGAATGTCGCATGGCATCAGACGAACGAAGGAGGTGAAAAGATTCTTTTGCTACTCACTATATGCTTGGGGCTTTCCTTGTCTTGTTACAATTCATACGTACATGTTGGATTCACATAATGTTTTACCGGAAAAATTCAAACCAAACATTGGAGAGTCGTCATGCTGGTTTGGTAGGATATGAAACACATTTTTTCGCTTTGATATTTATTTATTAATGTTTTCTTCCCTCGTCCTGTAGAGAATTCATCACCTGGACATTTGATATTCTTTTTGGTCCCAATTGGAATACAAATTTCAATTAATTTTGTGTTGTTTATTATAACAGCAATTCATTGTAACCGTGTCAAAGCAGAAATCCATCGAATGCAAATGAATGATAATAACGAACAAAAGAAGAAACGTTATATTGCTGATAAAGCGATGTGAGTAAAAGTTTCATCATTTTCAAGGAATTATGTATGTGACTTAATATTTCATCACTTATTTAGCTTTCTAATGAACTTGAAGCTTTTCATTGTAATGGGAATTTCGTGGTTGCTGGAAATCATGGCAACAGTTTACGATAATAAACCATGGTGGTACGTGTCGGATGGCTTCAATCTGCTTCAAGGTGTTCTCGTCTTCTTCATATTCGTGTTTAAGCGAAAAGTTCTTGTAGCATTCCAGAAGAAGCTAGGTAAATTCATGTCACATGTTTCGTTATGTTATGTCTGAGGTGTCATGAGATTCGTTTAGGTGTGTTTACCGAGTACCTTGGCTATCTTTGGGACTTTCAAATGTGGAATTTTGTTCACTGTATTGTCAATAAAACAAAAAAAAAATTTTGCTCTCATCTCAAAAGAGATAAATAATTATAATCATTAATTATTCTAGGCATTCGTTCCATTGGATTCCGTCCGAAAACGCCAGGTTCAACATCAACTCACATGTCAACAGTGGAACTTCACTCAACAGCTTTAAGCAAATATAATGGAAAGATGTTGAAAAGCAACAGCTCATCGACGCTTACAAATACGACAGTAAACCTTATTAAGAATTAGTTTGGTCATTTCTCTCACGTTCTTGATATGAAAGGGCATCAAGGGTAAAAACACGACAATGATGATGATGATGATGATGATGATGATGATGACATCAACAAATCACTGATTTTTAGTGTCAATGGAAAACAATTTATGTTGAAAGTTGCAATCATAAGATTCATTATTATTATTTTTCCCAGATAATTTCTACTGTTTTGCGTTCAACTAAATAAAGTGAATAAGTATTCAAGTTGAAGTCATTTTGTCATGGAGAAAAGTGAAAATTGATGTAAAAGAATAAGAGGATAGAAAATTTATTCGTGAAGCTTGCAGAAAGTATATAAATGTGATCTCATATTTGATCGATGTCATCAATCTTGTCATATTAAGTATTGTTGCTTTATGTTTTATCACACATCGCTTTAAAGTCTCTGATGATAATTTATCTGAATAATGTTTTGTAATATGTGTTATAAATCTTCTGAAATAAATAATAAATAAACATTAAAGTATAAAATTTAAGCTTTTGGGTAATTGTCGAAAGCAATTTCTCGTCTATTTGTTACCACTGAAATATATTGAAAGAATTTAAGTGCAGTCGTTCATCAGTTAAATGTTTTTCTTTCTCCCTCTCTTTTGCTTCCGCATTTTCATCTTACTTTCCTTACCAAGCCTACCAGAAAATAAGACTTTCCAACTTTTCATGAAGCAAACATACAGGAAAAAGAGAGAAAATCATCATAGCATTACTTAAAGTTTTCCCTTTGCTCATAAAACATTATAAACATTATCTTTTGCTTCTTTCTTTATTGATTGAAATATGTTCTCCATTTCTTTTGATTGCAATGATTCTCTTACACAAGATACATCGATATTAAGTGAAGGAAACGAAGGAAAAGTTCTTTTTTTTGCTTTCTTAATTTATAAGTTAAAAGGAATCAGAGGAGATGGAAGAAAAAAGGTTTTTGTGATTGTTATGGAAAAACTTATTCAGTTATTTCTTTCGTTTGTCTTGCTTGAGTTTTTATATTTAAAAAAGATAAATAAAATAAAGTTTTTTGTATGTCTTAAACATTAGTCATTGATTCCATTGGCATAACATTAAATAATTTACAAATTAAGTTTCTTTCTTTATGGCATGAAAAAAAGTAGAAAAAATATTCCTTTTTAAAGGATAAATTTATTTAGGTTTCGTAATGATCATTCATCATCTTGAGTTCACCTTAATTCACTGATTGTAAGATTAATGATATGAATAATATGAATTTTCATTAACAACATCTTCTTAGACATAAAGTAATATTTGCTTTCTCATTTAGAATAAAAAATCTTTTGACAATAGCTTCGTTTATGAAGTTTTGAAATGCTGAAGTGAGCCAGAAAGGATGGAAAATTACAACGTTTTTCATAATTCATATTCTTAATAAATATATCATCGTCTTTTATCATTGTAACACATTTTCGCGTCATTAATTATTAATTTCATCGTCTTTGCTCGGTTGGCTGGTCGTGTTGCGAAAATAAGAAGAAACTAACATTTGTTGAGTCTTTTTTCTTTGTTTGCCGCACAAAGGAAGAAGATTAAACATTCCGTGGCTGCTTGCTGAACCCTTTCCTTCGGGTAATGACTTAATGGGCTACAGAATTTCTTTTTATTATTTCGCATACCCACCCACTCATCATCTCGATTGCTATTTGTCTTCTAATTACTTAACTTTTCAATTGAAACACAAGAAGAAAGGAAAGTAAATGAAAAGTTTCTCATTTTTCTTATTCTCGCACTACGTGCCTAATATAATGAAATATCAAATGTTTACTTTTACTTATATTTCTTTTTTCTTTTTTATTATTTACTTGAATATCATCTCAATATTGAGAGAATTATGAGTTGTAGGCAATGCGCAAAAAAGCATTGATGAAATGTTGTGTGCTTTCGAAGCTTTAAAAGTTTTCATTAAGCTAATATCGTTTCATTTCATCATGTTCTACGGTTGTTACTGTTATTGTTATTGTTAAAGCAACAACATAAAGCATGTTTCGTACATAAAGAGATTCATTCCAGTTATTATAAATGATGAAAAGGCTCGCATTGCCCACAACATATAAATAAATATTTTCTCATCAGTGTATTACAAACATTATCTACTCATAATATATGAAAGAGAATTCAATTTATTTCAATTTTCATATGAAAACAAAGCATTTTACTTTTTATCGTGTTTTCCTTGCTAAATATGTCAATCATTCGACAATTTCATTATAGATTTTAATGTGTTTTTAAAGTTTCGTCATCGCTCTTTTCGTTATTTAATTAATTTCTTTTTTTGGCATCGTAAAAAGATGATAAAAGCAATTTTAATGCTTTCGTATATGTTTTTTTCTTTTAAGTTGATTGGTCAATATTTTGTATTCTTTTTTTCCATTTTGTTTTGTTTCGCTTTCTCTTTATCACTTTATCATGTCCTTTAATCGCATCTGGGCTATTGCAATAATCTCGATTAAACGTTGGGATCAAAATAAGAGCTATAAATGAGGCTTAGTGGCGGATAAAAGGATTAATGTATTTTGTTATCAAGCTCATCGAATGAAAATTCTTTAAGTGCAATTCCACAAGTGCAATTTGTATTGATTAAAAATCTCCCAACAAATATTTTTTAATTAGAATTTCTTTTGAATGGAAAGAAAGTTTTCTTATCGTTGGAGAAATTATCTTTTGATGTTTTTTTCCTTCTTTCGTTGTTTTCCTACTTTTCTCGTAATCAGAAAACAAATCAGTCTTTTAGGAAACAAATCGATAGAATTCCATTTAATTAAATTTTTGTCTTAAATATTAACACATGAGGTTTATTTTTCTTACCATGTTTGATGAAGAAAGGAAAGGTAAGGAACGGAAAGAGAAAATAAAATCGAAGAATGTTTTCATTACAAACTTTTATATTTCAATTAAAATGTGTCAATATGTGAAGAATTTTATATGTTGGCAGCTGTGCTAAAGAAAAAGGCTGTATGTATGTATTACGTCACTCAATGATTGCCACGGTCATTTTCATTCGACTTGAATTCTTCACAATTTTCACCCCTCAACCTACTAATATAAAACATTCAATAAGCATTGAAAACGAGAAAATTTCTGAATAAATATTCTGCTACTCATGCACATAAAACATAAAAAGAAATCATGCACATCAAATAAATTTTCTTCATTTTAAATTTTCTCAACGAAGATCATAAAAAAACGTTTATGCTGTTGCTTCTTTGGAGTTTGAGATTCAAAGGTTACAGAAGTGACGTATTACATGCACAAAGGCTATGCTGAGAGACTTTACTCAATAAATTTTTCGGTTGTTGTAAAACATCAAGATAATTTTCACATCAAGATTCATTTTCTTTTTATATCTTTTTCTCCACTTTTCTTTCTTTTTCTTTATTTTCCAGCGGCTATAAAAGCTTATTTTATGTGCATTAATCAACTCTGTGCTCAATAATCGAAGTCACATGCAGATAATAATTGTTTAATTGTTATTTGACGGAAGCTGGCTGATATCAACAGGCAAACTCATTGTGTTGTGCAAAATAACAAGTTTTTCAATTAAACAACGTAAATTATTTTATCGCTTCACCTGGGACAACAACGTTCAACATCCGCCAAAAATCTCAGCAGAAAAAATTTACAACAACAAGAATTTCTCAAATAGTGCAAATGCTCTAAGGTGCTCATCCTAACATGAATCAAATAAAATTGGGATCCTGAATCAGAGACATGATAAAAAGCGATGTTTATGCCATTTGTTCATATTTTGCCTTGTTGATGTTTTTGGCTAATGCGATTGATAAGATAGAACCGACGAGGGGAAAAAGGGCGACACATAACGCCGTTATTGCTATTCGTCCCATATTTCTTTCGAGATATTGAGTCACTTTCATGTAGCAGCCTAAATTGTAGATTTGAGTTTCATCTTGCGTATCGCATCGTACTGGCCCCGGTTGTTTGCAGCATGAACGTGGAACAGGGCGAGGTGGATTCAGCGAATACCAGTCTTTATAATCTACATTTCCACAGCAACCCAACTGCAAACGAAATGAACAGTTTATAAAAATAGAATTAATTAAAAATTTATGTTTATCGCCACTGGTGAAACATGAACAGTGGCAGCAGTAGCAGAAAGGAATGAAACAAAAAAAAAAGCAAAAAGGAAGAAGCTTCATTAAACATTTACATTCTCTTGCATGGCATCAAAATCTGCCGACTTCATTACGTAATCTGGGCCATAATTTCTGATGCTTTGATTCAATCCTTGCTGGAGGCCATCAGCAAGATGGTCCTTGTATGTGTACAACCCGGCCGCAATTGCTAATTCTATCATTAAGATTATCGTCAAAAAGCCAGCATACTATTCAAAGTCAAAAATGAAGGTTAAATAATTAATCTTAAAGTTGACGTGTAAGATGATAAAGTTTTTGGAGCACTCACCAAGTAAAGAAGTGATGATTGTGCTTTCACAGTGCAGCAGCAGGCTAATGTTCCTACGAACAAAATAATCAAACCCAGTCCGACGAGAACAATTTGGAATGTGTTGGTGTAATCAGTTGAAAGCTCCATGTAACGATGCAATCCAATCTGAACCCAAATACCTGAACACAGCAGGGCTAAGCCAGAAACCTAAATTTGTCAATTCCGACAGGAAGTTTATGGTTGTTGATGTTGTTTAGAAAGGTATGTAGAAGAGTATCGAAGGGAAGACAGAAAGATAAAGAATTCACCATTAAATTTTCATTATTAGGGCTTCGATATCTTTTCTGTTGTTGAAGCATGGGAATTTGTTATCATCAAATTCAGTCATCATCATCATCAACCTTATAATATACATTGCAAAATGATACAGATCTTTCTGATCTCATTATAAAGAATGACAACATCATCATTGTCGCAATCACTTAGATATTTGCGTAAGAATATTTTAAAATAAGTGAAAGGATGTCAAGTTGATAGAATAGATTCGAAACGATGAACATAAATAAGGATTCAACGAAGATTATTTTGAATATTTTATCTAGTCAACCTTTGAAAACGTTCGCATATGGGACGAAGAAAGGAAATTTATTTTCACAATAGATTGATTCCTTTAACTTCATCACAATCTTGAACTCTGACATCCAAAGTGTCTTGTCATCATATTTTACAAGCGGCTTCCTATTTCAATTTCAACTGAAAGATATTTTTCAGTAGGAGATGAGGGAAAATTTTCATTATTTTATCTATTTAAGAAAACATGTTTCATTTAGGAAGAAGTAAACATCGTGGGATGAAAATAATTGCATATAAATCTTGTTTACATAGCAGATGTTGCATCTCACAAGTTGACGAATTCGATTGAACAAACTTCTGAAAGTCACTATAATCTTCACCGTACGTAAATATTTATGGAAAGTTTCATCAAAGTAATCTTAAGGAATCTTTTCAAACTTTGCCAAAAATTTCCACGAAAAATCAGGCTTTTGAAAACTTTAACCTCAAGATTTGTAACTCACAAGTTGACATCATTAAAAGTTTTCTTCAATAGCAGAGTTCCTTTAAATAAATACTAGAGAATGAATAAGTGTGGGTGGATAAAAGAAACCATCAATTAGCTCTTAGGCTACAGAAATAACTTCAACGGAGTTTTACTTTACAAGCCACAAAATGAATTCTCTCCTCGAAGTTTATGACCTTGTTCAACCTTATTTGTTGTCGATACATTAATGTCTGAACAAGTTTGAATACTAAAGAACTTTTAGAACATTAATTAATTATGAACACAACCATAAACGTCGAGTGTTCATAGGCTTACTGATCTTCTTTTATCAAATAATAATTTCACGAAGCAAACAAACAAGATAAAGGGTTCATAAGATGAACAAAAGGTTCATCCATTGTAAAATATGATGCACAACAAATTAATTGGGAAAAGGTTAAGTGTAATAAAGTGAGAAAGGGTCGACGACAATGTTTTGTGGCCTTTTGCCGAAAATAAAAAAAAAAAGAAAAAAACATTATTTTACTTAAAAAAGAAATGAAAAGAAATTTCATGGATGTATCAACAAGAATAAAAACATTAAAAAGAGCCAATGAATCATAAAATGGTTTTTTGGTGAAAAGCTTTCAGTCCTTTTCGTTCTTAAGATATTCAAAATGAACATAAGATTTAACTAAACAAAAGATAAGAATCAAAACATTCAAAACTGATGAAGCCTCAAACCACGAAAAGTTTATACAACTTTTACAGATATTTTGAAAATTTCAAATCTTACTGGCTGTGAAATCCCTCAAAGCACATTCTGAAGATGTTAATGATGTTGTTCTTGTTGTTGCGAACAAATAAGAAAGTCAGCAGTGAGAACTGCTCAATGTTGCTTAAATGCGAACGAAGAAGCTCATTATTATGTATTCAAATACATTATAGATACAGTAGTCATGTATAAACATCACACACTCACACACACTTGAAGCATCTGGTGAACAGAACGTCTTAAAATATATTTGGAACAAAAGGAAACAAGAAGCATCGTCTCATCGTCCAACCAAGAATGTAAAATGAAAAACAAACAGGTTTATCGATTTTCTCTCGTTCCAACACAAGGTAAAATCTTCGCTTTAAAATTTTATCAGATTGCTTTTTCATTTTTTGCCTTATAAATATTAAGCTTCAAATATGCAAATTGTTTTAATTAAGACTTCTTAATTTCTTGCTCGAGTAATACCTTAGCCACCAAAAATGAAACGATACAAATTTTCTTCGTGCAATCAACAGTTTATTGTAGGTGGGTAGTGTAAATGTGTAGATATAAAAGGTCGACAGCATTGATAAGTATCCGCAGAAGGACAATAGAAGTAACTGTATCTGGTATGGGCTTGGCCCAAGACTCACCCAGAAAGCAATATTGAAACCAACCAGCATGCTTTTAATGAAGCCCATGGCTGCCGGTGTTTGGAGATGATCGCTCATTTTTCACTCAAGATTCAACTTTACTCCAACACTTTATTTTATCTAATCACTTTCCCTGGATTGCTACCACCAAACAGAAATCACAAGAATAAAAATAAAATTTTCTTCACAATAAAATTTTCTTCACAACCGAAAGCACATGAAATTGGATTTATCTTTAGCTATGAATTCTTATATTTATCCCTTTTTACGATCGAAGCAGAAATAATCAGAAAAGATTTTTCCCTGAATTTTCAGTGAAAAAGAAAATTCATTCAAATGTTCACACGAACAGCAGGGAAAAGCTCTTTCGTCGGCTGCTGCAGAAAGACAAATGAACTTTGTGCTCACTGTCTCGAGATGCTCCCACATTTACTCGGGTGATGAATGAGAGTTTCGTGACGTCATCGTTTGAAAAGAGAAAATTTCTGAGAGAGAAAAGCTTTTCTCTCAGAGCTTTCAACCAAAAGTTTTCCTTTATTGATTGTGGTTTGAAGCTCTGGAAAATGAAACCTCTGGAAGTTTCTTCTTGTCAAACTGAAATTCAATTATCATGATAAACATAAAAAATAATTCAATTAGGAGTGAAAAAACTTTGGATTAATGGATATAAGGAGTTTTCTTTATTTGAAACGTGTAATCTATGATACAGACGTGCGACAATTTTATTATTTAAACGTCCTTATAATCAAGATTTGTTTAAAAGATATTTCCATAACGATTTCAACTTTTCAAAATATTATCAGTGAGCTTTTCTGATCATTGATATTTTATTTTATTCAAAGCGCAAAGGAAAAGAAAATCTTTCTTTTTTATAAATTTCTTTTTAGTCTGTCAACAGCTTGTTGTTTTTAAATATCTTCATTTGATTTCCTTAAAAAAGTCATTTCACATAAAAAATTTGCAAGCAAAACAATGTTCAACTGAATAATGGCACAATGACAGAATAATAAAAGTAAAAATTTGTAATAATTCTAAGTTGATAAAAAGCTCTTCATTTTATTAAACTTTACATGAAATGTCTTTCTTTAACCCTCCTTTTTAGTGTAGCGAAAATAAATAAAAAAGCTTCATTGAACTCTTAAGTATCAATTGAGTTTCTTTTTTGCGTTTTTCCATTTCAGTATCTAAATTCTACAACATCATCCGAAAATAGATTCTTTCACTTTCTAGTTTCGTTATCCTTTAAAAAAAACTTCCGCTAAGCCTTTTCAGCAGCATAAAAAAGAAAAAAAAGTTAGTCTGATAGCTTTTTTTCTTTCCTTTCTATACACTTTTCAGTTTCTTTTGAATGGGATTGAATAAATAATTCCCTCCCCTAACGAGATGCTTACAATTCTTTCTGTTCGGGCAGGAAGTAATTTTCGTATTTCATTTCTTATCTAAATCTGATTTTCTACTCTTTTTTTTCTTGCTTTATTCAGCATAGAAAAGACATGATATGGATAAAATTTGATAAAAAGGTATTCCTAAAATCATAGACGCAACATAGGCTGCGAAATTGTCTGTTAAACTCTGAATTTGTCTCCATTCAAACAGAACAATAAGTGTCGCTTTCACGACCTTTCTTTTCAATCCATTTTGATTCAGCACTACAACGAGGCTGAAATTTATCATTGACAAAACTTCAGACATGCACAAACTGAACCAATGGGACATCACAATAAAGTCTCATAAATGCGAGTGTGGGACGAGACATAAACTTCTTCAATTCCAATAAAAATGTCAAAAACTTTTTCCCCTCTCCAACTGTGTGCATGTGTGTTGCCACGAAATTCCTTGTCCATTTTACGAGTATCAACTTTTTGATTCGATTACGTTGATTTATCAAAATGGAATGTCAAAAACAACAAACAACTGCAACCTTTTTTTCTCTCTCGATGAATTCTTTCAAAACTAAATAGAACGAAAAAGATTTTACCAACATATGGGAATGTCACGATAATGAGTTTTCCGGGTCAAGAGATCATGACTTGGACTTTCGGTTGTTGAAAACTTTAATTTATTATTTGAGACAAAATCTTATTAGCTAAATTTCATTCACATTTTAAAGCGGATAAATTTTTTGAAAATGAGCTTCTATGCGGCTTATTCTGACAGATACTCGAGTCAGCTTAAAATGAAATCATTTGAGAATGAACCTCAATAAATTACAGAAAGATTTTAAATAAATCTGAATTGCAAAGATTTTAAAACTGGTGGTGGCTTGTGCTTTAAAGAAATTTTCATTCAATTTAATTTACAACAAAAGTTTGCAAGTATCATGACGCAAAAAGCCTTGAATTGGATTTATTTCAAATTGCTGGAAATAATGAAAATCCTTCTCCCTTTAACAAAATAAAAATTTTTTTTAGGAAAATCCGGAAAATCTCTTGTTCTCATTTGAAATCATTGGAACTGTGAGTTTTTTTCGGAAAATTATTTTCAGTTTCATGCATTCAAACGAGATGAACAAGAAAAAAAATTAATTGAATGCCATAAAAATAAAAATAGGAAACTGAAGTTCAATCAAAATAATTTCGTTTGATGAAAATATCATTCGTAACTTGGTCTAGATTTTGCATTAAGCCAGTCTCTTCATTGTTTCAATTTTCTTTCAAACTGTCGTTGTTAAATGAAGAGGAAGTAATTGAAAACTCAGCAAAATAAAACTTTTCCAAAGAAGAAAATGAATAAGAAGAAGTTCTGACAAGATGAAAATTTAGAAAAATATTTTTTTGCTATTTCATTTCATGCGTCTTTGCTATTTTTATCAATCATTCAACTATTTCAACTTTGCTGTTTCCAATCAGATTATCAACTGACCGTAAATATATTATTAAAGTTCATTGGTTGGGGGGTTGAGTGAAGGAGGAGAAAAGTAATTTGACGATGAATTCCATAACACGAAAAACAATCACCGGTTGCCTTTTTTAATGGTCGCCGAAATGTTTGTTGAATGTTCTTATAATTTATATGTGATGATAAGGATTTTTATTTCCTCCTTTTTCTTTATCGTTTTCGTTTCTTTTTTCTTTTTACGTATAATTTTCGCATAATTTAGTTTCTGTTTCTTTCCAATGGAGGGGGGAAAATAGGCGCGTGCATGTGATGAAATAAATTTATTACGATTTAGACGTTCTTAATCCTATATTGTTCTACTTTGAATCATGGTCGCTTTACTTTAGTTGAACTTTACTTCGCCACGTATCTTTAAAGATGTAATCCATTTTGTTCGATTTTCTCACGCGAAATGGAAGTTTTTACGGTGTGTCCATTACCATTTACTACTAAAAATTTCTTATTCTGGTTATATGATGTGATTGAAGGTGTTTGTTGTCGTGGCAATGTTACACTTGTGATGCGCTTAGCCTGAATTGGTTTCACCTCAATGTAATGTTTCTGTGGCTGTGGCTTTGTTTTAGAACTACCATAATTCAGTTTTGCTTCTTCCTTTTCCGCTCTAAAAATGAGAGAAAATGAAAGAAGAAAAATTTGATTAATGAGAAGCACTTAAGAGTCTTAAGTAGAGGACGGAAGTTGTAAATATCTCGAATGAGTATTAAAAGACATACTTAAGGATAATAAATTAATATTTGAATAAAATTTGACGAGCTATAAACTCCATTAAAGTGATAGGGAAACATTTGGGTCACCAAGATCAGAAAATCAACTTTAAACTTACAAATATCTTGTAATGTCTTCAATATCAATCAACATTGAATCTTGTCTCATGCTTAAATCATCACGATCCATCAAATATTTCACAAGCATCTCATTTAATGTTTCAATGAATGTATGAAACTCATTGATGATAATTTGTAGTTGAGCGATGTTCATCGTGGTTAACATTTGTCGAGATAGACGACGTTTTGATGGTGAAGCTTTCAATCCAACTTTTCCAAGAGTTCGATGAACTAAATCTGTGATTGGACACATGCCTTGCTTCTGTTTTTCAATCTGCTTGTAGAATTTTAATAAAATTAATTGAGTTATTTCAGTAATGAGCTCTTTTACCTCCATCTGCATATGCGCCATGTCTTTAGCTTGGGCCAAGGCCATTCGAGCCTCAATTTGCAGACGAGCTTGTTGCGTGAAGAAATTATTATCGCTTGGATCAGATGCTTGAATCAAATGAAGTGTCGATGGTCTTTCAACTGTATGGACAAGTGAATATTACATCTAATCGTGAATCACGTAATTTAATCTTTCTTACCTTTTTCGTTTCCATCTAGCACCGATCTCACCACTGAAAGCGGACGTGAATTGTAAGGATTGTTATTCAAGCTTGCATTTCGATGATACATTAAACTGCTCGGTCTCTGAAGGTTCTTCTTTCGATTCATTCCTTGCGAAAGCTTTGGGCACGTCTCACTGTCAGAACTTTCACTGTCTGATGCTGCTTCGTTCATAAAACAAATCTGAAGATTTCTGCCTAGAATGGGAAATGTTTTTATATTTTTATTGTTTTTACATAAGTAATAAATTGTGCGAAATCAACTGCGATGTCATTGATGATGACGTGATGTCAATAAATGAATCTTACCATTCTGTAATCTCGATTGTAAGTTGGGCTTTCGAATGGGGCGTGAAGCTGCTAAATCGGTGAAGTAATCATCTTCTTCTCCCATTGCCAATCGACGACGAATCGCTTCCCGATCATTTTTTCTCTGGAAATAAAAAAAGAGAGAAAGCATTTCATTAATCAATTTGGCATGTTCAAGTTCGATAAATGAAGTGAGGTGAGAAATATTTTCAGTCAATTTACGTTTGGACTGTCACGATGATTTTCCATGTTTATGCATCTTATGAATTTTTCAACGACATTGTCAAGTTCATCGAGAGATTTTTCGGGAGGTCTAAGTGAAATGGGTGACCATAAACCCGTAATATTTTCAGATCCTTTCGAACACACTCGAGGCAACATGAATAAATTTTCATTGCAAAACGAATCATCTTGATTTTGATTAACAATCGAATATCCCGCATTCAACAACTTTAAGAAAATATTCTGACTTTCCTGAATATCTGTTGAATGAATTCGAGATTTAAATGATTCATCGCCTATTTTCGTAGCTAAGCGATTTTTTATTGAACTCACAAAATTACTAAACATTCTCACAATTTTGAAATGATTCTTAAGCAGTCATTGAAAACTATTCAATTGAAATGGGAATCGAGAACTGGCACATAGAAGGAATGAATCATAACATATTTTACAATCTACACACATTATTGAAAATAAAATGAATTGGCATAAAGGACGAGGGCAGTGTGTTAGTAAGTTCAAGTTGCAACAGCTGTTAGATAATGAAAGAAGTTCCTTCACAGCAAACGTTGTACTGAACATGTGTTGATCATATCGTGATATATCTTGAATCTTTTACACAAAAATTGTTAAACCAGATTTACAAATACAAATAAATTTACGAATAAATGAAGGGAACCAGTAGAAAAGGGTCTCGTAAATATCTCAAGTACCTGCTTGAAATGTTATTGAATAATTTTTTTTGTTATTTCCTTTTTTTTTCTCCATATTCCATGTCGTTGCATTAGCTAACGCTTCTTTCATTTTCATAGACGTCCCTCGTCCACTCATAAATTTCGAATAATGCGACAACGTGACTGAAGGCCGTAACAACTGACTAAGCATAAAGCAAGAGCGAAAAACATTTCTCGTAACGGCGTTTTAATGAAAATTGGTCTCTCCGACAAATACTATTTATGGTTTTGCCATCACTTAAGCTGAAAAATGGAGAAATCAAAGTAAACAAAACATTTTTCCGAGACTATTAATCTGATAACTATGTTTGAAGTGTGCATGATTATGTGAACTTTATGGTTTAGGGTTAGTAAGACGATGAAAAATTACAAAAAAATCGCAAGGGAGTTGACGACGGATGTGATGTTCGCTGTTCAGTTCATTTCACGCTTTATATATTTAAGATACGTCTCATTGATTAGAAATATTTATTTCTCATGAACGTTCTTTCCACTCAAGTACGTGATTAATCTTTATGTTTATGGTTATGAGTCAGACAACTCGAGAAAAGGAAGAAAAAAGTTCCATTAAAGCGCAATCAATACAAATTACGATACTGAAAGAAGCAATCAGGTGAAAAGCAAACCGAATTGGACGAGAAATGGTTTTGAAATTTAGCACATGGAATCATTTTAACGACATTCACTTCTTCAAGCGGTTTAATTAATCGTCAGGTAAAGAAAAAATTAATTTCATTTCTCGGTGGTTTTAGTGACAATTAAAATTCTATCATTAGATGTCGATAGTGAGAAACAATTTAATTTAATAGAACGAAGGAAAAAAAATGAAATCAAGAGAATAATTGAATTAAATATTCTAGAAATGCAAGAACTAAAGCGTCTTGCTGATTATGATGAAGAAGAAATAATTAAGAAAATTCACCTCGTGCTTTCTTCGATGTCGGGAATAATAAAAATTATTTTAAAGCTCCTTAAACACGCTCTTTTATGTACATCTTCAGCTGAGAATGAAGAAGCTATAGTCAAGCTTGAAAGGTATTAATTTCATTCTGTCCAGGAAGCCTGTTGCAAAGCTCATTTTTCATGGTCGTCGTCTTTGCTAAGGTTTATGTTAATCTGATTTTTACAGGAAAACATTTTTCACAAAGGGATCGGAATGAAAAAAACATGAAAACTTCAAGAGAGAAATCTCCAAGGAGTTTGTGGTAACATGAAAGTTGAATTTCTAGCGACATTGCTCTTTGGGTTTTTTAATCATTCAAATAACGATGTGCTTATTATGAATTTTAATTCTTGTCTGAACGGACAATGATCTTGAAGTAGAAATTCAACGCCAAAATATTACAGTGTAACTTCGATAAACAGATAAACCTTGATAAACAGATATTTTTGCCCCTTTGAATCGAATTTGTATCTAAGATTGCCTCGATAAACAAATAACCTCTATAAACTGATGCCCCTTGAGCTATCTGTTTATCGAAGTTCCACTGTAGAATTAATAAATATTTAAAGAATCAAAATTGTTTTGTTCACGTCGACCAACTTTATCACTTAAATAATTTCATTTAATTTAATTTCATAAAAATTGCACTCTGCTTATTGTTCAGTTTATAGAATGGAAGAATCTTTCTCTTTCAAAACACGAAGAATACATAAAAAGGTTTTGAAAATATCAAAATACGTAAGCTCGCTGTCATTTGAGTTGAAGTTTTCTCATGAAAGTTTTTAATAAAAATGTGTAAAATATGGAGAAGAGGAATTTGTGTTGACATTTATGTCTAAAGTTTGCAATGTTTTAGCACTAACAATAAGAATGGTAGAAAAATGATTTTCATAGTATTTACTCATCGTGTTGTAAAGAGAAGGAAAATTGTTTTCTCAAATCCAAGCAAACTCAACATCTATAATTGTTTAATTAAATTTTAAAACTCAACAACCTTCTTCAACATATTTACGTAAGCATTTCCATCGCTTAATCATGTCAAAGTTAACTAAATAAAAAATTACAATGACATGTAAAAAGTTCATTAGAAAATGTTTTGTGTTGAAAATCAATTAACGTCACAAATTAAAATAGAATGGAATTTCAACGTACATAAACATTGTCAATTAATTGACTTTTTCACTCTCACACCCTTTTCAAAAAATAATTCAAAGTTAATAAAACTTACGATGTCGTTCTCATTTTTATCTGCTGTGAAATGAAGTGATGAAATCAACTCATTTGTCGTGTATAAACTTTCATGGTTATCGTAGGTCAATGTGTACAAGTCATTTACATAACGTGAGTCCTTTTTGTAATGTCGTTTGATTGACATTAGACTCGACAACGAGTCCATACCTTCGATATACATTGTGAAGGTTTGTAGCACAACACGACACGATAACGTAGCTTTCCAAACTTTTATTAGAACTTACGGCAATTTTTACAGTTTCTCGCGTTGCGTATGTTTTACACAAAAAAAAATGTTTTTTTTCATTAATTTTCACTAAGTCAGTCAAAAAAAAAACAAACGATTGAAGAATAATAAAAAATGTTTTCATGAAAATTCAACTTTGACAGACATTTTTTTATATTTCCATTTCACGTCGCATTTACTCACTCACGACACTGAGTTTTGGCGATCCGATAAAGCGACGACACGCCTTGAAGCTTTTTCGATGAAAATAAAGAGAGAAATTTCAATTTTCCATTCAAGTCACAATCAATCATCCTTCTTTACAAGAGACTTCTGTGTGCTTTCGTGTTCTATGAAGAGAAATGTGACGAGAAAAAAAAGCAACCACAAATCAATTATCGTGATAAGTGCTTTCAGCTTTTTTTGTTGCATGGAATTGTTTAAGTATATTGATTTTTCCACCTAAGCACTTTCGGTTAATTCACTAGAATTTTATCACAATAGTTTCTTGTTTATTTTCAACTTATCGGAAATTATTTATGCCAACAAAGTCAAAGGAAAGTAACTGACAAACGAGACGTTTTTCATGAATTTGATTGCACGCGATAAGTTAAATGATCTCACTGGTTGAAGAAGCTTTTAAAAACTATTCATGCCGTTCACGATTGATTAAAAGAAATTTGCTTCTCACTTTTGAATGTTTTTGATGGAAATGGAAAGAGAGAATAAAAATATTGTAAGCAAAAAAAGTAGATAAGTTGGCAAAACTGTATTCAAGTATAATTCATGAACAATTTGGAGCATAAAATTGATGGTTTGAGTTGCCAGATTAACAAACTTTTATTGTTGAAGTAAAAATCTTCTTCAAGATTGAAATCAAACGAAACTCTGATGTTCTCCGAAATTTTTTGAAAACAAATGTGTGGTTCAATAACCACTTTAACTCAATTATCGTAGTAATTGGCAAAAGCTACGATCTAAATTGAAATCAATTTCATCGCAGAAAAGAAAGAAACAAAGAAACCTGACCATCTTTACTGTTTTCTTTTTCAATCTTTCTCATTTATTTTTAAGGTAAGTAGCGGAAAGATGAAGCAATATAAGAAGAATGAGAGAGCACTTAAAAATAAGACGATTATTGAGCAGAAATGTTCGTGCTCCAAAGTCTTCACGTTTATGTCTATCGAGGTGAAAATTTCTTTTAATCTATTCAATGAAACAAATTAGCAAGTAAGAAAGTGCGACTAGTTAAACATAAATTTGATTTAGTTTAATTTTATTCAGAGTCAAAGTAGCTACGTAAATTTATTTGATTTCAGACTCTGAAATATTCAAGGTGAATGTTAATGTGAAATGAAATTAATGGGTCTGCAAATCTTTAAATTATTACAATCGCGATAGCAGGAAAATTTATTTGTTATGCCTCTTTCGAATGCCTTTAAAAATTCACCGCCTTATTTATTGCCCGAAAGTAAAGGTCGATGTTATTACACGCAACGATCATAGGCTCAAGTCTCAAATAATGAACTAACTTGTTTAAATTTTTAATGTTTCACTTTCTTAACTCATCAAATATCTTGAGATTTTAATTTCTTTAATCAATTCTTTAAGAAACTTTCTCTTCAACCTTAAGAAGAGATCTGAAAAGCTCTTAAATAAATGCAATATTTTCCTACCTTGTAACAGCCTTCATTAATTTCTCAACTGATTTTATCAGCTTGTAAAATAAAATGAAAAAAGGTAAAGCGTGCGCTTCGCAGCGTGTCAAGTCAAATGAAGAAAGTCTGATAAAACATAACGGCAGAGCAAATTTGATAATATGAAAATTCATTTAAAGTCGCACATTGCGATTCATATGGTTCATGAATAACGATTGTATAACTTTTTATGAGTCATTCGAGGCAAGTGTTAAGCATTCAAAAAAACCTAACGTGAAATGACTTTTCGTGGCATAGCGAAAGAAGAAAGCAGACTTAAGTGGCATGATTTTGGGAGAAAGATTTCGTGAACGTAGAAAAATAAAACCCTTGTAAAGCAAAAAGTATTTTTCCGGTTGAGAAAAGAAGGATTTATTGTTCTATTTCCAAAGCCATATAAAAAGTAATTAAAATTTTCCTTCGTGCGGAGAGTGAAAATACCGATTTAATGATCATTAAAACTTCTTTCTCGTTCTTATTTGCGTAAAAGAAACTTCTTCACGGTATAAAGTTGGAGACTTTGCTTCGTGTAAAGTTTAAGAAGTTTTCTTTTTTTCTATATAAGTCGCTTTCACTTTCATTAACGACTCTATAAGCACATTCATCCTATCACCATTGAGCACGCAGGGAAATTACAAAGAAGGGAAGAAAACTTCATTATTTTCTGATTTCTTCACCTTTATGTCGACAAAAGAAAACATTGAAGCTAGAAGGCAGAAATGCGTGAAGCTTTTGCTTAAATCTTTTTTCTTTCATTTTTCTCCCACACCCACGCACCTTACACAATTTCATGTCACAATGATTTTCTGACGAAAAACACGCCGTGTCAGAGATCATTCCTTAATCCATTTGTTTACTTACTTCTGTCTCTTCTACCTTATCAATTTTGGCATCGGTTACAGCGTGATTTATATTTTGTGAACGTTGTCGTCTAACGTCACTAATCGAATCACTTCTGTTATCTCCCGCTCGACATTCGTCTCGAATTCTATTTGTGGTTGGCGATGTAATATTATTATTCGATGACGTTCCACTCATTGGAGCTTTTTTCAAATATAACGAGAGTGGATCATTGTCATCTAAATCACATTCTAGCATCATGTTTTATTCACTTTCCCACCTTGTTATTGATAGCACTATGAAATTGAATATCCAACACTGAAACACAAATTTCTATCGCTTTATTATTTGCTACGCAAGAATAAACATTTTCATGTAGCTTAAGATCTTTTCAAAACATTCTTTGATAAGGTAAAATGTCGTGTTTGAACAAAGCTTTGTGAAAGTACAAAAATAACGATAAGAGAGAAGAAGAGAGACTGTGATGATTTGAAATTATTTCAAAGGATGTTGTTAAGCACTGCGGAACTCTTATAATTATTTTGCGCATCGCTACCTTTAAGTGAACAACAACAAGCTCTTCATTCATTACATTTTACAGGTGTTTCTGTAATGACTGCATCGTTAGCTTTGAAGAGACTGAAGTATTCAAAATCAGCAGGGGAAGTTGAAAGAATCATCAAATCATTTATTTATCTCACGCGCTTCTCTTGAAGAAAAATTTGCGTATCACTCTCATCATTACACGAGACATTTTTCACGGGAATATTTTGAGACCGTCAAAAGTTTATTGAAAAACATGTTTTTCCCTTGCATGAAAGGTACGTCAAATAACTTTCTCTATGCTGTTTAAATGTAAATGAAACATAGAACACGAGTCAACATTCGCTCTCTATTCTCAGCAAATCCCAAATCTACATTGACTAATCTCAAACTTTTCATGTAAACAGTTTTGTTGCTTCTTTTATCATTTTTCATGTACTATTTTGAGGATGTAGAAAAGGTTGATTTTTAATATATGTGAACGCTCTCATAATATAAATAAATGTGAATTTTATTCAGATAGCGAAAGAATGGGAGCAAAACGATGGGGTATCATCGCTTTAGTAGAAAGGCTTGCGCTTTCCCAGGCTCACCTCAGTGTGTGATTTTTACGTTTTTTTGCTTTTCGATTTTTACTTTCTTTTTGGGGGTTTCTTTTACTTACAATTTGAAATGCAAGGATGACTTTTGCCTTTTGTCGTTGAATACTTAGCAATGAGTGGAAGGATGAAAACTACGACCCCGGCATACTGAAGAGTGAACACATTCGTAACGGAAATGCTTTAATACGTTTCGTTGCTTATACATAAACATAGCCCAGTTATTTAATACAAAACGTGCTTTAGATAAAATTATAAGGAGAAGAAAGGAGAAGACGATGAGAAAAAAAGAAAGAAGCATTTTTCCTGTTGAAAGGAAAATCGAAATGACAAAAAATGCGATATTTACACATAATATTTTGTTCCTTTCATTCAATGTCTGAGCTCGACGTTTGCAGATAAGAACAGGCATAACGGACAGACAATAAGTAAGTGAGAGAGACGTAGACAATTTTTCAGGTTTCAAGATAGAGAATGGAATGAAATGAATAAGAAAATAATATTTTCCCATTTCCTAAGAACAAGAAAAGCATTTCCTTTCACTCGTTTAAGAAATGGCAAAATATTTCCTTTCTTTTTTTTGCTTTGTGAGTATTAAAGGATTTTCATTTTCTTTGAAATTTCTGTGAATACGTTGAGTGCTGCTCTCTAAGCTCATAATCATTGGGAATTGTTGAGAAGTTACGTAAATTTATTACAAAAAATTTTGCTGAATTTCTTCCTCCACCCTACTGAGATTTAAGATCATCCCAAAAGTTATCAGAAATTTACGAAATCTTTAATGAAATGAAATTCCATTTCACGAACTAAATTTTCTTTCTTTTATCTCAGTTATTTCTCATGAAAGATATTGCATATCGAAAACACAAATTTATCGTCAGATATTATCGCTTCGTGCTTGTATTTTCGATCTTCTTATCCTCGACAAAATGTTTATTTTCTTATCATTTTCATATCTTTATGCATTCGCAATTTATCAAAATGAAATGAGCGTCAAACGTCTTTGCAAGTGGCCAATGACACTGACGGAAATTTATGACGCTCATGGTGAACATGCCAAAGGAAAAAATGTTGAGAAGTTGAAAAGTTTAATTGGTAGTTAAGTAGCGTGGCCAGTTGCTGACTGTGTTAGATCTTTGGATTAAACTTCCCACTTGGCTTCTAATGAGATCTTGAGAAAACGATTTCCATCTTCTCTTGGCCTCGTCTCTCTCTTTATTCAAACTTCTTTTATTTTATTCTACAGCCATTCACACTTTATTGTCAGTCGTAAATCTCATCATTTGAAATGATGACATTTTAGGAAAAAAAGGCGGAGAAGTTTGAACAAAAAAAAACTTTTTTCTTAGCTTTCAATGGACAGAAAATGAAGGAAGAAAAATTTTTGTCTTATTTTTTTCTGAGGCAAATTGAAAAAATATCTTGATGGTGTTTATTGTTTTGATGAAACTTTATCATCGTTTTTCGCATTCGAAAGGCAAGAAAGGAGGGAAAGAGTGGAATACTTTTAATGATGATGGTTTGGGTCTCATGATTGTCACAACAGTAAAAAGAAACCGGAAAGCTTGACGAATTTCACGTCATGGAAATTTGAAAGGCATAGCATAAAATGTCGGACGAAGGAGGAAAAATTACTTGCTAGCCTTGCACATGGGATTCGTTTTTATATTTATTTTACTTCAACTAAAGGCAACAATTTATTCCTTTTATACTTATGAAGTCTTAAGATGTTGCGAAAAATAAAATATGTACAGGATTCTTTTTCTTCTTGTTTATGGCAGTCAAAGCGACGCTAACGCTATGCAATGCAGGAAGAAGTTTCAGTTTGTTTATTTTTTACACAATTTCACCGTTTTTATTTTCAGGGCTCCAAAGGCGATAATTTTTTTTTATTTTATTGACTTTTGTACGCTCGCGAAGCTTTGCTCGTATTTATTTCACTTTACGAAATTAACTTCATAGGAATAAAAAGAAACGCAACTCGTGAGCTGTGAGATAAGAAATCAATTTTCAATTTGTATTAGTGATTCCGATAAAACGACTCATGAGGGAATTATAAAGTAAAGTGCGGGAAATTTAATCAGAATGTCATAAGTTATTCAAAAACTGCAAGCTACTTAAATGTTGAAATATTTATTCTTCACACGTAAATAAGCAAAATACCCGCAACTGCAGCTAACAAGTTTCTAAATATATGACGATCCAATTAATTTTTGCATTTTAATTTAGTCATGGTGGAATTTTTTCATTCTTTAATTTCTCGTTGCACACATGTTTCCTGATATATTTTAAAGCAAATAACGAGATGATCCACAAGTCACTACGTACACAAAAGCTGTTTGCGTAATCAGATTGCTTCCTTTGTTTAATTTTTAAATATTTAAAATTCACGGAGAACTGAAATTTATTTATGTTCACTTTTTCCAGACTTTTTCCGAAATTTCTCTTTGCAACGTGACATTTATTCGTTCGTTATAAAAGTTTCAACTCGTAAGTAAGGTGTGAGAAACGACTGAACATGTTCAAACGATTAAGTGCGACTTTGTTATGTGAATAAATTTAGTACTGAAGGTTTGAAACTTTAGTTTTTTGCTTATCGCAAAAGCAAAATTCCATTCAACAAATACTTTTATAAAATCAATTTAATGTGTGCAGCTGATATCATTTGTAACAGGTGAAGCTTACTCCAAAAACCATGAAATTTATTCTTTCTTATCATTAATGTTTTCGCTTCCAAAAACTAATCACAGACAAACACGCTGACCGGTTTATATCCCACATAAAGGTCAAGCTCATAACAAAAAAAATTAACCACACACATAATGGGGAATATCAGACATTTCTGAATGAAACATTAATTAAAAGCAAATCGTTCATAAATATTCATTCGTTCGAGGTTTTATCAAAAATTTATGTTACATTGTATGTTCCCATGCCTGTATTTCCGCAAAACATGAAAACCATAAAGTAATTACACTACTAATTTAATCAAACATAAACTCTATACATGTTAAAGTTGTGCAATTTTCATTTTATTGATCTTTATGGTTGTCTTCCTCTTGCCGACTGCTGTTGGAATTCAAAACAAATGTGTACGTGCCGAGGTCGATGGAATGAGAATTAAGTTAGCTTATTGATAAGTGTTATTAAGTCTGAAATTAATTCTAGATCTTTGTCTAATTGAAAAACACAAATTTCATTAGAAAATTTAATCTTAGGCTTAAATGAATAATGCTTAATATCCTGTCTTTAATCTTCAACAAATTTTTAAAATTCCTTCTGTTCAAATAAAATTTCGTGCTTTCTTCTTTAGATATCATAAAACTGTTAGAAATTTATGCTGATAGAAACCCCCCCAGTCATGACATCCGGTTCAAATGCAACATTAAAAGTTTGTTGAACAATAAATCTGGTTCATTGCGAGAAGCTTCTTTTTCCAAACTTGGACATCTTGCTGTTCTCTCGGCTTTCTATCGATTTCTCGTTTCAAGCACGACCGACGACAAAGAACATTAAACCCACTGGCAATTGACACATTTTGTGTACAAAAATCTGTCCCGTTTTTCTGTGCTTTGACACAAATTTAATTGAGCATGAAGCTTCTGATGGCAAAAGAACTTTCGACCTCTCCGGCAAGCACGGAATAATTGCATAAATTAACATAACTTAAATTTCCTTACAAGTTTCAACTCTCCAAAAATGAAATTCATCATTTTTGGTTGTTTTCAAAGGTAAGTTTCTCCATCGATAAGGTGAGATTGTGAATTAAAATTTGAGTCAGGTTTTGTGTATCAAAAGGCAAATGAGGAAGAATTATGTATGAGGAAATTGTTTGAGAGAAACATGCAATTTTCTTTAGTCTGAAGGAAGCTGTTATGTTATTGTTGGTAGCCTCATCTTTTCGCAACACATGCTCGCAAGACCATAAAAATTTTATAGCTTCAAATGTAAAATTTCTGCTGCTCTCTACTTCTCTTACTGAAACTATAACTTTCGCTTAGATTGTGATTTCATTTGAGGGAATAGATTTAAAGTATCTTAGCAGAAAGCTCCAAGTTCAAACCATAAAATTATGTTTGCCAATTCATAAAATCGTTTCATTTTTTCTTTCCAACTTAAGCAATAAAATGTTTTTAATACCAAATGCATTACTTTATTAAAATTCAAGTTACGCCCAAGGGAAATAGGAGCTTTGAACATGCATTTAAAGTTCATGAATCATCGTTGAAAAGTACACAGTAAGTTCAATTTTAAGTCATAAATTTTACAACTTTTTCCACAAAATTGACTTTTTCGTATAATTTTCACAACTCCAATGAATGCTTTCGGATCATTTTCGTGATAACAATTTCAAATTGTGTAATGTAAAAAAGAAAAGCCAGTTGAATGCAAATTGCTATGTAATAATAATGATTATTGTTCACGGAAAGGAACGACTCTCAACCGACAGAAACTATAATAATGTTAAACTGTTCTTTTAGTGGCAAGGTGCAAGCTATTATTTGTATTTAAATGTCTCACGTCACGATAATGTCGCTTTGAATCGGCTTACCGTTAGTCAAAATGAAGTGTGAATTTGCCAAAAGAATGCTTAAAAATAATATGAAGTTTAAAGGTCAAAACTATTTATTTCGATGATAACCGGAATGTAAACCCATCAAGCAAGGCAAAAACCTTTTCAATAACCGTAAAAGTGAAAAGCTTTCTCAATACAAAACCTCATTTCATTTTCCTGTCATATGAAGACATGCCCATGATAATATTCGAGGGTCAAAATTCACTTGTTTGCGGTCTATTGAACTTGAATCTAGCTTTGTAGTAAAATTTAATATCATAATTGGATAAAACTTTTATTCAAGAAATTTTAATATTCTATTCACCCAAAAATGTTCTCTTTTTATCGTTTGGTTGTAAAGTTTTGGATAAAAAGCTTAGCTAATGTAATTTATTAAATTTCAATATTATTCCAGAAAACATTCCTCGTACTTATCTGTCAATGCTCTCAACATGAAAATATTTGAAAATTAATCTTTTACTATTAGCTTTAGATATCTCACAAACTTCTCCTTTTAATTAATTAATTAATTTCAATACTATCTCAGTACTAAATACTTAGTAAAGTCGAAAGAAAAATAAGAGAAACTTTCTCGGAAAACTCATTCAATTTTCATTACATTCTTCGTAATGTTCAAACTGCTCTCATAATTCATTCAATGTTTGAAGAAAACTTTGATAATTGTAGAATTTCGCTTAAATTACATTTCTCAGCTGTTTGAATACATCAACTAAAGACTCATATGAAGTTATCGACAACGAGAAAACAAGAAAGCACATAAAACAATTTCAACTTTAACATGAAGAATTGTTCAAGCATTCAACATCAGAAAACCAACAATCGAGATGACTGCAAAACTATGTATGAAGGAAAACTTTCTCCACACATCTCGTAATTGTTTCTCAAAGTCATAAATTTTTGTTTTTGTTCTTTCTCCTCTGTGCATGACTTAAAGGGGGTAATTCATGACGGTTAAATGAGATGGAAAAAATAAACCAAAACCATCAAATTAAGAGTTTTAAAGGAATTTTTAAAAGGTTTTTAAAGACGAGAAATGCCAAACATAATTATAATGAATTGCCCCTTACATGACTAGAAGCAAAAAAATATTGCACAATATTTAATTTCATAAGGTTTCATGATTATGTTTTTTTTACGACTAATAAATATAACAGCAGCAGCGCTATAAAATCCTTCAGAACCCTTGCTAACAAACCTTGAATCACGATCAAGAGCTAAAAGGTTTTCGTTGTTCGACGATTTATTTAACTCTGAATCAATCCAAAAAAAAGCTTTTCCGAACCTCCAATTAGGGACTAATTGCTGAAAGACGAGAACAAGCGTCAAATTTCGTTTCAGCAATAAAAAATTGTGTTCCTTGCCAGTTTTTAAGCGACCGAATTTAATGACTGAATCATAATCAACCACAACTTTGTAAAATTTCATTTTTATGAAAAACTCACCTTTTGTTCTTCTTCCTTAGCCGCCATCAAATGCGTTTCAATTGCTTCCATATCAATGACGGGAAGGGCTGTCTCGATATTATATACATCGAAGGCGTCTGTAATTTAAATTACATTAAAATTTAATTATTTTTATACATCTGCATAGCTTTTAAATCAAAGCTCACATAAAGCTTGATAAATAATTTTAAATTAATTGCTTTCAAATTGTTCAATTATAAACTTGACTTCGTTTCATGACAAAATTTCTTCTCGACAACTGTCAAAATCTTGAGAGAAGATAAATTGTTTAATCTGAAAAGCAAATCGTTGAAGAGTTTGTGAAAGGATTTCAAGAATGCGATGAGTTTATCTTGGTGAAGTGATGAAAGAAGTTTAAATGATTTTTGTTTTATTTGCTGAGTTAACTGCGAGTGAATTTGAATTACCTGAAATTTCTTTCGGATCTTTTTTCTTTGTTGGCACCTTTTTTTCACAATCACGAACGATACACGCGGACTTTCGCGATGGGAAATTAATATTTTTATCACCGCACTCATTCATTCCCACTGCGATTTCACATTTAGTGCTATTACGATTTCGCTGTTCATGTTTATGGCTCATAATGTTTCTATTTTTAGAAATATCGATAGATTTTTGATTCTTTTCATCGTTCATGTTTACACTCGCGTTCGCGTCTATAATTTTTTTAATCGGTTGCACAATGGCAACACCACAATCGGTTTCCTTTTGATTGTGTCGTAATGAATTTATTGATTCCTTATCACCACTCATCTCATAATCAACACATAAGTCACCGCCCTTATTTACCACTTTCCGGTTTTGTTGTTTAGCAAAAGACTTTTGCGATTTTGGCAAATGCTTTTGTACTTTACGTGGTGTAGTTGTGATTGTAGTTGACAATGTGTTTGCTTGACTGTGCCAACTTGTATCATCTGTTGATCCACAAATAGGAAGTTGACGGTCGTCGAATGATAACTTTTGATATTTCGGCTTTACAATTGCAGTTGGAATAAGACTCTCGCCATCACCAGCATCGTTCGAAAACTGATTCATATTCGACACATTTTGATCGTTCATGTCGACTAATGTGCTCTTCATAGTGATCGTTTCTTCGACGCTTGATAATGCGGCATCGCCCATCTGGATTGTGTTTTTGTTTTCATTTCAATCATCATGATGTGTGGGTTGTGAATGGGAAAAACAGAAAAGAAATTTATTTTTTTACTTTGTCAGACATTCAAATAACACACAGTCTTGTTCAAAAGAACCATTCTTCGATTTTTCCTCTCAGATAAAATATAAAGTGAAGCTAAATAACATGTATTTTTAATTAAAAGTTAAAAATTTTAAAACAGAACAAGATCTGAATAACAACGTCACTATGTATCGTATACAGATACGAAGCTATTTAAAAATACATACGATTGTGTTCAGAATATGTTGCATAATAACATAAAAAAGTAAAAACAAACACAAGTAAAATACTGATATCGGTTCTAGTTGTTGCTGCGTTCTTTTCAATTATTAAAGATGTGAAAGAATGTAGAAATGAAATTGTTTGAAAATGTTTCAGAATGTGAGCAGAAAGTAGGAATTTTAATCTCTAAACAAGCCATTTTCCCATCTTTAATGTTGCCAAATGTTAACAAAATATAAACCGGAGGAAAGCTTGCTTTAATTTCTCACTTCATTTTCAAGGATATTATGAAAAACATTGTTGCGGAAATTAACGTTTTATTCTTCATGTTCAAGCAGAAATTTTCTCTCTGTTTAAATGTTGAACTTTAAAAATTAAACCCGTGAAGATTCTTTAGCCTTTTAATTCAATTTTAATTATTTAAAAAGGCAATCTGGTCATTCTTCTAAAATCCATTTTTAAATTGCGATTAAATTGGTGAAAACATAAGTAACAAAAAAAAATATGACGGAAATTACAAATTTTAATCCAATTAGCCGAGCCTGAAAACTTTCTGGTTTAGAATAGAAATTTATTCAGTCTCGTTCAATTTCAATTAAAATGGTTTTAAAGAAACAAATTTCTCGAAAGGATACACTTGGGTCTCGTCTGATGGAAAAGTTTTTACTCTCATTTTCATCAACAACTTTTCCGTTTATTGAAAACTGTGGTACAATTTAAAACATTGCTAAATTATCGCCAAAAAGCTTATCAAAAGATTTCTCTCATTATGATAAATTTATTATCAAAGTTTCAACATCGCGACAGTTGCACAAGCACAAGAGGGGAAAATTTTTCACTCCGTTCCATTGATCATGTTAAGCTGAAAAGTAAAAGCTCAAATGACTAAATAATATGATAATAAATTTGCTGATTTATTGCTTCAACATTGGTCATGTTTGTTCGCAAATGAAAACTTCATTAAATTCGAAACGTTGCTTGAATTTAAAAAGACTTTTCTCATCATAACTTTTGTGCTGTGCATTTGTTGATTTGAACTTATTCGAACCTTTTTTTTAATAGAATTAAGTTGATGAAAGCTGAACACAAGTAAAATAAATGACCGGCAATGTCGCGTATTGAATGAAATATTATGATTATGATGACAATGAAGGGAAGCTTATGCTGTCCCTTAAAATTATCGATAAAGGTTGATGAAAAGTTTAAGAAGGTAAACGCAAAGACGAATATTTCTCGAAGGTTCATCAGGAACGGAAAAAAAGGAAAAGGATCAAGACTTCACTCACCTTACTAAAATATTTAAGATGTTCAATAAATTTATTCTCATCGAAAACGAGTTCTTGTTCCTTCGATGAGAACTCGACATCTTTAATGGGACGGATCGATTGTTGAGCCTTTTTCTCATTCGAAAGTTCTTCACAGAACTTTTCATTTGTTGCATTTCGATAACCGGAAACAATTAGACCGATTTCCTTCTCAATTTCTTTTCCAAAATCTCCGATTATATCGACCGTGGTTGACGTGGCACTTTCAAACGACAATGGATGATTTTTCCGAATTGTTATCTCATTTGAATCAGAATTTGACGCCGTCTCGGTCTGCTGCATTTGATTAATTATCTTCTCATCATTCCCATTGTCGATTATATTGCGCTCGTTATCACCTTTTTCATTTTCATGCAATTCTTTCACATTCCTCCGGATTTCCAGTTTTCCTTCATCTTCATTATTGTCGTTAATATTAATTGTCTCTGTTATGTTTTTAATTAAATCCGGTTGGTAATCGTTCACATCATCCGATTGTGATACGTCAACCATTTCACTTTTAGATTCATCTCCAACAACGACGACTGCTGGTAAATTACTTTCATTCATGTTATCTTCACTGTTATCGTCGTTCTGAAGCTTTTTATTATTATGTTCAATTAAAATATCAGGTGTTGGTAGTTTGCTATTATCCTCATCGGTCAAACATTCTTCTTCCGTTTTATGTTCATTCTCGTATTTGTATGTTTTATTCAAATCCATTTTGAAGTCGTATTGGGTGAGATAAGTGGCCAAGTCACAATTTATATTCTCATTGAAATCATTGTCTGCTTTATCAATATTCTCCAATTCATTCTTAATAGCGGCGTCATCTTCTCCACTTAAGTCAGCCAACTCATCGTCATCCTCATCGAAATCCATTCGACTTGAATCGATTTCAACCTTAAAGGAAATATTCGAAGAAACATTGCAGCATTCTTCGTCCTCGCCATCAGACATTTCCAAATGATTCTCATTCTCTTGGTGAAGATCTAAATGTTTGCTCTCACAGAAGACCTTCGGCTCTGATTTCATCAGTAAATTGTCGTTTCCATCTTCATACCCTTTATCCATCAACATTTGATTCTCCTTCATTATGCTCAAGTCATTCACAACATTCCTCGGTTTAGAAAAGCTACTGCGCCTATTTTTATTACGATTCAAATCAATATTCTTATCCAACGCATCAGCGTTATTGTTGATGTTATCATTATTGTTATTACTATCATTGATATCCCCCATGATATTCACGTTACCGAGATTTCCACTCCGATAAGCAGCATCAAAGTCAAAATCCTCAGATATTTCGCTATCAGACAACTCGAGCTGATGATGATCAATAAAATGTTCAGCGAGTGTATGCGCCAAATGTTGGAAGCCTGGATAATTTGGATTTATGATGCCACGTGGATAACGACGATGCTGTTGTAAATCGTTGGGATCTGGTGAACTGAGGTCAGCACAAGACGATGACGATGGTGATAAAAGCTCTGTGAACGAAAAGAAAAGAATTGAAAAATAAAATAGAAGAATTGAGGGAACCTGATGGATTTATCGCTATTTTCTGTCTTCCTTTCTTTTCTCTTCTTTTTTTTTCAGAGTAATGATAAATAAATAAAGCGAGAATGTTCTTTACTTCTCCTTTTCTACGAGATGATATCCGGTGACGATGTGCTACGAATGACAAAACATTTTATCGTCGCTATTGACAATTCCGGTGCCTTCAATCTTCAACAATTTTTCGAATTAATTTTCAATTTGAGTTTCAACGAAGCTCTTCATCATGTAATTGATTTGAAATAACTGCTTTGGGCCTCATGAAAGCAATAAAACCGATGGATGTAAGCTTATGCTTGTTTATGTTTTATTTCCATTCAATAATCATCGCAGGTCACATTGACTCAGTTTTTCATTCTTCATTTTCTTCTCAAAGAAGCTTTGAAAAATGTTTTATGAGCTTTTCTTTCCACTGAAATGAAAGTAAGTCGAGTGGAAAACTTTATAGCTTCGTGGTGAAGTTTTCCATTTTCAAAATCTTTTTTTTTCATTCTTTATAAAGAGGTAAAATGCCTGTAAAGTTTTGATGAACAAAGAGTTGAAAAATATTATTTTCCACTCGTTGACGTTGAGAGGATGAAATTTACATAAAATAAATTCAAAGTAGAGCGGCAATAATCAAACAAAAAAACGCAAGGATAGGAATAAAAAACTTCTTATCATTCCTTGAATTTCGAGAAAATCTTTCAAACTTTTATACTCGTAAACTTATAGAGTTTATGTTGAAAGTTTGAAACATATAAATATCATCGCACTCAATGTCCCTGACTTTTTGCTAAGAGAAACTGCCGGAGCAAAAATTCCATTTAAATGAAAGCTTATATGGTTCTTAGCTCTTTGGACGACAAAGGACTCGTGTTGTGTTTTATGCTGTTAAATATTCAATGCACACTTCGAAAAATTGCCTTAAGGCATCAATAGCACGCTTTATGCTTTTAAGACAATAACTATGGCGACAGTGGAAGAGAAGGAAAAGAAAATGGGACATTGAAATATATTTTTATGGAGTTTTCGGTAACACAACTCGTTGCGTTATTCCTTTAATTTTTTCAAAGCTTTGCAAAAAATATTGATGAATTATTCAAAAGCTTTCAAACGCCATTTTCTTTTAACGGTTAATTTATTTATTTCACCCTCGTTTTGGTTTTTTCTCTTTGCCTTAAACACTTAAAATGTTTGCGAGATCAATGTTATCTTTTAGCATGAAGAAGCACATGCAACAGCAAAATTAATGTGCAAGCTTTGAAAGGCATAGAAGCACGAACAAATGATTTACTGAGTTATGTTGAGAATATTTTTCTTGTTTCATGTGATATGAAATATTCAAACATATTTTTCATTCATCTGCTTCCATTTGCTTAAAAGAAACATTTTAGAGGATACAAAAGACAAATCACTTGAAATGGAAGAAGCCTCGCGTGAATCTAAATCAAACATCGATCAAAAGGAATCGCATCTAATTAATTTTCCTTTCTTCCCATTCTACTTCGATTTAAAGCTTTCATATGTGAATGAAAATGCGTTCAATCGATAAAAAGAGATAAGAAAGAAAGAAAAGTTTCCGTCTCGATAAAAAATATTCCCATTTGAAATTTCATTAAGTTTTCTCCGATTCATGAAAGGCAGATAACGATGCCTTCATCCGAGAAACGAGAAACGATAATATTAATGGCACATTCTTACACTTCTCTACACATATCTTAATCATATGAAGACGAAATTTTCCATTACTTTTACTTGACTCCGACAATTTTTAGGAAACGCAAACACTTTCTGTCGCAAAGATTGAGTAACATTCGTTTGTTTTTGAAATGAGTAAATGTGTAGATGAGAGTAAGACTAACATTCATTACTTAATAAAATTGCCAACGTGTTTAGGATTCGTAATTTTCCCTTCACCTCCACCACTTAATTTAGTGTTGCTTCTCCTAAAATCATAATTTTTTCCCTCTGCTTCTTAACTTTCTTGTTTTTTTGACACCAACCAACACTTTCTCGCTCGTGTTATCATTATAATGAAGATCGGGTTGTAAAAATGAGAAACGTAATATTGTAAAATGCACAGGAGAGAAGATGATAACTTCAAGTGAAACCGAAAAGGTTTAAAAACTTTTGCTTGGAAGAAGATTTATGTGAGATATTTAATCGTAGCACAAGAGATTAAAGTATGACATAAAAGTTCTATGTCAATTATCTTTAAGATGGTTGAAAGAAGAAGAACACTCGAGCGCTTTAATTAGGTATTCATAGACTTACCTTGGTCGTCTAGTAGACTATCAACGGGACTTGATTCTACGGAACAGCCAGCACTATTGACACCCATCTGCATCAATCCCTCATGCTTCGTCATGTAATTGGACTCTAAATCCAGCTTGATTAAGTTTTCCCTGCGTTGTCTTTGGAAGCTACTCAAACACTTCTGTACGTTGTAACTTTGATTTGTTATGCAATTATCATATGTTGGTGATGTCGGTGATAATGTTGCCAGCTAGATATGTATGAAGAGAAAGAAGAAACAACTTTAAGAAAAACATTACGCTGGTAAGTAAAGCTAACAAATATCAGTGATAAAGAAATATTTTCAATATTGTCTTGTTTGTCTAACAAACTTAAGGAACTAAGAAGGACAGAAGACACATAACGACGACGACGACGACTACGACGAAGACGACGAGAAAAACATAAAAAAAGAAAAAGTTTTTCATGATGAAATATCAATTTCACTATGGAGCAACTACTTAGATCTGAGGTTTCATGTTCTCAATGGAATTAATAGAATCAAACAGAACTTTGTCGCTTTTGCAAGATTTTTTTTCTTCCTCGCAAACTGGAAAACAGAAAAAGCAAAAGTGGAAAACTTGTAAGAGAAAGAAAAATGGTCGGCTTATGAATTAAATAATGAAAGGAAAAGAAAAGCAAAACTAATATTTTTAATTGAAAATTTCTCGCCCTTTTTCACACAAACAAAGATAAAGTTCACTCGTGGGAAATATTCACATTGTGTAAGGAGAAGATAAAGATTTTGGGAGTTTCACTCAGTTGAAATGCGATTTAGAAGATTTTCACGAGAAATAATACTTTTGATAATTCGCGTGTGTGTGTGCTTCTTTCAGCAATAAAAATAAATTAGATTCGTGTTAGAGATAATAAAATCGAGATAAATTCAAATGCAGGTCACACTGAGTGCTTTTGAAAGCTTTCTCCTTACATGATAATGATAAATATGTTTGCGATGTTACAAGTTCTTAACTCACCTCCGTTAAGTTATCTTCAATGAAATTTAATGTCTCAATGAAGATAATGCCATTGTTGCCGTTGCCTGAATCAATACTTTTAGTGTCTGTTTCTTGACTCTGCAAGTAGCTTCTGAAGTACTTGCTTTGACTCTTGAATTTTAAAATATTATCCAATGTTGTTGTTTTATGAGAATCAAGAGATGAATCAAAATTGTTGAAGTTTTCGTTACGCTTATCAATCACAATCGATTTCAACTGAGTCAGATTCACACTTTCTGTTACATTCGATATGACATGGCAGGGATTTATCTTTGCAAGTTGATCACTTGTGATTATGAATTGAGAATCAGGATTAGTCTCATTTATGCTGACGCTTATATAGTCATTGTTGTTGTTTGCAACGACGCCCAATGGTTGGTGGAACCGCATTGTTTTACGATATCTGTAAAGAGAAAAAAGAAGTACAATTAACAACAATAAATGGATTCAATCTTGCCCCATAAGGGAGCAAGACCTTCATTGTATCGATCCACATATAATTTTATGACTGCTTAGCTTCGAAAAGCAGCAACAGACTCGCAGCACAGCAATAAAAAAAATGAAATTGAACTTGAGTTTATTAATAATTTAAGAATGAATGAATGAGAATTTCCTAAACATTTCCAAAGAAGAGAATGTTATGAAACATTTGTTTCCTTTTTGTTTAATCAAGTCAAAGTTTTGTCATCACACGAAATTGCTTTACAAATGTAAACTTTTGAAACGGAACTTTGAAAGGCTTCCAAAATGAATTCTGAAGATTTCTTCTCTTTCGACTCTTTTCCCCAATGGATTCAAGACGGCAACGAAAGATATTATGCAAATATATTACCATTTTTGTATTTCGTTTAGCATCGCAGTTGTATGATGAACATTCCAACAGTTTATGCACAATGTATGCTTAATTTCAATCTTCATTATTCTTTAATCCAAACCAATCGATATTATACAGCGAACGAAAGGATATATTCAGGATAATCTATTAGTGAAGACTTTTTGAAGCCTCTCGCTAATGCTTTGAGATCGAAAACAAAATATAAAAAATCAAAATCGATGGCAAACATTTTTTAAATGTAAAGATTGCTGAAATAAAATTTAATCAATTTTATTTCTTCTTAGGATTGACTAAACACCAGATTTACATTTTCAACCATCCAAGTATCTGCCTATCTGAATTTCTGGTATAATATTTTTTATGTGCATGAAATATGAGAGGAAAATTTAAATCTCGCAATTTTATATCTTTTTTGCTTCTTTTATTTAGATATTTTATTTATCAGAAAAGACGGCAAAGCTTCGAAAAATAAAATCGATTGGTAAACGTATCGAAGGTATGTTTTTCTACATTTGATTGTCTATTAATTTGTATAAGGTAATACATACATCTTTATTTATTTATGGCAATTGCGTGTAATTTGGATATTATGTGAGAGCGTGCGAGTTTGCGTTTGCACTTACGTTTCATCATCCATCCCACATCCTCGGCTTTGACGGAAACATGTGCAAGACTATAAATTAAAGTATGTAAGGCTTTGCCACACTAAGCAACGTTAAAAAGATAAGAAATAAAGAATTTGTCGTGTCTTGAATGTGACAGCGTGGCGTTTACTTGTGTAAGAAAATTTATTGTCCATTTTGCTTCGCTTTCATTGGAAAGAAAAGAGAAGAAAAAATTCTCCTGCCTTGTCATAGAAATTTCTAAGCATCGTCTTCATTTGTTTCACTCGTAATTTTATTATCCCTTTATTAGCATTTATTAGACTTTTACTGACTGGTCAAACAAATAAATTTCAACCATTGTCTGATGAGACTGCTATTTGGGATTTTTTTTATTGTGCAATGGTGTGAGGGAACTCAAGAGATGAAAGCATGAACTGAAGAAGCGACACAAAAACCGAGGAAACTTTATTGTGTTTGACACAATTTATTCATTATTTCAACACTGCTGACGTCACTTCAAGTTCTAATTTAGAGGAAAGATGTTTTATTTCTCACACCAGTTCATTAAAGTTGAATAAAGAAGTTCAATTTCAGTAAATCACCATCTACTCCGCATGAAATAAATTTCCTTTTTCTCCCGGTCATTTGTGGCTGATATTGTGCCTGAATCCTAAATGAAGATTCTACGCTCAGCAGTTTTTCTTCAGCCCATGTCGAAAACATTTTTATTTTTGCTTCAAAAACATAATCTTTTTGGCATATTTAAGAAGGGATATCACAGATAACAAGAAGCCTTTTAAAAATGCTGTCTAATTTCAAACAGCAGAAGGTTTCTGCTTCACATAAATTCACCAATTACATCGGTAGTGGTTTCTTTCTTAAGTTTGTTGAAAATGAGACAAGCATGAAAAGATGTAAGAAAGGAAGGCTGCCGTTAACTAATTCAATTAAAAGTAGAGCTATACGAACAACTCTTAGGGCAATCATTTACATTGCGTGTTGTGTTTCTTCTGTATCTTTATATCTTCCATCTATCCATGTTTATGTCTTTGCACTCACTCAATGAAATTATGGCTAAATCATTCGTCCATTACCGTAGAAACAGCTATGATAGTTGAATAAAAAAAATTTGTTCACCACAACTTGAGTTTATTTTATCGTCTTGTCTTGTAATTATGTTGACTCAAAGATGTAGCATAATGTGAGCTGAAAATGTTATCGAAAGAATTTCTGTTGACTGTTTGGGAAATATTTATTTGGGAATACTTTGAAGTTTGATATAGAAAAAGGGAAAATATTTTTATTGACTTTTACTAATGGTTAGGTTGATGACGACGAATGAAAGGAAAAGAAGAAAATTTTAAATGTTGGAAAAGCCAGCTTAAGCTAGGAAATTTGCTTATGATCCTATGCTATTAAATATCGCAAATTTGAATTTCTTTCCCTCTTCAAATAGTTGAATAAAATTCTACAAGATATCCCAACATCAAGCAAAATTTAATTCCTTAACCGCTTTTTAAGTCAAATAATTATTTTCACTCTTCTCTGCAAATGGTTTGTTTGTTTTTTCTGTTTTTATGTGAAATTTGCGAAAGAATAATTGCTTCATTTGTAGCAAATGTTTCTTCAACAGTTCATTAAGTCGGTGAGTGAATTGCTTGCGTTGAAAATTATTGTATGCGTCAACCGAGCCGCAAAATATCATAAATTTACATGTCATGGAAAAACTTTCTTCCGGAAACTTGAAAGCTCATTTTTCTTTGAAGAAAAGAGAAAACTGGAAGGTAAAGTTTCACGTTTCAAAAGACCGTGGAAAATCGATAATTACCGAATCGCGTTTATTCTTGAAATACCGTGGCGGAAGCGTCAGGAGCCGCATCAAATTCTAAGCTACAAAGATTTCTAAAATTCTTTTCCTACCACATAATCAAAGTTCAAGAAAAAATCTGCACGGATATCGAATTTTCGAATTAATTACGCTGTTAAATTATTTCAGCATGAACACCCGCGTACGATTTAGCACGAAATCCTTTTCTAAGGCAAGGGTTACAACGCAAGAAAAAGATGAAAATTTGTACCTTGTAACTTGTATATCATCATCATCAGCCCTCCAATTTGCACAGCATTAGATTGAGTGGAGGAAAGCGGCGAAACCGGAGACGACAAAATTATTTGAACACAAAATTAAGGGAAAATTACGAATGTCATAATTTAGTTTCTGAATGAATACACAAGAACCTCAAAAGGACGAACTCTTCTTCTATCAAAACGGGAATGATTTTCAAGAATGGATGAAAAGGAGCGAAGACCTTCATTTAAGCGTTCATAACACTTTTATTTTATAGATTAAATATTCAAATATTTTCTTTCTTGCTCTTTGTTGGGTTATGTCAGAAATTCAACTTGAATGTGTTAATATTCCGGTTTCTTTCTGAATAGTCGAAACGAATAAATTCATTACGAATAAATTGAAAATGAAAGCTGAATAATAGTCATCAATGTAATTTTCACTCAATTTTCATAACTGACCGACAAGTCGAAAATATTTTTCCCGTCATGAATGAAAAATAGAAAGCTTGGGACAGCTTTGACGATTTATAGAAAAATTAGAAGCATTTGGGATTGGAAGTTCGAAAGTCACTAATTAATTTTGCGTGACATCAAAGTTTCATGAAATCAAGATATTTCACTACAGGCTTTTCATGAGATTGTGGACTTAATTAGTATGCATAAGCCAAAGAGAATCTCTCCGAAACCATCCACTATATTAAGATTGTTCTGATTAAGTCGAGTAAAACTTTTTCCCAAGATCAAGATAACTTTTTGATCTCAAAATTTTCAGTTAAACCTTCTTTTCATTTGATTATGTTATGAAAACTTGAATTTGTCTATGAAATTAAACATTTTTTTCCATAATCAAATTCTTCATAAAAATAAAATTCGTGAGTACGAAAAAAAAGAATAAACTGACAATGAATAAAATAAAACCAGAAAGAATATTTAAAATCTTATCAGTAATGTTTACAAACATTTGTTTTATCGTATTTTTATTCTAACCCTTCCCTTGTGAAAAAAAACCTCAATTTCCTTTTCATTAACCCTGCCGATTTCATTTGCTTTGCTTACTTGCCGTGTCTAATACATAAGAATTGCTGGTTGGGGCGTCTCCACTTGTACGAATTCGTTTTTATGTACTTCAATTGTTTTTCCGCATAGTCAGAAGAGAGAAAGGTTTATTGTAATTTTATTTTTTTCCGTAGAGTTCTTTTCATACATATATTGTCATTCGTTATTATTATGAGTGGAGTGGGTTGTAGAACAATGAACATAAGTGAAAGGCATATTAGTTTTCCTATTTCCTCCGTTACCAAATATGACGAAGCCACTTATAAGCTAAGCTTCTATGATGGTATGATGGGAAAATATTTGATTACAAGCTATTAGGTGAAAACATAACAGAAGACTGAGAAGCACTCTTGTTGTGTCAACAAAACCGGCGATGAGTTTAATGATGCTATAGATTCTAATCAACGGATTTTATGTCATCGTCATGTTTGATAAAAAGACAAAGTAAAGTAGCATAAATTTTTTTTTTTGCCTTCACATTTCCCAAAGGAAAAAGTCATTGTGTGTGTGTGTGTGTGCGACAGTGTATGGTTCGAAAAAAAAACTAGAGAATAACAAATATGATTTAATTTCATTTCAGTAATATAAGAAATACGATCTTTTCAACGACATCGTAGGGCTTTATATTCCAGCCATAAATTTCACATTACTTAAACGTGTTACTTCGTATGTGAGTTCAGCCAAATGTCACGATAAAATTTCATCATTATGATTAAGCTCGTGGTGGATTTAATATTATTTGATGGCAATTTTGAGGGTGCTGTCTTGTTTCTTATTATTTTTGTTTATAAAGCTGAGACTTCCCGACCTTGAAATGTCTGATAGTAGAAATCAAAGCGACGTCAACTGGCGTTGCATTGATAATCGATAATCTTATGATAAGGAAAGATAGAAATAGAAAACACGCGTTTATGGATGTTCGTAAAAATGTTGCCGGAAATTCTTCATAAGTTACAACGTTTTAATATTGACATCACTTGAGATTTGAATTTATTGACAACAGTGCTTGCTACAAGATGATATTCGAGATTGTTATATTATCTTCAACATAACCAATTGGCTTCTGACAGCTTTGATACTTGCCGATAAAAATAACAGACTTACAACTCACCAAACGTTATTATCGTAAAGTTTTCCATTATCGATTTTTTTTGCTTCGCAGAAAAAAAAACGAGAATTTCACGAGAAAAGGCGAAAAGTTTATTTTCAATAAAAACACTTTCCAGGTTACTTCTGTTTAAATACAAGGTTCTTCTAATCTTTCTAGTTTATAAGAATATTGTTTTTATTTATTATGATGAATGACAACCGTGTAACAACCATTAACTTTTTGCACAAACTTCCAAATTATTTAATATCTTAAAATCCAACAATTTAATTCTCCAAAGCACTTTTTCTTTTGATCTGATCTAAATGAAGACCTGCATTGAAATGAATGGAAAAGAATACTAGAATGCCTCAGGACAATGGAAAACTGGAAATTTATTGTTCATTCCATGTGGAAGTCGGCATGCAACTTTATTTACGTCACAGACCATGGTGGGAAAGTGAATGTTTCTTACATCCTTTCCTCATTGCAAAAAAAGCCTTTTCATGTTTTCTCTAATAAAAAATGTAGAAAAATTATTACAATTTGGAATCAGGCAGAAAGGCGCCGCCGACCGTAAAATTGTTGCGTGACAAAGCTTTCCCGTTTTATGCATGTTGTGTTGTAAAACTATGACTCGATCATTTTTGTTCTTCAAATTCACAACTAAAATTTTCCGTTTATAGATATAGTGGGCTTCACGACATACTTTGCCAACATGAAAGGATAAAAATAAAAATACTTCGTCGTGCGAGGTTCATTCATAACGAAAGCTTTCGACTCAAGCGCACTCTACCGGAAACTTTCCCTTGTTAAAGCTTTTGATATTTCATAATGGAAAAAAATATGTTTTTATTATTCTGTACGAAGACTTAAAAATATTTCTCATGAGAGTACTTTTATGCTTTATATCGTTCATGCGGAAACAGTTGTTAAAGTTTCTCCCACAAATCAGTTTAAAATTTTATTGAAGTTTCTGTTGAACGTGTGACAAAAATTTTTTTTGATGATAATAAATACAAACATGAACTACGTTAAAGTTTCTTTGAAGAAAAAAATAAATAAAACTTTACTCTAGTTCTTGCTATTTCACGCGTCATAAAATCTGAAATACTCCTTAAAGACTCTCATTCTAACTTATATCAACTTTAGTGAATAAACGCGCCATGTAAACAATCCTGATGTAAAAACTTTCTCAATCAAAATGACTGTTTATAGAGACACAATAAAAGAAAACTTTTTCTGTCATGTCACTCAAATAACATTATCAAAAACCACTTCATTCTTTAGTCACTTAAAATATGTACAGTAAAACTCTTTTGATGCTAAGTAAAATAACAAACACCTGGTCTCTCTTTTGACACAAATATCTTGCATGAATATGAAAATAAAAACACAATTTTGACAACATTGCTTACGTTTTGAATATTCTAGATGCTTTAAAAGCTTACATTATTATTGCAAATAGGGCTTTACTGTTAATTACATATTTTCATTTAAAAGGGATATCCGACGATAATTAAATTTTTATAAACATTTTTCAGTCATGGCTGATAAATGAGTTTCACATAAAACAATTTAATTATCTCACCTATTCAATTTATAACGAAAAATTATTCACACATGATTTGATTTACACACAAGAAAACTTGATGTGAACCATGCGATGCAAAGAACATGGATAAACTAATTGGAAGATGATAAGAGAGGAAATATCTACTAACAGTTACAAAATATGATTTGGTGAGTTTGCGCTGTTAAAGATGTTTAAAGTTGTTGATTCAATTTATTTGAAAATATACTAAGTAAAAGCACTTTATAAAATATAGCTGCATCATCATATGAGTAAAGCATTTCAACGACGATCAAATATATTATATATTTATATCTTTCCAATTTAAAATGGCTGAGTGTTAAAAGTGTTTTTCGTGTTGAATGTGATAGAATCTTCAAAACGTTAAAGAGCGAAGCGATGAAAATTCAGATAAACAAACCTATAAAACAATACGATCCTTGAACGACAATTACTTGTCTTTGATGGTGTTTTGCTACTTTACTTCAATAAAAACATGCATTATAGAATATTATGAAGCTCGCAATGATTCTAAACATCTACTAAAAGTTTTGAATCTCTCAGCAGTTGAAAAAGTTCTATTAAATAAAAAAAATACGTCAACATAAACATTTATTATGTTTATTATAACAAATCTCGTTATAAATTACACTTTCAGAAACATGTCATTGCCTTTTCAGTAATCGATTTCTGATTTCTTTTCTTTCAACCGATAACGGAACTTTTATTTTCATTTATTATAAAACAAAGAAAATCCATTAAAATTTCATAGCGACAATAATGAGTGGGATTTTATTTAGTGCTTCGTGACTATAAAAGCACACAGAATGAATATTCAGATAACATGAAAGAACGTTCTTTCTTTTAACCACTCATTTGTAGTGCTCCCGAAGTCTTACTCGTATTCAAATGGAGTTTTAATTTATATCGTAATCTCCTTCTGACTTGGACAACTTGAAAGACCCTTTTGCTATGAAGTATTTACATTACAGAAATGAATAAAAAGGAAATTTTATTTACGGCATCGATCGTGCGGAAGTCAAGGGAAAGAGAAAAAACTGAAAAACTGCTAATGGGAAAGTTCATTGTAACGCGCCCCTATTCAATAAATTTATTAAACTTATTTTTACCATCATAGCAAAAGATATTAAAGTCTCTCAATTTGCGTATCCACCATGTCGTTTCACTATTGCATCCCATTTTTTGTCAGTAACGACAAAAGTGTTTTACTTTACAAACTTTCTCTGCACTTTGAACGTTTCAAAATATCCAAAACATGACTTCAACGATAGTTAGATGATCACATTAAAAATTAAAAGTTTGGAAAACAACGACAGTCTGCATTCTGAAGACAATTTTCTATACGTGCTTTTTTCCTTCGCTGCAAGGAAAATTTCCGCCAGACAAATTAAATATCTACAAGGAAAAAATCTCAAGTTAGCGTTCTCAAGCGTTCCACTAATATAATCATAAAGGTTTTCGTTGGAAAAAGGGAAAAGTTTTTTATTATCTGCACGTGTTTATAATATGTTCGACATCGTTTTCGATATCAACCGGGCCACAGGCATTTAAAATTCATCAAAGAGAAGAGAAACATGAAAACATTCAATGATTATTTATATTGAATGTTTTGTTTCTGTGATTAGGTTTTGTTACTTAAACGTAAGCAGATAACATGTTCTGATTTATAAGATTATCAATAATAATTCTTCATTGAAATCATCACAATTTCATTTTTGTTCATCAAGATTAAAAGCAAAGAAGTTTAATAATTTTTCGTGTTGCTCCGAAAGCTTTATGAAGCTAATTCAAACTGATTCAACAAGACAGAAGTATTTAATGATTAAAAATATCAGACTGCATGAGTTTTAGTTTATTGTGAACAATCATAAACATGAATTATTAAATGTTATAACTCACGTCTACGTGACATCAAATTACAATTCTGTTCTTCTACTGCCTTTTGTTGTGTGAAAACTTTTCTGACAAAATCATTCACCAAAAATTGTTAGAAATTACTTCTTCTCTTACACCAATTGCGTGTATTGTAACGATTTCCTTTCCTACATATTTGCATATCGCATGCATGAATTTTAATTTCAGAATTACATTCATATGAATTTACCTATCATTACAAAGCCATTCTTCATCAAAGTGAAGGAAGAATTTGCTCAAGCACGTAAATAAAAGTTACGATACTTTATGTGAAGGGTTAAGAGGTTTTTCTTCATTATTTATTGCTGACGTTGTATAATAAAGCCTTAATCAACATTTGCGTAAATTTATTTCGTAACGAAATACAAAAAATGTCACAACAACGAACATCGTCGTCAACCAATAAGAACGAGTTTTGTCTCGTGAATAATTGTTCTCACGCAATAAAACACGTTCGCCATTGATCATACTCAGAACATGAAATTCTAATTTAAGAAATGCTTGTCAGAAAAGTAATGTCATATAAAACTCGAACATATTTCTTCCCATAAAGCAACAAGGTCAACAAAAAGATCTGTCAACTCTATCCACGCATTGTTGCACATCAAAATAGCTATTACAACAGTCATGAAAACATGACATAAAAGTTTACAGTCTTTTCGACTCTCGACAAGCCGGCTCCATGATTTACAGCTTCATGTTTGTATAAGTACTTGTGACAATGAATGAAGATGGAAACTGTCATTATGTAAATGAGGAAAGATTTTGTTGATATCAACAAGTAAGTGATTTGTTTGTTTTTATGTCTTTACTTGTAAATCAATTTATAACCATCTTGCTTATAAGATTTACTCTTGTTTCAGACGTAAATTGAATGAAATTGAACATAAACCAGCTGCAAAATTTGTCATAAAAATGATGAATTTATTCTCAAAATTGATTTGTTTCAGATTTATGAGATGAAAATTGGATCAAGGTAAGCAATTTCTATTTTTATAGAGATCTTGATGACCTGAATTTATAGCATTTTCATTTTCCATTAGAAGTTATTCTCTTATGTACAAACATTTGATGCATCCCATATCGTTAATAAAAATAAATCTCAAAAAGTAATTGCTAGAAGTAAACACTATTGAAGATTGCAGAAATGTGATTAAGATGTCTAGAAATAACATGAACACTTTAACTCATTGTTAAGCATCATAAAACTTCATGTCTTGCTAAAGATACTTCACAATGCAATTTTATCTCTCTCTCTCAATAAAAAACCAGTGAATCTTCACATTCATGAGTCATTGGAAAATCCATGACTCACATAATGTATCAAATGCAAATAAACTTCATTTTCCTTTACAATAAACTTGCGCAATTGCAAATTTATGCAATCAGTTTATCTACAGTTAGACAAATAAATCGCAACAACTTCTTAAACACCGGAATTTAATTTCCTTTCATTCTTACTCTTTAACTCGGGAGATCATACAAACGTCTAACCACCCAACTATGTGATGGTTGCAGCAATTTCATTTAGTTTAATCTTGTTTTGTAAGCGAGGTTAAGTACTCGATTTTCCCCCAAGAAGGTTGTTAGAAATGAAAGGAAGGAAAAAGAAACATAAACCATGCATCGAGTATAGAAACTGTGCCATTTACGATACGCCACTTTGAAGAGTGATTTATTATTCGTGCCTTGGCAACATTTCGAATTTTCCTCGCATTCTCATTTCCTGATTAGAAATTCTTATTTTTGGTCAACCTTTGAGAAATAATCTTGTAAAACATTCCTAACGAGATAAGAGTGTTGGGGGAATTTTAAGGAACCGTAATGGAAGAATTATGGGCTAGAAATGGTGATAAGATAAAAGCTACCACTGGTCTTACCTTAAATTTAGAATTGCGTGCCAAAAATGGAAGAGAAATCCTTTTTAAAGCTTCCTGTCAAACTGTTTTCACCTTTTTAATTAATGTACTTTGAAATCACTTGAGATTTGTTATAAGAACAAGAACTTCATGAAAACCAATTTGAACCGTTCAAACGTTGAGTGAGAACTAAAAACTTTATAAGAAGACACTCAAAAGATTTGTTGAAGTTTTCCTTTTTGTTGATTCTGCGCTATGATAACTCAACATGTGTAATGTGATTCACATTAAGATTCTCTTTTTTTGCAGTTTATTGTTTTATCGCGATTTGTACAATGGAAAATCTTGCATTGCATGAATTGAGATGAATTGAAAAGTTATAAAAAATGTAAAGAAATTGATTTTATATTTTATGACCTTACAGAGCTTCACATAGAAATCTTTAACGATGCAAGCTGAAAAGGTTTTCTAGTTAGATTTCTTATATCAATATCATATTGAAGATAAACATCAACAAAAATCATGAAAGAAAGGATCTAAAATCATCCCTGAAGGAATGATTGCAATGCATGAAAATTGATTATTTCGTTCTATCTTCGATTCAAATCTACTTTCCATTTCATTTTCATTTGGCTGACAAAACTGCTTTTCTCATTTATTCGTTACACATTTTCATCTTCTGGGAATTTTCTTTGATTTAAATTGAAATGAATGGCTGAGAATTCGAATGGGAAAATGAGAATTACACGTGGTGTTAAGAGACACACCATGTGACGAATGTGTGAGAAAATTAAAATTTATTCGATCTGAATGAAAAATCAATCATAAACGAGATTCAATAAAGTTCGAAGACATTTTCAAAAATTCTGTAAATTCTCCATTTTTATTATTTTTTTGTTTTTATCAGCATATTTTTCCATATCGAACTATCTTTTACAAAATCTCCATATTGAATAATAAAAATTCTCTTTGTAAAGGTGCAACTCTGATTTCAAAGCACGTTTTCCAAACTTGTTATAGCCTGGACGTTTCTTTAATTGGTGATCAAACATGCTCTTTGTGTTCTCTTTAAACTTTTGGCACAGCAGAGACAAAAGAAATCTTGAAAGACAAAGGCGAAGGTAAATTTGCAAGCGAGCAACTTGAATAACGATTCTAATTATTTCTGTGAACATTTTCATTTTTTTTTTGAAAAGAAAGCAGCAGAATCTCATCTCAATCTTAGATTCAATTTAATTCAATGAAAAACCAACTCATTTAACTTGACTACAGTGTTGTGAACTCAAATAAATTTTCATTCGTTCACGTGTTCGTTTGATAAAATTGCAGGTTTCGTGAATTTCATGTGGGGTTTGTCTTGCTAGGTGTTTCAACTAAGAATTCTCTTATTCATAGAAAATGAAAATAAATATTTCATGCTCCACTCGTTTTTATAAAACTATAATGAGAAAGTACTTTAGAATCGGAGAATGTTCACAACAACATAAATCAAAAGAATCTTTAAGCTTTAAAGAGAAAAACCAAACATGACTTGCTGGTATTTTCCACGATTATTTTATTTTCTATGACCATAAGCTTCATCCATTCATTTAGTTATGTCAGACAGACAAGAAAAGAAAGAGAGAAACAACATGATACATTATTATACGTCATCATTACATAAGCTTTCTGTTGATGCAAGCAGTTTTGCATGAAACGCCACAATGTCATCCTCATCCCAAAATTTAATACAATGAACAGAGGATTGTGCTGACTATAAATGTCTTAAACCTTCTTGATGCTGCTGAATCACAAAAATGTGAATGTTTTGCAGAAAACAAGTGAAAATGAGAAGTTAACAAATTGTTGCGACATGTCTGACTTCTTAATTTGTTTTCTTCTTCAGAAAGAATCATTTCAACGTTTTTGTAAAGCATAAAACAGTCCAAGAAATAGTTTCTGAGATGTTTTAAACTTTTTTTTGTGAGGGATTTAAATGAGGATTGTTTTTATGTTTTAACTTTGAACACGTTGCATTTGAGAGCTTTGTGCACTGAGCCTTAAAGTTTACGATTCATGTCACGTTTTACTGTCGACGCATTTCCATTTCTACCCCATTTCACCTGCTGATTTTCTCTCCTTTTTTGTTTCACTGTTGTAAGTTAAATTTTCTCTTCATTATCTAAAAAGTTAATTCTTTTATAATTAAACTTGTTCCAAATGAATTAAAATATTTTTATTTCTTTGACTTGCTTCATATTTTACGTTTAAAATAAACTTATTGTTGTAATAAGATTTATTGTGAAACGGAATTGTGAGCAGAATTTTCACAGTTTGTCTTGATGATGAAAATGGAAAAGTTTCTAAAGAAGCTTTCGGCATTGTACAGAGAGGAGGGTGTAAGCTTTACGTTAGGAAGTAGCATTATAAAGTATTATGAATTCCTGAAAGTTTTCTTTGTTTTTCTGCAAGGTATTTGCGTTTCTCATCTTTAATCTGATTATCAAAAGCGTGATTTAACCTTAAAGAAATCTTCATTTAAACCTACAAAAGTACTTCAACACAAATCTTGATTACATTTTTCTTCTTTCTTCTTTTCTTTGTGATTCGCAGTGGAGAATATAAGGAACAAGAGAGACAACAACCCTTCTACACACAATGGCTCTCCCCGATGACACATTTCTATGAGCAAATCCTCTTTTCCGCTTTCTTGTTTGCTGTCTTGATTCTTGCAAAATAAGCAAGCTCAAAACTCTAAAGCTTTAACATAAAGCAATGATTATCTTTCTACATTTTCCAAAGGATGGTAAGAGAAAATTTCTTAGAATTCTCTTTAATGTCTTATTAAAATTTTTTTCATAAATTTATTTTATGCCAAACGAAAAACTAGTGCACATGCTAACAAAACATTGCAGTCTTTAATATTTACACTTATTCAAACACAAAAACATGAGACTTTTTTATATTATTAAAATTTCAGAAAAAAAATTGTTTAATATAATCGAATCAAAAGAGTAACGAGAAAGGTTTCAAGCCTGGAATGTTTTGAAGCGTCAACAAAGTTTCTCCGTCTAAAATGTTTTAGATATGCTTGGGGAATTTTAAAGTTTTATCGAGATAAGCCTTAAGACATCGTCGAAGAAAATTGCAATAGAACGAGATAAAGAAAAATATGATGAAAATTACTCGAATATTTATGAGGAATATCTTCATAACATCTTCGTCATGAGACAATAAATTAAGATGTAAAACAAAAGCCACGTCTTAACTTTAAATTCTTCTTAACCTTTGTTACTGCGTCGTGAGAAAATATCAAAGATGGAGCTGTCGTTACTTCTCCTTTGAATTGAAGCTTTCAACAAACTTTTTTCTTGTGAGAAATTCTCAATAAATCATGAGGTTGTTATAAAAAAATCAAAAGCGTCATGAAAAACATAAGCTATAAATTAACAAACGAATAAACATATTTCACACAATTTTTTTTCAATGTTTCATTCGACATTTAGAAGGTTAAAAAATTTCTAAAAATTTTGCAACTTATTTTGTTTTTCAAACATGAATTTTGATTTATTTGTGATCAAATATAATTTCGCACTGCACAAAAAACGTAAAATATTGCACGGTGGAATAAATTTACAAACAACTTTTACTGACCTACATTATCGGCACTTTTTTTTAACGAATTCTTTTTTTCTTCTTCCCTTGATTTCCATGATGGAAGCCGTCATTCTCTTTCTTGGAATAAGGATGAAAGCTTCCAGTTCTAGGACGACATTCGAATTTCATAAAAATGTTTTTTTTGAATTGATTCTGATGTGATTGAAATATTCAATCAAAATCTGTCATTAAATATGCTTAATCGATTTTTCAAACTTAATTATGAAGTACATAAATTACATGTTTTAAACTTTATTTCATTTCTAATTATCTCTCGTTTTCATTATAATTCAATGAACATGTTTTCCGTTAAAATGTTTAATTAAATTATTCAAAAACCCTCTCTACAAATTCCGACAATTAGATGCATAAATATATTATTGAAAATTTCATTTCAACTGTTTTTCTTTTACCTTTGTTAATTATCTACATGAACTTTATTTTTTGCTTTACTAATTAAAAACATGAAAAACATTGCCACATACGAGTGTAAGTTACAAGTTTTCTTTATAACATTCATTAGACATGGTAACACAACCTGCCTCAATTTCGTGCTTTATGATATTTTTTTCTATTTTTTTCTCTCATACACACAAGAAACTGCCTAACGTGAATTATTTTTTTCCACCTCGCTTTGTCCATGTTTTCTCTCTGCACAACTCTCGACAAGCGAAAATCTACCGCAACTTCAGTAATGAAAATCAGTCATTCGCATTAGTTCAAAATCCGCAGTAGAGCTCAAAAATTTGTGAATTTATTTTGGTTGGAAGTATTCACACAATAATAAAGTTCTGTTAATTGAATTAAAAAGTTTCAACGCAAGTGGATTAAAATTTCCAGCACAAACATTGCACAAAAGTCAATGCATGTTGATAAATAATCGTTAGAAGCGATTACGAGTTAAAGCAACCTAGTCATGTACCTCGACAACAAAATGGATTCGTTATCAAGTTTGAAGACAATCAAGCGTCACTATAAAAAAGATTCTCGATTTGTTAACGATTTATACACGTTGACGTATGACAATCACGAAAGTTTAGAAGACACAGTTGAATTGATTTCATCGCTTTACTTCAGAACTGATATTTCAGATGTAAGTTTTGACATTTATTCGACAAAAAACTCAAATTGAAATGTTGAAATGAACATTGAACTACGGCAACAGATTACGTAATTGAATCATTTATAACGATCAAAGCAAATTTCTCTTCAGTTTACGGGTAGATTTAATTGGTAATCAACAAACAAAAACATTGAAATTTATTGTAGGTACTTTGTACATACACTAACATCTGTGGCAATGTTTCTATGACTGAAAGTCAATCTTTTGTTACTTTAGTATGAGGTTGAAGCAGTTCATTCAAATCAATTATTTACGCTTTTTCTCACTCACATTCCACAGAAGCCAAACGAGAATCCAAAGTTTCTAAACGCTACCGAACGTTTAATTCGCAATGCCAATTTGCAATTTCGTTTGTCAAGTTCGAGAGATTCTTCCATTAACAATCTTGAGGTGAATCACTTTCAATGATTAGATTTGAGAAAGCTAATTTTTTTTCTTTCCTTTAGCTTGACACGAAACGAGGTGTGGCGCTGTCAAACTTCATTACTCAAACGTTAAAAAAGGTCAACAGGGAGCAACGGAAGCAACCCACGCCTGTTACACATTTTACTCGACAAATATTACAAACCATGAACGTTACTCAACTTCAGATTATTATAAACGAAATGTTAGACTTTCGGGGAAGCCTCAATGAAAAATTAATGAAGAGTCTCATTGAACGTGATGAATTGTTGTTGAAAAGGGATGGAATCTTATCAATGATTGAGAAAAACCAAGGAAATAGTCGTCGTTGTGATAGCTTACAATAATTATTCTAATTAACCACTTAATCAGCTTAAGACAATCAAGTTGAGCATCTTTATTCTTCAATTTTATCATAAACCTTACAATTTTCTCTATGAATAACTTGGACTGATAATTTTCTTACACTTTGAATTGACAAGAAAGTTTTAAAGTAAAATTCTTCAATTTCTTTCTTTGTCAACTTTTCAATTTCAAAAGCTTCCAATTCATTTCTATCAAAGATATTTTCATCAATTCTTATTTCATTCCAATTTCTGACGACTTCTTGCTCCAGATCGGTATCATTGACTAATTTAATAGAAGTTAAAGAAGATTTAACAGATGAAAATTCTTTGTCACTCATTGAGAGGAAAATTTTATAGAATTTATTAAGAAATTCTTCAATTTTCTTATCGACAATTTCAGATGAATGTCGATTCTCTTGATATTCAACAGTAATTGTGATTCCTATAATTCCAGAATTCTTTCTTAACGTACATGCAACACCATATCCCAACTGTTCATGACTTCTTAAAGCATCGAACAGTGGCTCATACATCATTCCCACTAGAGTTTCTGCAATACATTCTTTTTGAATCGTTGCTTTTCCTATCTGATAATAGTTTTTCAACAATGAATTATTGTTGTGTTGTCGACTTGATTGTATTTTCAAATAAGACGAACCGATGGGAACCCTGAGAATGTCACTTAGATTCTTCTTCTTCATCTTCGCTTCTTTATTCTCTTTAATATTTAAATTGCCAATGATCATTTGTGTTATAGAAATTGCATTTGATTCTGTGAAATTTCCTTGAATTAAAATTTTTGCTTTCAAGGATTTGAGAAAATTTTCACAGAAAGTTGTGAAATCTTTGAAATCAATTAAATCGATATTGTCGAGACGTTCCTGGAAAGATCTGTGATTGCTATTGATGAAAGATAATCGGTAGTCACTGTAATGCAAGTAATTATAAAAATAAAAATTCCTATCAAATTAAATAATGTCGACTTACTCATTTAAAAGATTTTCATCAGCAAGACAATTATTGAAATTCTTTTTCAATTCTCTCTTGAAAGTTTCAAACACACTAAGGTCGATTAGGTTTAAAAATGTGTTCATTGTCTTCGTAATGATATCAACAATCGAAGGCAGTTTTGCATTAAAGCCGTTGGTTCTCAGAACCAAACCATCATCAACTGAATGAAGTTTGTAATTGTATCCAGCGATAGTTGCAGGGTAAAGTTCTTTGGACAAGAAGTTTTTGACACACATCGAATAAATTGACGTCATATTCAAATTCTGAACAGTAGATTCGGTAATTTCCGACATCAGGTAAACATAAATAAATCCAAGTGGAAGTTTGAATTTATTATCCAACAAATGGAAACATTGGCAAGCATCGTTATGAAAGATTCTTCTTGGATATGCTGAAGATTCATCTTCGCATGAACTTTCGAAAAGTTCAAAATTCTCGCAAATGTAGTTGTTTGGTTTAGGAAGAACAAATCCAACGTGTAGCCATCGTTCGTTCCAAAGCTTTAAAACGTATTTTGGCAGGTCAACTGCAGAGTATCTCGTTCCAAACCATTTTTCACGCTTCTCCGTATTACTTATTTTATCAGATAAAATCATTATGTTGAATTTTCGTTCATTTAACCTGTCAATGAAGTTCTGTAAAACTTTTTCATTGAATTCGCCACAAATTTCGTTTCCAATGACGACATTTTCATCATCGAAAAATTTCATATTTACTGCCAATTCTTGAACATTTACCAGCGCTGATTTTTCTCTTCGGTTTTTTGATAAAAGATTTTTTATTTTCACAAATTCATTGTATCTCGTCCTGTGTTCGTTAATTGATGTGGTCTTAATTAAAAGCAGAAAAGCGAAAATTTCATTTAAAACTTCCTCCAATTGTTCGAAACCTTTTGTTGTTAAATTTATTTCTATAGAGAAAAGTGTGAACATGAAATTGCTTTCAAAACTTTGATTTCCAATTCTCGTTTTCACTCGTAATGCTAGATGGTTCTCTATAAAAACATCTGACAAACTTCCGCTCTCTTCAGAGTGAATCAATGATGCCAAATAATCAAGAAATTTTATTTCTTTTCCTTCTAATGCCGGATATAGAAAGGTCATCAAAAGTTTACATTTTTCACCATTTGATTGAACAAAGAAAGCTTTTTCACTAAATTCAGACTTGAATACTTCAAATTCATTGAACACACTCACGCTTTCAATATTTTGAATAGACTTTGGAATGTCTTTAAAACATTTTACGATTGTCCTTTCTAATCTGTTCATATCAACACTTGACTGAATACAGAGAAACATTCGATTCGCTACATAATTTTGTTTACGAAACTCATGAAGCTTTTGTGAAAGTTTTTCTCGTTTTATTCCATATTTTAGTGTCTCGAAGTTTCCCCAAATAAACTTTGAAGCTGGTTGATTATCCTTCACCATTGAACAGAAAATTTGTTGTAATCTCACGTCATCATCTGAACTGTTACATTGGAATTCTGATTCGACTGCTTCCATTTCTCGATCCATACTTTCAAACGACATTAAAGGTGAGACGAAAAATTGTGAGAAACGATCTAAAGCTCCTGCAAGATGCTTCTCGATGATATCAAAGTGAAATAAAGTGTATTCATGTTCAGTGTATGCGTTATCAAACCCTCCATGTGCCGACACAAATTGATCAAATTCATTCTCTTTTGGATACTTTTCCGATCCCATGAATATCATATGCTCAAGGAAATGACTAAGACCTTGAACTTCTTGTGGATCATCAAAGCATCCGGAACTAACGCAAAGCGCAACAGCTGCAAGATTTTGTTTCAATTTTGAATTTCTTCCACAATCTTTACCACTTTTTTGTTTAATTAACAACACTTTAAGTTCATTTTCTAATTGAATTAATTTGTATTCTTTTTGATCTCCTGGAAATTTCTGAGGCACTTTAAGAACACGAATTTCTTTGGATATCTTCATTATGATTCTCAATTAACTCTTAAACTGAATCAAAACATTTCCGAACTGAATTTATTTCTTTTTTTTATTAAACAGAAGACGCGAATCAGTTGAACTTATTTTTAAATCGCAGCTGTTTTGACAATCTGTTCAACTTCTGTTGTCGGTTGTGCAATATAAATGAAAGTCACAACTGTGACGAAAAATAAATATTAATTAGATATGTAACGTTTAAAGATGATTGCATTTTATACGCAAGGTGCTAGAGAATGTTTGTACTTCATAACGTCGCTAATTGTTTTGTGATTCTCATCTGAGATGAGATTTAAATGAAGAAATCCGTGGTGCAGAAGTGAATCGTTGTCGTCTGTATTAGAAATTACTTGAATTGACAGTTTTCTCACATAATTGCCTTGGAAGTGATCGTAGTAGAAAGTGACAAGATCGTTCTTTGTAAGAAGTTCCATTTGACGAGCTTCAATGTCGTTTCTGTCAAACATTAACGAGTTTTTCCGTATTTCATTCCAATTGAAGTTTACTTCCGTTTCAAGATCATCTACTGAAATACGTTTGTGATTAATAATTGATTTTTTCAACATTTCAAAATCTTTCTCATCGATGTTGGTGAGATTTTGATTGAAATTTTTTAGAAAACTTTCAATTTTCTCATCAACAATTCTTGCTGAATTTTTCTTTTCTTGTGTCTCAACTGTTATTGTCATTCCAATGACATTTTTGTCTTTTTTACTCAAGCAAATCACTGAATAACCCAGTTGTTGTTCTGTTCGAATGTAATTGAACAATGGCTCTTTCATAATTTTCACCAGAAGCTCTAATAAACAATCCGACTCCATCGTTGATCCACCAACTTGGTAATAATTTTTAATGACTGAATTTTGGTCATGTGGAAGAAAAGATTTTACACGAAGATATGAAGCTTCTGTTGGAATCTGACAAGCATTGGCATCTTCCGGTATCTTGTAACTTATCTTTTCATCATTGAAATGTGAAAGAATCTTCTCAGTTATCTGTAAAGCTTGACATTTTGAAAAATTTCCTTGTATCAAAATTCTCACATTCACGCATTTGAAAAGCATCGCAAGAAATTCCTTAAATTTTGAATAAGAAATTTTATCTGCATCTTTAAATCGATTGAAGTAAAACATGTGATTTGGTTTTATGATATTTAAACGAAGTTCTCTGAAGAAGAATAAAGGGAAAGTCAAAAAGGAACCGAAATCATAATAAACAAACTCACTCGCTTAAGAAATTCGAATTGATGAGAAAATTATAACAATTTTTCTTAAGTTCTTTTGCAAAAGCTTCAAAGACAGAAATGTCAATCGATTCATTGGTGCTTCGAATAGCATTCATGATTGCTTCGACAAGTTGGGGAAGTTTCTCACTGAAACCATTTAGCTTCAATATCAAACCGTCGTCAACAGAATTAAGCTTGTAAGAATAACCAGCAACGGTTGCAGGATAAAATGTTTCTGTCAAAAAGTTTTTTATACATATCGAGTAGATTGAGGTCATGTTCAAGTTTGAAATAGAAGATTCCGTCAAGTTACATCTGAAATGAATGTAAACGAATCCATGTGGGAGTCGAAACTTCGTGTCAGGCTTAAAAAAGCTTTTACAAAAATCATTCTGGAACATCAGTAAAGGTTTTTCATGGTCAAGATCAGGTTCTGAAACAATTTCAAAGTTTCTACATATAAATCGATTTTTCCGAGGTAGTGAAAATTCTTTCCTAATCCATCGCTCATTCCAAAGTTTGGTGAAATTGCACGGAAAATCTGTGAAAGGAAAATTATAAATTGGTAAGAAATTCTAAAATTATTTTACATTTTTTTTCTAACCGATTTTAGCGTATTCTGTTCCAAACCATTGCTCAGTTTGATCGTATCTCGGGTAGTCGTGTGACAAAATCATTAAATTGAACTTTCTCTCGTTGATTTTCTCAATGAAATCTTTTAAAGTCATTTCATCAATTTCAGGACAAAATTCTTTTCCGATAATTATATCATCGTCTTTGAAATATTTCATGTTAATTGCAAGTTCTTGGACATTTTCCAAAGAATGTTTTTCCTTATGGTAATTAAATTGAATATCTCTGATTTCCTTAAATTCATCATAAATCTCTTTATGTTCACCCAAAGACGTCATTTTTATAATTAATAAAAAGCTGAAGATCGCATCTAAAATTTGTTCAAGGTTTTCGTATCCATCTCGAGTCAAATTTACTTCAATGGTGAAGAATGTAAACATAGAATTTCCCTCGAAATTCCGTGATCCTATTTTCACCGCAACAAGTGAAGCAAGTGATTTTCTTCGGAAATATGAATTGAGACTTTCACGACCTTGATTGTTTATTAAGAATGCCAAATATTCCAGCGATACATTTTTGTAGCTTCTCTCAATCGTTGGCAGGATAAATGTCATAAACATTTTTCGCTTCTTCGTTTTTGACTTGACGTAATACATTTTTCTATAAAAATCAGCTGTGAAAATATCGGCAAAGACATCGAATGACAGTGGCCTAAGATACGTTCTATATTGCGGTTTAATTTCAGAAAAATAATCGCAAACCATTCTTTGCTGAGCTTCAAGTCCTAAACTTGTTTGAATACACAGATTCATCCGATTAGACTTATAGAATCTTTTCCTAAACTCGTGCACAATAAAATACAAATCTTTTAATGCTATGTCAGTCTTCAAAGTTTTATGATTTCCCCATGTGAAATAAGAAGCCGGATGAGTATCACGAACCATTGAAGCAAATAACTGATTGACCCTGTGAACATCGTTGTTGACATTATTCTGAAATTCAGATTCAACAGCTTCCATTTCTCGAAACATGCTTTCAAGTGACATCAACGGAGAAATGAAAAAGTTTGCAAAACGTTCCAAAGCTCCATGAAGATGTTCCGTGTCTACTTTAAAATAAAATATTGTGAATTCACATTCAGTCATGGCGTTATCAAATCCATTTCTGCTCTTGATATATTGATCGAATTCATTTTCTTTCGGAAACTTTTCCGATCCCATGAACACCTGTTTGTGTTAAATATTTTTTGAAACTATAATTTAATTTTTGTTAATGACACTCACTCACCATATGTTCAAGAAAATGGCAAAGTCCTTGGACTTCGAAAGGATCCTCAAAACTTCCAACGTCAATGCATAAAGCCACATATGAAATTGTGTCATTGTGTTCAATATCTTTACAGTTTCCTTGCTTCTTAATTAATAAAGCCTTTAATCCATTTTCAAGTTTTATAAGTTTGTAATTCTTTCTGTCACTCGGAAATTTCTTGGGATTTTCAAGAATCTCTACAGCAGACGTTATTCGCATTTTAAATCTGATAAAAACTTTCACTCTGTCTTCTTTAAAAAAATAATGATTACTATTGAATTAAAAATAATCAATTGCATATTCACATGAAGTATAGAAATTACACGAACGAGATGCAAATAACTTTCTTACCTTGACTTTGAACGTGAAAAACTTCTTCGTTTGAATGTTTAAGTGCAATATTTTACTTTGATTTATATAAACTTTCTGTTATTGACTAATCTCTCAGAAAATTAGAAACGCCGGGATAATGTGAGAATGCCAAAACATGTCATTTCTTTGTATAAGAAAGGAATGAAACATCTCATGAACTTTTCAGTGGCGCCATCTATTTGTAACTAGTTGAAACAAGAAATAAATTCGACTCTAAAATAAATTTTCCGAATTTTTTAAGATATTCACGTGTAAGAACATGTGCAACACGTTTTAAATACTTTTGCTTATAACTGAATTTAATTTATTTCTCTATTATGTTTCTGTACAACAGTTGACAACAATCAAAAGCATTTTAAAACTAAGGACCGATAAAAGTATGTTTGTAGGATTGTGCAAATGACAATCAATAGAAAAAGAATTCCATGTGACTGTTTGAGCTTTTTTCCTAGGAAACTTTACCGTCTCAGATTATTTGATATAAGAAGACAAGAATATACATAAATTACTTCTTTTTTATTGTAGATAAGTTCTTCTCAATAATGGTCAAATAATTTATTTTCTTTATGATATGAATTTCAATTTATCTTATAAGTTTTGGTTAAAGTTGTTAACAACACAGACTAAAAAGTAAGGATCTCTTTTGAACATTTTATTCGTTGAATTTTAAAACAATTTTGTAGCTTTTAAAAGCTAACATAGATAATACCTTACATCCTTGCTTACATCATTACAGTCTAAATATGTAGCTCCGATTGCTTAAATTATTTGTCCAATTAACATTCTTTTTAAAATCTTTTCAGTGTTTCAAGTCAAAACTTTAGTCAGAATTAAAGACATTCACGAATATTAAATAAATTAAAATTGAGGGAAATAAGGAAAACAAACTGTTTTCCTGTTTCTTGTTATTATCTAAAATAATTGAAGTCTAAACTAAAACATAATTTATAAACTTAAAAAAAAAATCTTTCGAACTTCACGTGAAGTTTGCAATCGTTCAACATGACTTGGCTGACAGACTGAATTGAACTGCATAGCAAATAGTGAAGCAAGTTAAGGACAACATCATTAAAAATAAAAGACTGATAACCTGATCAGTTTACGTACATGTTTTAAATCATTCTTTTTAAAATATTTTTCTTTTCATAGATTGGAACACAAAAAATCATGTGATGAAAATTATATGACGACTCGTCATGCTGTGAATGTTGCGTTGATTTGTAAACATTGAAAAAATTCACTTTAACGCTTTCCAGCGAGAATTGCTTGAATCTGAGCATTTGACTTTCCTTTTGTTTCTGGCACAATAACAAAGATGAAAACCGTTCCAATCAACATGAATGTTGCAAAGAAATAGAATGTTATATCTGTAGGAAGAGAAATTAATCTTAATTAAAAGAAAATTTATCTACTTTATTTATTACTTACCATTCCCCCATGATTCTTTCATGAGTCCAAAAGTCTTTGTAATGACGAACACCAATGTCCAATTGAACATGACAGCAATTGCAGATGCGACGCCTTTAACGTCATTCGCAAAAAGTTCACCCATCATCATCCATGGAATGGGACCGAATCCAAGAGAAAAACTAACGATGAACAGAACAACGCTAGCTAATGGCAGGAAGGAAATATCTGTAACATCTAACTCCACAACATCTTTAAGTGTAAAGTAAACGCCTATTGCGACTAAACAAAGGCCCATGATGACACTTGATTGGAGAAGAAGAATTCTTCGGCCTGCTTTTTCAATCAACAAAGCTGACCCGACAGTCATTATAACTTGAACTACACCAACAATGATTGCACAAATTTTTGGATCTAAAGTGCTGCCAGCTGTTTCAAAAATTCCTTGGGTATAGAAGATAACAGCGTTGATTCCAGAAAATTGTTGGAAAAACATTAGACCAAGCGAGATTATCAACCCCATCAAATTAGGACGCACAGTAAACAAATCAGATAGTTTAGCATCGCCAGAAATTGCATCTAGATCAGCTTGAATGTTGGCGAGTGCTTGTTGTGTATCACATTGTTTACCCCAAAATTTTTTTAAAGCTGCTGTGGCATCGTGTCGAGAACCCTAGAAAGTCAAGAAGGAAGAAAAAGAAAAGAATTCGTTAACAAAGCTATCAACTTACAGCAATCGATGAACAATCAAACATGAACGAAATCAAATAAAGGTAGACAAGAGATAAGTAAACAAATCGCTACCTGCTTGACAAGATAAATAGGACTGTCAGGAATGAAGAAGACTGAAACGATGAGTAGAATGGGGAATATCATAACAATCCATGTGAGTGTAACCCAATCAACTATCGCTCCAAACAAGTAAATGAAAAGAATTCCAATCGTCAGAAAAAGTTGAAAGAATGCACCAAGTGCACCTCGTAGCGATGTTTCAGCTATTTCTGAGATGAACATTGGTGCAACGACACAACTTGCACCTGTAGCAATGCCGGAGAATATTCTTCCAATGTAAATCATAGTAACTGAAGATGCCATAGCAATAATCGCCCAGCTTATCAAATATGGAATTCCTATGACGATAGAAGCCCAACGTCTTCCAATTCTTTCAGCTAAAATTCCCGCAGGAAGAGCACCAATGAAGGCGCCTACAGCTAAGTAAGCTCCAATCCAAGACTCTGAAATTATATAAAAAATTTTATTCCTTAAATAATTCTTATCTCATTCTTATCTTTAACTAACTAATCACCTATCAATAATTTATGAGTAACATTAACATTGTGAGATTGTCGTAAAGGTTTAGGGAATGTTTATGAACATTTATCAAGCAATGAGAATAAAATGATAAGAAATGATAAGAAACTAATGTCCGTTTAAAACACTTTCGTTTTAAATAAATATTTCTGATTGATGATAAGAAGCTTAAATTTCTATTTTCCTTCTAAAAACTAATTCTCAGACTTTCTCAGAAAAAAAAACATAAAAAATCATTTAGATTTACATAAAAAAAGTTATCAGAATTTTATCGAGAATTTTACGACTCTCAAGTGGAATGTTATCAAAGTTACGCAAGATTATTCACATTTAATTGGCAGTATATAACACACGAAGCGAGTTATGCCACCAATTGAGTTATAAAGCAATGAAATATTTCTTTTGCAATTTGAAATTGTTATCAATTGAAGTACGGCAACGGTTGCGATTGAAATTTGGACTGATTTTCATAGCTTTTTGCAATGATAGCAAATAAAACGATTAAACATTTTTATTTCAATTTCATTCGTTTTTAAAGTGTTAATTAAATGATTACTTACTTTGATCTGGGGTTACTGAAATTGTAGAATTTTCATTCACTTGGGATTCGAATGGCGATGTCCATGCGAGAGCGGTACCGGCGCTGACAGCAGCAAATGAAACTGAAACACATAAAGCAAACATTATAACTTGAATCTTGACTTGAAATACATTTGCGTGGGTGGATGGCATATCTGTTAACAAGTTATGGCCTCAGATATCTGCCAAGAAATAATAAATTCTCAGTAAAATAATTCATCGGATTAAAATAAAAAAGGGAAGCCATTGAAGAACTTCATCATAACAGAATCAACAAGTTTTTAAACAAGAAAAGTTGAAGAGTTTGCATGCCAACGTAAGATAAGCATAATGTTTACCTGCTGAAGCACCAAGGAATTGCATGATCTTCGTTGTTTGAATAGTCCCTTCTGGTATAGGATCATATAGCATTGGATTTGTAGGTCCAGGTCCACCATCTTTATTCATTGTGTTCTGTCAAATGAAAAAAAGATTTTGTTTATTATTTTAATCTACACAAATGCACGTGGGATTGTGCCACGAAGTGTTCTTTTATTAAAAGCGAAAGCAAAAGGCCTTTACTTTGAACTCGCAGTGATAACGTTGAGTTATCGTTCACATGTTTTCCTACAAACAAGCAACACACGCTCACGTTTTCATCGAAAGTTTTTTCAGATTTTCGAGAATTCTATTTATAAACATTTTGCTCTCTTTGTCATGAAGAATTTTTTTTTCAGCAAAGATCTTATGTGTGACTTTTCTCGCGTCATTATCAGCGTGACAAATAGCATAGCATTGGTAGAAGTTCGGGGACAACATTCAAACCTAATGAAATCTCATAAAATAGGAAAACAAAAATATTGTTGTTGATGAAAATATCAAGATGCGAGTCAATTCGCCAATATTTATTTGCTTCAACTACTTGTTTTTGTTATCAAATTAAAAATAAATTATGTCGAATGTTACGCTTATATTATGTAGTAAATTCTCAAACATGTCGACTGTCAGGAATATTTCTACACATTTTAATTTTTTTAACAATTCAAGTAAAAGGAAATTAACGTTGACATTGCATCAGCATGCGATGTATTTTCCTAGATATTGAAATTTGTCGACAAAATCTCTGTCGAGGAAATATTTAAAACAGTCTTGGCGATCATTCCGATTTTAGAATATTTTTAATTAAAATCTGATTTTTGTTTTGTTTTGCAGTTTCTTGTCATGCAAGTTTATCTTTAAATATCACAACTACACACCCACAAAAACGTCACAGACGAGATTAAATTTTTCTACGATCTCACTGTCTGCTTTAGTTTTTTTGTTGATAAGGTTGGACGGAACGAAATTTGTTTCAAGTGGTTCTAGAAAAGCAAACATCGCGGATATCTAACTCAAGTTCGTGATGAAAAAACCGGTAAGAAATTATAAATTTTTATGCCTACAATTGCGCAATAAATTTGCAATTTATTTATTTCTCATATGTATGCATTGTACAACCTGTGGCGTCCATGTCCAAAGATAGAAGTTAATTAATTTATTTAGACTTGTTTGTAGTCTTCAAGAAGCTTCTTGGTTTCTTTTTCCGTTATTTTTGTTACTTATTAAAAACCATCAGCATGCAAATCGAATACTCATTTCATAATCCGGCTGAATATTAAAACATTTACTCCTTTGGAACTACAAATACTGTTCCAACCGGTATTTCAACAAGAATTTCCGTAAAATATTTCAATTCCATTCAATCGAAAGTGAAGCCGATACCATAAAGTATCAATGGGTTATTATCATATTGGTTTGTGATAGCTCTTGGAGCTTTGCCCTTATCGAAAAACTACTACAATCTATTTCTTTAGAAAAAAATATTAAAAAGTTATCAGTTTTGTTTTCCGATTAAATAGCAACAATGTGAGAAACTGGGTATTAGATTCGTGAGTCGAGTCTTAAGTAATTTTTCTTATCACACGTTAGTCGAATAAGAAACTTGACCTTGGCGAAATTTTTGATATTTTTTTTTATTTCCATTATTTAATTGTCAATAAATTATCTACAATAAGATGTGTCGATTAAATGTGCCGACAGCCTAACCTTTCGGATGATAACAACGAAGAAGACAAAGAGATTAGGGAGAGTGAATGAAACGGAAATCGAATACATGATTTAGCTTAGGTTAAAGAACGTTAATATTCACTCAGATACATAAGAAAATTACGACATGTCATCGCAGCCACTAGCAGTAATATTTATTATCTTAGAAAAAAAAAGTTTTTGAAATGTCTTAATATGACGGAAAATTGAAGGAATTTTCAAAATTCTCCTACGGAAAAATGAATTTCCCAATAACTTTTCTACGCTTTCGTCACCACTTGTTGCATCTGCCTTTGCTTGACGGAGAAAGGACGAAATGTCTTCTGAAAAATCATGAAGGGCAAATTGAGGTGAACATTATTGTGTATAGGACGAAGACTTTTCCTTACGCATTTGCGCGATTTTTATCAGCAGAAATAAAGTCTGTAATACATCCCAACATTGAAAGTGGTAATTTGAAGCATTTAACATGATTATTAGGTTTCCATTTGGTGTAAGAAATTTAAAAAATTTAATACAAAAATTACAACATAAATTAATGTTTCGAAAAATTGATGAAATTTACATTTTAAATGTCAGAAAGAACTTAACCGTATGACACATTAAATTAACATTTTGCAGCTCGATGACTTCACCGCAACATGAAAATATAAATTTTCCTAAATAAGACACAAATGTTATCTTACACTTATTCGTATTCCTACAAGTGATCAACCTTATGAACAATAAATATTAAATTATTATCTTTTTCACTTGGATAAATAAAAAATATTAAATCTACATAAACCGTGTTTTTTTCCACATTTTTCATCACTTATTAAAACTGACTGAGACAAGTCTACGTGTTGACGACAGCAAAAATGGGCTCGACATTAAGATGATTTAATAATTTATTTAAGATATCATGGCTCGATTTTAATAAATCATTTAAACACTCGTGTGCAGCTATCAATCAATAAATGATTCAAGGTGGCAACTTTAATCAAAAACTCTTACCTAAAATTTATAATAATAAATTTCTTATGCAATCAAGCTCGTGTGTTAAAATTTTAAACTTTTATTGGCAGTCACGATAAGTGATAAAGTTCTCCGAACTATAACAAGTCTCACAATTCTTTTTGGACCAGAATAAAAAAAATACACACGCGAATCAGTTGAATGAAAAAAATAAAAATATTTTTAGTTCTCTTGGCACCTTTATGAAAAACGCTGTAGGAAATTTCTTGAGGCGACTAAATCGTTTGAATGTCAATGAACAACTGGCAAGAGTAAGTATGTTTGCTAGTAATTTTTTTCTTTCCTTCTCCTTTCTTTGGATTAAGCAAATGTGCATGTATAGGAAGCCGACTGTCTGTGTTTGCGAATGTATAAATAAAATCGAGACGTTCATTCTCATAAATAGTGAACTTGCCATGTGCGATTCTCAAAATGATCTTGTTGTTTACAAAAGAGAAAAAGAGTCAACTATGACGTCGCATAGGATTCTTAAAATAACTTAAAAATTTTAAAAAGCTCTTCATCACGCTAGAGAAGAATTAAAAGTGAACGTGAAAAGTGAAACGTAAAGTGTGGGAAAAACAAAATTTGTTGTTGCGGTGTTTGTTTAGACCTTGCGTTAACTTTGTTAGCGGAATTCCCTTAGGCTAAATCGACACATTTTAGAGTTATCGACATCGTTCTGAGTCACACAGTCAATCTTTTTTTTTTCACATGGAATGTGATAGCATTACTTTCTACAACAAATTCAGATGTATTCTGGTTTATATTCGGATTCTGCGCAATATTTCTCAATATCTGTAACCTCATGTCGGACACGGAAAAATTATTTGTGGAAGAAAGTTTTCATTTTCTTTTGGAAAATTTTCAATCTCATTTAATTGAGATATATAACATCTGGTTAGAAATAAAATAATTCATTGCTTGACGTGCTTCTTATTTAAATCTTCTAAAACAAAGTCACATTTTAATGCCTTACAATTCACTTTTCTCGTTATGCAATCACTGAGAGAACTTCAAAATCAGTCTTCACGTTTTACTGGAAGTTTCACTAAATTTATTGCTCTGATTTGACTTTCAATCATCTATCTACGAATCACATCACATTTTAAAATACTTCTAGACTTAAACAAATTCTCACTCACTTGAAAATGATTTAAAGAAATTTATAGCAAAGCGATTGCTTCACTTCTTCGAAACAAACATGAAAATGTTTTTAGAAACCGTGAAAAACTGAAGGGGAAGGGAAATGAATCGATAAAACGAGCCTCCTCCAACGTCATCATTTTCCTTTTAACGTCATCGTTTCGTTTCAGATCGTACTGTGTTTTGTAAGAATTTCACAAATAGAACTAAAATTTTATATTACTGGAAATTCATCTTGTCAACAGCTCACCTTGAAAACACGAAGAAAAGGAATTGACAAAGTGAAGTGATCTGATTTCTTCTTGATACACATTATCATGTATTGAAATTACGGAATCGAAGTTTTATTTTAAATGACTTTGACCCAGGAATACGTGAAACTAGTTTTATGGTGAAAAAAAAAAGTTCAAACTGCATTGTCGTTTCATTAAAGATATTTATGTATGTACATTGAACATCGTAAAAACTTACTGCATGTGCAAAACTTTTTAAGCAACTTGACCTTGAGAATACCTTTTCTGGTTCGGAGGTGGTGAAACTGGTTCAATTTCTATATTTATGTATTTGAATGAACTTTATATGATGCAATCGAATGCAATTAAAATTTCACTGAAAACGATAATAATAAAATTCTTTTTGATGCCATTAAACTCCATAAATATTATTTAACGACACATTTCTTAGTTTTATTTCATAGATGATTTTTTCAAGTTATTAAATATTTGTAGCGTCTTTGAAAGGTTTTTGAGTAATTTCTTAGGCCCATCCGGCTGCTGGTTTAGGTGCCCATGGAGCTGCTGGTTTAGCTTCCCATCCAGCTTTCTGGAGTGGTTCACGACGAACATTAGCTTTGAAACCGTTGACGTCATCAGCGGTGTATTCAACAATTCTGAGGAAACCATCAGCATCATTCAACTTGTACACTCCCTTGATGGCACCATTGTCAGCATGTTCTTGTTGGAATTTGACATCTCCAGTGCTTGGTTCATTGACGTTGTAGTTGAATTCATAGTTGGCTGGTTCTTCAGGTGCTGGTTTCCATGCAGCTGGTTGTGCTTGCCATGGAGCTCCAGCTTGTGAGAGAGCGACGAGACCAAAGAAAATGATGATTTTAGCTTGCATTGTGTTTTTTTGAGATGTGGTTTTGTAAAGATTCAATTGAAAACTGATATTGAATGTCCTGAAACTAAAAGCTTTTATACCTTGAAATCGTTTGAGAATTTTCTTGATTACCTTCTTTTAATTTCTTAGCTGATCACGATGAGATAGTTTCATTGCTATGCTCTTCCAGAAGTAGGTAAAGTAAGACGAAAAGAAGTGCAAGGTCAACATTCACTTTCACATTAAGAATAAGGAAGAATCTTTTGCCAATGCAATACGAAATTATATCATTTCATATAAGTAGAGTCTAAAAATTTCAATAAAGGAGAAAGGGTAATTTTTTTAACTCAATTAAACTTCATATTAAAATTTTAACAACTTTTTATCTCCGAAAGTTTCAGAACTGCTCACACTTAACATGTGTTAAGGAGTGTGACTATAACAAGCATCGTGAAAAAAGTAATAATCAACATATGAAATAGTTCTCTGGTTCTCTCTTTAACTAATAAAAAAAATAATTCGTTCACTATTTTCAATAGATTATTATTTGTGAATCAACAACATAAATTTTACAATCAACATATTTCATAATCATATCATGCTTAATAAAAGGTTTAAATTTTTCTAGGAAGACTGAATAGTGTAGAAATCATCAGAAATAACTTAAAATATTTCTTGACATTACTTGCTTACAATCAGATGATTTTGTCATAATTGTTACCTCTTTCCAGCATTTCCGAATTAAATCTTCAGATAATTGCAATTGTACCTGTTTATTGCATGAGATATTCTACACACTTGACAATGAATACTCTGACCTTCTGAGTGGGAGTAAGTAAAATGAAATGAAATCACTGCAAAATAATATTTAAGAGAAAAGCTGGAAAGAAAAATAATAAATTTAAATGAAAGAACTTCGAATTTGTTTTAACGACATAGATTTATTTTTTGGGGATGAATCTTTCATGATATTAAATATTTATCAACGTTATAAAATTTTCAGGATGAATGATTTGTGTAGCGTCTTTGAAATTATTTTATGGAACTTCTTAGGCCCATCCAGCTGCTGGTTTAGGTGCCCATGGAGCTGCTGGCTTAGCTTCCCATCCAGCTTTCTGGAGTGGTTCACGACGAACATTAGCTTTGAAACCGTTGACGTCATCAGCGGGGTATTCAACAATTCTGAGGAAACCATCAGCATCGTTCAACTTGTAGACTCCCTTGATGACTCCATTTTGGGCGTTTTCTTGTTGGAATTTGACATCTCCAGTGCTTGGTTCATTGACGTTGTAGTTGAATTCATAGTTGGCTGGTTCTTCAGGTGCTGGTTTCCATGCAGCTGGTTGTGCTTGCCATGGAGCTCCAGCTTGTGAGAGAGCGACGAGACCAAAGAAAATGATGATTTTAGCTTGCATTGTGTTTTTTTGAGATGTGGTTTTGTAAAGATTCAATTGAAAACTGATACTGAATGTCCTAAAACTACAAGCTTTTATACGTTGAAATTACTTCAGAATTTTCTTGATTGCCTTCTTGGAACTTTTACATACATATCAAATTCAATCATCAATGTTGATCTTCTGTTTTCTTTTTAAGAACTGAAATTGAACCAGTTTATTAAATGATATAGTTTTAAACTTAATAGTATTAATGTAATATTCTTCTAGAAGTGGGTAAAGTAAGACAAAAAGAAGTGCAAGGTCAACATTCACTTTCAATAAGAAGAATAAGGAAGAGTAGTATTGTTTTGCCTAAGGAGTCATATTTAAATTCACATCCACAGCAAACAACTCGATGATCAAGCTGATTGTATGCTTAATCGAAATCTTTTTACATCAATTTTTGCAAAATTTTATTCGATGATTTTTTTGACAGCTTCAAAATGTTCATTCAGATAAAAAGATCACGTTCGCTGCACATTTTTGCGATTTTGTAATAATGAGAAATTTCTTCAATAGAGATTGTTGATGCGAAGAGTTCTTTATCATTCTCAATAAAATATTGTCATTTTATTTGCTTTTGTTTAATAACCTTTTTTAATATTCATAATATTGAATTAAATCAGAAATTTCAAAATCGAAAATCGAATCATTAAAAATATCTTTAAAAGGGAAAATATTTTTTTGAAATTTGTCAACATAAATAGAAACTTATCATCTCTAATAATTCAAATATTTGTCATATTAAGTTGAGAACTAACAAATTAATTACAGACACGTGATTTATCCATTCAAAATCTTTGAAACTGTGGCGGGTCACCCAAGACAACATTATAAGAACATTTTTAAAGCAAAGAGAAATAAAAAAAACAAGAACAGAAAATATTTTGAGACAATTCATTTGATTTTTATTTTAACGACATAGATTTGATTTGTGAATTCTTTCATGATATTAAATATTTATCAACGTTATAAAATTTTTAGGATGAATGATTTGTGTAGCGTCTTTGAAATTATTTTATGAAACTTCTTATGCCCATCCGGCTGCTGGTTTAGGTGCCCATCCAGCTGCTGGTTTAGGTGCCCATGGAGCTGCTGGCTTAGCTTCCCATCCAGCTTTCTGGAGTGGTTCACGACGAACATTAGCTTTGAAACCGTTGACGTCATCAGCGGTGTATTCAACAATTCTGAGGAAACCATCAGCATCGTTCAACTTGTACACTCCCTTGATGGCACCATTTTGTGCATGTTCTTGTTGGAATTTGACATCTCCAGTGCTTGGATCATTGACGTTGTAGTTGAATTCATAGTTGGCTGGTTCTTCAGGTGCTGGTTTCCATGCAGCTGGTTGTGCTTGCCATGGAGCTCCAGCTTGTGAGAGAGCGACGAGACCAAAGAAAATGATGATTTTAGCTTGCATTGTGTTTTTTTGAGATGTGGTTTTGTAAATGATTCAATTGAAAACTGATACTGAATGTCCTGAAACCACAAGCTTTTATACCTTAAAATCGCTTGAAAATTTTCTTGATTGCCTTCTTGGAACTTTTACGAAGCAAATTCAATCATCAATGTGTATCTTATGTTTTCTTTTAACGATCTGAAATTGAACCAGTTTATATCGTGATTGTTTTTTCATACTTGACACTGAATACCGAATCCTTCTAAGAGTTGGTTAAGTGAAACAAAAGGGCAAGGCCACCATTCACTTTCGTTTTAAGAATAAGGAAGAATTGATAATACGGTATGGCCTAAAGAAGAATAATGCATTAATAAATATTCTTCAGTGCACGATTTATAGCGAAGTCTCAGGGTCAGTCAGATTCATTTAAGGAGATAAATTTTGAGATGTAAAAAAATAAACAATAAGTAATTGGATTTTAAGAAAACATAATGAAGTTACTCTGCTGAAAGGTATCTTATTTTTATAATTACAATATTACCGATTTAATAGTCGAACTCAGAATGCGCGAATTTTTTTGAATACTTAAAAATTTAACGAGCTTTTGGAATTCAAATTTGAAGTTTGCACAAATGATCTTAAACATTAATTTTAAGAAATTTTAATCTGATGATGTTTTATGATTTTTCTCAAATCTTTTACACTTCGTAACAAAATTATAAAATATTTATCAATAAAAGTTAAACAATTTACTAGTTGTTAGTCTTAGCATCATCAAGATTTTCCCTAAATTCTAAATAGGATTGAATGAAACACAACTTGGAATTGTTCCAGCCGAAAAACCTAGTTAAAAATTTAACGAATTTCTGATATTCAAACTCCATATGTTCAAATTATAGATCTTAACTTGTTAATGTTTTGATCTGCTTTCCGGGGAGACCCGAAGAGAAAACAAGATTTCTCTTTTTTTACTATTTTACTGATAAAACTTCGAAAGAAAAATATAAAACATTTTATCATATAAAGTTGATCCATTTTCTAGTTGTTAGTCTTGCAATACTCAAGGTGTTTTCTTTGTGATTTAAAAGTAAGTTAAATTTGTTGAATATTTTGTAAATTAATAGAAATAGCTTGAAAGGTTTAAAGTCCAAACCTTACCCGTAGATTCTCATCATGTTTTCATCAAAATTCTTGACTTTTTCGAGAACTGCTAAGGCTGTTTCTCAAAAATCTTTAATGTGCAGTCTTGTAAGACATCAGTCAACAACTTCTAGTGACTTGGTGCTTATGAATGTTGATAGTAAAACCGGATATGCAACCGTAACATTAAATAAGCCACCGGTAAATAGTTTGAATCTTGAAATGTTATCAGCTTTGTCAAAGGTTTTAGACACTCTGCAAAATGATAAATCAAGAGGAATGATCTTAACAAGTGTAAGTTGTATTCATTCAACATCAGATTAAGGACATGAATGATCAATCATTTTCAGTCTTCGGAAACGGTTTTCTCAGCTGGATTGGATATCATGGAAATGTACAAACCTGAGAAGACAAGATTGCGTGAGTTTTGGTCAACACTTCAAGATGTTTGGCTTAAATTGTATGGGTCACCATATCCAACAGTAGCTGCAATTAATGGACATGCACCAGCTGGTGGTTGTCTCCTTGCATTGTGTTGCGAATATCGGATCATGCGTCAAAATTTTACGATTGGATTGAATGAAACACAACTTGGAATTGTTGCTCCGAAATGGTTCATGGCATCCATGAAAAATACTATTCCAACACGTTTAGCAGAACAGTCGTTGACACTTGGAACGATGTTCACAACTGATGAAGCGTGGCGCAATGGATTAATTGATGAAATCGCAGATGATAAAGCAGATGCATTAGAAAGAAGTAAAGCGTTCTTAAATCGTTTCAAAAAGATTCCACCAATTGCTCGTGCATTGACGAAACAACAATTACGCATTAAAGATATTCAAGATCTTGAGGACAATCGAGTTGCAGATATCGATGCGTTTGAAGCTGCTGCGTTTCATCCAAATACTCAGAAATCTTTAGGGATTTACCTTGAAGCATTAAAAGCAAAGAAATAAGCTCACATGTTACTTGAGTTTTTTTATCTACATTTATCGGGATTGAACGAAGGGCTTATTGCATAAAAAATAATTTCAAAAAAGTCGAGTTTAGCGGTTTTGATGCTTAAGATAGTAACTGATAGTAAACAATGTTGTCAGTGATCGTTTTGGGAATACCACAAGTATGAAGTTTATCAGAATGTTATCGCTCTAATGCTATCAGAGAAAATAAAAATAATAAAATCATTTTACATTAAAAATTCACTCTGAGAGTTTCAGTTTCGTGTAGCGGTTCTGAGTTTAATATCTAATAAGTTTTTTATGATATTTCTCTCTTTTCAGAATGCTTCCAACAAGTTTTTCGAAGTTGTCAAGATCATTTAATTTGATATCGTCGAAATGTTTAACAACTCCGACATTCGTTAGATTTCAATCGACTGCTCTTAAGGATTTAGTTTTACTAGATGTCAATGATAAGACTGGATTTGCGACAATGACAATGAATAGTCCACCCGTGAATACTCTGAATCTTGATTTGTTGACAGCCATGTCGAAGAGTCTTGATGTTTTGGAGAAGAACAATACACGAGGAATGATTCTGACAAGTGTAAGAGCAGTTTATTCTAATTACAAAATCAGAGATTGAGACTTTAATTAAAAATTTTGTATTTATCCTTTAGTCTTGCAAAACAACTTTCTCTGCTGGCCTTGATATTAATGAATTATACAATCGAGATAAGGAAAGAATGCGAGAATTTTGGAGAACATTGCAAGATGTTTGGATGAAACTTTATGGAACAAAATATCCAACTGCAGCTGCTATAAATGGCCATGCACCAGCTGGTGGTTGTCTTCTTTCGATGTCATGTGAATATCGTGTCATGCTGCCGAAATATACGATAGGATTGAATGAGACTCAACTGGGGATTGTGGCACCATCGTGGTTTATGGCCACAATGAAAAATACGATATCAGCTCGTGATGCTGAACTTGCGTTGACACTTGGAACTTTGTTCAAAACTGATCACGCTTTGAGGATTGAGATGATCGATGAAATTGTAGACACAAAAGCGCAAGCAATTGAGAAATGTGAAGCATTCTTGGAAAAGAATCGAAAAATACCATTCGAAGCAAGAGCGCTGACAAAACTTTCTTTACGAAGCAACGACATTAAACAGTTGCAAGCAACTCGAGAAGAAGATGTAGAAAAATTTGTTAATTTTGTCACTGAGAAAAGTATTCAAAAGAAGTTGGGTCTTATTGTTCGTGTGATGAAAGTGAGAAAAATTCTTAAAAATATTACAAAACCATTTGGATCGATCGCTAAGATGTTTGGTGGTGGAAAATCGAAAAAAATAAAGAAAAATTAATAAATTTTAATCCTTTTTATCATTGTCTCAATAAGACTGTCTATCGTTGCTTAAATAAATGATAAGATATAATTAAGAGAGTAAATCCCTTAATTCCGTTTGAGTTTGAAATTTTTTTTTCTTCTTCAGCTCTCGCAGCGCATTTTTATCTCTCATATAAATTTTATTCACAGTTCCAAAACTGAACATTTGCTATCGACATCGGTTTGTTTTTCTTTTTGTTTTCGTTGTGAAGCTAAAAATAATTTTTATTGTAAAATGTTAAGAAATTTGAGAATTCCGTCTTTGTGGAAATCAGGGAAAAACTTGCGATGCTTTTCATCTGCCGATGAGAATAAGCAAGAGTTGGTTAATGTGGAGATCAATGACAAAACCGGCGTAGCATGTATGGCAATGAATAATCCACCAGTTAATTGTTTGTCCTTGAATTTCTTGAAAGACTTTTGTGATAAAATTGATCTTTTGGAAAAAGAGAAAGTTAAGGGAATGATTTTAACGAGTGTAAGTTTTTTTCTCATAACATTTCAAGTGTCTGTTCTGTAAAAAAAATCAACAAGTTTCAACTTTTTTTTTCAGTCTGTTAAGAAAGTTTTTGGTGCTGGTTTGGATTTCCATGAACTTCTCAAACCGGAGGAATCGAGAATCAATGCTTTCTGGTTGTGGTTTCAGGAGTCATGGTTAAAGTTGTATGGTTGTTCATTTCCAACTGCAGCATTGATTAATGGACATGCACTTGCTGGTGGTTGTGTTTATGCTTTGTCATGTGAATATCGAGTAATGATGAAGGATTTAAAGATTGGTCTTACTGAAACTGCTGTGGGAATTGTGCCACCAGATTTTGTTATTTCTTGCACAAGAAATGCGCTTCCAACAAGAAAAGCTGAACTTGCTTTGGTTCTGGGAAGTGTTTACACAACACATGAAGCTCTAGAAATGGGATTCATTGACGAGTTGGCAGCAGATGAAGAGGAGGCAGTAGCTCAATGTGAAAGTTTTCTTAAGAAATCAGCTAAAATTCCCAGAATTGCTCGAGAGCTTACTAAACAAACTTTAAGGAAAGAAGGTTTAGATCTTTTAAGGAATCCACAAAGTCGTTCTGCTGACGCAAAACGCTTCATTGATCACATCAATAGGCCATCAACACAAGAAATAATTGAAAACCACTTTGCTAATCTTAAGAATTCAAAGAAATAAAAAGAAAATGTAAAGAAAACGAATTTTTCCTTTGAAATGTCTACAAAATTTCCTTAACCGATGGAAATTTTCCATTTTCCATTGGAAATAAAGTGAAAATAAATGTGCGGTGAAAAATCGTGGAAACTTGAGCATTAAAAATATATTTACTAAATTCATCACTTAAGAATGGGAAATAACAGAAAAAAGAAGGCAAATAAAAAACCGCAGAATGTTTCTGTAACTGTCAAAGAACAAGAAATTCAAAAAATTGAAGATCAGCCGCCTGTCGTTGCGCCTGAAATATCGCTCGAAGTTAAGCCTGAAGTAAGTTTCAATGTGATGATTTAGAGCCAAGAAAAAAAGATCATTAAATTGAAAAATGAGTGAAATCGAAAAAGATTTAAAAAAATTGGATTTGAATAAAGAAAAGGCATGAGTTTAAAAACAATTTGTTTATAAGAATAATGAGATTACTTTCAATAATACGAATCATTAATTATAATAGATATCAAATAGTTAATCGTGTGAAAAGTGAAGGAAGGACTTTTGCAACTTGGGTTGGTTAAAGAACCTCTTTTAAATAGTGCCTTTCGTAGCTAATAAAGCTTTGACTTGTGGTTTTAACTCATTTTTATTTCATGTTTTTCAATTAACTTCCTTTCACGTTTGCATTTTTTTATATCGTGTTTTTTTGTAAACATTTTTAATTATTACGTCAGCCGGAATTCCATAGAATTATCCGATGACTAATCTTTGTGCATCTCATTTTTAGGCATCAAAGATGAAAAAAGAAAAGCAGAAAAAACTTGAACAAGAATCATCAGGAGGCGACGGTGGTGATAAAAAAGGTTAGAAATAAATTTTCTTTTTTTCCATGTAAGCGCCAGCTCATCAGTTTTCATTTGCTTTTAGTAGGTGTTAAAGAACTATCACCGCCACCAGCATATATTGAGGAACGAATTAAACTTTATGACATTCTCAAAGCTCAATATCTCGAGGACCTGGCAGCAAAGCCAAAAAATAAAATCAACATCACTTTACCTGATGGTAAAGTCATTGAAGGATTGTCATGGCAGTCAACACCTTATGAAATTGCACGTGGAATCAGCCAGGGATTAGCTGATAATACAGTAATAGCTAAGGTGAATGATGAGCTTTGGGATTTGGATCGGCCATTAGAAGGCGATTGTTCAATGAAACTTCTGAAATTTGACGATCCCGAAGCTCAAGCTGTTTTCTGGCACAGTTCAGCTCATATCCTCGGTGAAGCTATGGAAAGATGCTATGGTGGAAAATTATGTTATGGTCCACCGATTGAAAATGGATTCTATTATGACATGTTTCATGAAGGAGAAGGTGTAAGTGTTGAATTTGATGTTGTTATTAAATATTTTAAAATATTTTTTATTTAGGTATCGCAAAACGATTACAAAGCAATGGAAGATCTTGTGAAGAAGATTGTTAAAGAGAAGCAACCTTTCGAACGTCTGGAAATGAAGAAATCAGATCTCTTGAAGATGTTTGAGTATAATGAGTTTAAACATCGAATTTTGAATGAGAAAGTCACAACTGAGACAACAACTGTCTATCGTTGCGGACCATTGATTGATTTATGTCGAGGACCGCATGTGAGAAACACAGGAAAAGTAAAAGCTATGAAAATTACTAAAAACTCTTCAACATATTGGGAAGGAAGAGCTGACGCCGAGACACTTCAAAGAATTTATGGCATTTCATTTCCCGATTCAAAACAACTTAAAGAATGGGAAAAACTACAAGAAGAAGCTGCAAAACGAGATCATCGCAAGATTGGGCGAGAGCAAGAACTTTTCTTCTTTCATGAATTGTCACCTGGTTCGTGTTTCTTTCAACCACGTGGAGCTCATATTTATAATACTTTAATCAACTTCATTAAAACTGAATACCGAAAACGAGGATTTCATGAAGTTATTTCTCCAAATATTTACAATGCAAAGTTATGGCAAACCAGTGGCCATTGGCAACATTATGCTGAGAATATGTTCTCATTTGACGTTGAAAAAGAAAAGTTTGCATTGAAGCCAATGAATTGTCCTGGACATTGTCTGATCTTTGATCATCGTATCAGATCATGGCGTGAATTGCCATTGAGAATGGCAGATTTTGGCGTTTTACATCGTAATGAACTTTCAGGAGCTTTGACTGGTTTGACAAGAGTCAGAAGATTTCAACAAGACGATGCTCACATATTTTGTGCACCAGAACATATAAAAGATGAAATCACTGGCTGTTTAAGCTTCCTTAAACATGTTTACGGCATTTTTGGATTTACATTTGATTTGGTTTTGTCAACACGTCCTGAGAAATTTCTCGGTGAAATTGAAGTGTGGAATGAAGCAGAGAAAGCTCTTTCACAATCACTTGACGAATTTGGCGATAAATGGACATTGAACCCTGGCGATGGAGCCTTTTATGGACCGAAGATTGATATCACAATAAAAGATGCTTTGAAGAGGGCACATCAATGTGGAACAATCCAACTTGACTTTCAATTGCCAATTCGTTTCAACTTGAATTATATTGGAGAGTCTGGCGAGAAGAAACGACCGGTTATGATTCATCGTGCTATTCTTGGATCAGTTGAACGAATGATTGCAATTTTGACAGAGAATTGTGCTGGAAAGTGGCCATTCTGGTTGTCACCACGTCAAATTATGGTTGTGCCCGTCGGACCAAGTGTTGATGACTATGCGAATGCAGTTCGCGATCGTTTACATCTTGCTGGCTTTATGGTTGAATCAGACACAGACGCTGGTGACACAATGAACAAAAAAATTCGAAATGCTCAACTTGCACAGTTCAATTTCATTCTTGTGGTTGGTGATAAAGAGAAGCAAGGTGGAACTGTCAATGTTCGAACTCGCGATAACAAAGTTCATGGTGAAATTACAGTTGACGGATTGATTGAAAAGTTGGAGAAAATTCGTTCAGAATTCATCACCGATGAGGATACTTTCTAATTAATGGAACTTATTTCTAAATCAGTGATTCTTCAATTAGTAATTTAATCATATCTTTGAGAGCTTCTGCTATTCAAACTGCATTCAGTTACAAAGTTTCCTTTTTTATTTTGTGCTTAAATGGTAAACAAATAAAAGATCTTTCAACAGCAAAATAAAAATTAATTTTAAATTTTACTCGTTCATCGTTTGTTTGTGTCCATTTTCCTCGTCTTTCCACTTCTTCATTCTTTACACAAATGTAGTCAGAATTGAATTAATAGTATTAATTGACATGTATGCACAATGGCAAAAAGAGGTCAATGAACCATCAAGATTATGAATATTTACAAATGCAAGAATAAACAAAATTGATTGATGAGAAAGCAACTGATTTAAAAAGATGAGTAGATGAGGGTACATAATCTACAAGTTTATTCGACATTCTTTGATTGCAATTTGCAAAGAGTTGTGACAAAAACTACATAAATATTTTAATGTCAATTTGGTTACTTTATAATATGAAGTCATGAAATAAAATTAAACCACACCAAGCACCATTGTGAAATAAATAATAAAATCGATTAAAAGATTCCTCCAATGTCATCTTTAAAGATAATGAGGATAAACTTTATGTTAATGATTTAAGGGGATGTGTTGTCACTTTGAGTGACATTTGAAACTGGTTCAACATCGTCTTGCTTATCTTTTGCAATTTTCAATAAACGCTCTTGAACACTCGTCTTAGAAACGATGATGTTCTCCAATGTAGGATGTTGGAACTCTTTAGGCTTTTGATTTCTACGATTGTGATTATTTCTCTGATTGCGATGACGAGGCTTATCTTGAGGTGACTTATCTTGGACATTTTCCGGATCGAATGTATCAACTGTAAATTTTTGGATGTTTTCGTTACGTGAGTGGCCAACACGCCCCGTGCCAAATGTTTTTTCGGATGACTTCACTGCTTGAATAAAAAAAAAAAATAAGAGAAGTAAAGAAGAAATTATTTGTACAAATGTCGATGTATGTGAAACTTTTTGCAAATGCTTCTTACATTTAACACTTCGCACTTCACCATCACTAATTTGAACCGTTAGATTATTTAGTTCAGCTCCTTCCTTATTAGGAGACTTAGGATGGGGTCGTCGATGACGATTTGGCTGCGAATGCTTTGGAGACTGATCTGGTGCTGTTCGTCTTTCAGTTCGCAATTGTTGTGGCGGTTTTCTGACAGAATTTCCGTCTTGTGGCGAAGAACTCTGCTGTTGGTGCTGTGGACGTTGTTCACGTGGACGTTGATTTTGATTTCTCTGACGAGGTGGACTCTCACCGGAATTGTTAGCTTCGCTTCGTTCATTATTGCTTCGTTCTTGTCGTGGTCGCTCTTGGCGATTACGATTATTGCGATTATTTCGATTTCCAGTTTTATGATTTTGATTTGAATCTCCCTTAGGTTTTTCATCGTCGTCTTCACGACGTAGAAAATTTACTGGGTCATCTGGGATTTCATTCAACAACTCTTTTCGCGTTTGTGGTCTTCGTTCTGGTAAGAAGAAAACAAAAAAATGTTTTCAAGAAGTAGAATTAATTGATTCGTTATGACTCACCTTTGGGCTTATAGTTTGGATTTTTTGCTAATTCCTTGTCAGAATCTTTAACATCAAAATCTAAATCAACATGATCATAAGGATGACTTGTTGGAATATCACGACCGGCAACTTTCACATCGACAATAGCATTTTGTTTTTTCGCTAGTTCCTCATCCTCCATAATTTCCTTATGTTTTTTCTCCAATTCTTCGTTTTTAAGACGAATAGTTTCCATTCTAGCGTCAAGATTATCAACTTCAGTCGCCATCTTAAGAGCTTTTTTGATAATTTAAGTTGAAAAACACTCAACTCGTTAACGAGCAGAAATGATCTTAATTTTCTCTTCTAACTTTGATAGTGTGTGTGAGAGAAAGCTCAATATTTGCTGAGAATGTGTTAGTTTTGATCTGAGATCAAAATAAGTTCAAATTAATGTCAATAAACATTGCAGTTGTTAATAGTTTTTAATTTTATATACAAAAGAAAAACAATGAGTGATATTTCATCAGATGAAGAAGGAATTAATTTTCGTCCTGGAGAAATTCCCAACATCAAACCAGGAATGTTTGTAAGTGGATGGTGAGTGAAATTTTTTCTTTAATTTAAGAATAAAAAATTTTAATTTCTGACTCGACAGGGATGATCCTGAGAATGATATAGGAATTGAAGAAGATAAGAGTCCTCATGGTAAGTAATCAATATATATCTAGCTTAAACATAAAACTATTATTAATATTATTTTCAGTTTCGTTGGAACGTGAAATTTTGTGGGCTGCAACAGAAGACAAAACTGAAATTGTTGAGAGTATCCTAGAAAAGGATCCAAGTCTTGTCCATGCTATGGATAGAGATGGTTATACACCGCTTCATAAATCTTGTTACAATAATAATTACGAGCTTGCACAAATTTTACTTAAATACAAAGCAAATCCCGATATGAGAACTGAATATCAATGGACAGCACTTCATTCAGCCTGTAAATGGAATAACGCAAAACTAGCAAGCTTAATGTTACAACATGATGCTGATATCAATGCAAAATCAGAAGGCGATCAAACACCATTACACATAACAACGTCTGTCTCTGCCTGTCGCGACACTCTTGTGGCACTTTTTATGAATCCAAAACTCAACTCAAATCTCAAAAATAATTCCGACGAATCGGCATTCCAACTTGCCAAACGTTCTGGACTCACATTTCCATTATTTGATATGGTTCATCCCTCACTTTCTGTTGAAACTGGAATTATAGATTAATAAAGTTATTTAAAATTATCTGAAACATTTTTCTTTAACTTAACTTTTTTAACTTCACAAATGAAACTCTCTTTAAAACTGTATAAAATAAGAGTGAATTAAGAAAAGCATATTTTCTCGAATTGTCAGGTGTTATCGACTCATTTGTTGACTACAGTTCAACTATTTAAAATGTGGCTTGAAAGTGCCATAAAAATTATTATTTTGTGTCTCAGTTGTGCTTTCGCTATGCAGTCAGGGTCGCCTAAAATTGAAGGTGAAGCATGTTTGGCAATGATGCCGAATCATCATGTGGATCCTCAAAGTATTGCAAGTCCCTATCAAGTCATAGTGTCGTCAACAAGCGTACATCAAGGAGAAATTTTAAAAATTGTAATCACAGATCCAATAGCTAAAACAGCTTTTAAAGGTTTTGCTATTCAAGGAAGAGATGTTAATAATTATAACAAAACAATTGGATCATTTCTCAAAGGTCCCGAAATAAAAGTCGTTGAGTGTAAATGGAAAGCATCTGCAGTAACAAATTGTAGTGCAAAATCTAAAACACGTATGGAAATTGAATGGAAAGCTCCACTTGATTTCATTGGCGATATTCAATTTTAGTAAGAAATTCTTCTCATGCAATTACGTTCAATTATTACGAAAACTTTTCTTTATAGCGCTACTCTTATTAAAGATTTTGTGACCATTTGGATAGATGTGAAATCAGAACTGGTTACAATAACCGAGTGAAAAAAAGAAAAACAGTTTCAAATATGCTAATGTCGATAATGATCCCCGAGAATTATTCTGTCGTGTACGTCAATTGAAAAGAAAAAAAAACATTTGTTCAAACATCTGGAAAAATCAAATAAATACAAAAGCAAGCAATAAATAAATTCTAAGAACTTAAATTATTGAATTTTTCCAAAAGAGAGTTCAGACAAATTTTAAATAATTTTTCTTGTTAATTTCAACTGGAAACATTCAGATTGGATAACTTTGTAACCGAAAGATGCAAGTTGCATGTGTAAAGTTAATGTTTGAATATTTCATCTTCTCTATGATGACAATCACTAACAATGATCTTTTCAAATTAACTTGAAACTTCTCAGAAAATCTCAAATCAGTCTATCTATTCGTAATTTTTCAGTATAAATTATTTTCCTTATTAAATGTTATCAGGGTATGAATTTTAATTTCATCGCAATAATAAATAGGTTTTAGTGAATAATAAATAAATCAAGGTTCTATTTTCTTAGCATCTATAAAAGCTAGAAATAATGTGGAAAACTTTTTAGATGACAGTTGAACTTAGTTGTGCGAACTTCACCTGATTATTAAAAATGAAATTATTAGTTGCTTTAGTGTACACAATAATCGTGGTGGCTGGAAAAACTGTAGATCCAAACATAGAATTACGTAAGTACATAGCCTTTTATGTTTTGATTTGCATATTTTTCTCACTATGCATTTGAAACACGTGAAAATACCAAATTTGAAAAAGCTTTCGCGAGTGAGTTTAAGAGAAATTACGCGATTCAATAAAGCGATATAAAGTTTTCATTCATTGTAATATGTTGTGCAAAGAAAAAAATCTTATAAACGATTGCAAATATTTACTGTCATCGAACAACGTACTTACGTTCGAAAGAAAATAAACATAGTTTGATTATCTGTTGCAATTTTCAACTGAAAGCGAGAGCTTTTCATGCTGTAACTAAAAGCAGAATTACAAAACAAAAGACTACATTGTAGAAAAATATCGAGATTATAGACTTCCTTGTATATGTTCAAATAACATGCAATTGACTTTTTCACTACATTACCTTATTAGTTTTCAAGTTCAAGGTCAAAACTTCAACAGTAAATTAACGATTGAGTCCCAACCGCTTAACAAAACCAGTTTGTTACACATTTTTCTTTTAATACAAGAAAATGAGATTCGCGAACTGTTGTTTGCATTCACATCAAAAAAATTGACAACTCGTTTATTATTTTTTTAATCATTTCCCAATTATTCTTTTGACAGCATCATCGCTGAAAATTTGCAGGCTTGAAGATCCCAATCGTGATGAATGCATTAAGAACTCGATTCAAAAGTTCCTTCCAACACTTCGCGACGGAATTGAAAACATTGGAATACAATCGATGGATCCTTTCATTTACGAGAAATTATCATTTAATATTCAAAATAATAATTTATTGATGGGAAAAGTTGATGTGAAAGACGTTCTTAATTATGGCTTTAGCAGTGGAGTCATTCAAAGCCTAGAGTCAAACATTACAGATGAAGAAATGTCAATCAATGGAAAAGTTTTCTTTCCAAAGATGTTTGTATCAGGCAAATATGAATCGAATGTCGCCTTTAATGCATTCAGATTTGTGTCACGAGGGCAATATAATGTGACAATGAAAGATATCACTGCTAAGTGGAATATTAAAAGTAAACTTGTTGATGTTAATGGAGAAGCTCATATGAAAGCTCATTACTTTGAAATAATTCCGGAAGTTGGCAGTATGAAATTTTCAATTTCTGGTCTTTTTCCAGATAAAAGTCTAAGTGAGTACCTCAAAAACTTATAAAAAACATTTTGATCATTTCTTTTAATTTCAGACCAAGTATTTAGTGATTTCTTTACTGAGAATTGGAAAATATTCTATGACGAAGCATTGCCTGACATTCGAAATCAGTGGGAACCTCTAGTCTTGGATATCTCAAACAAGATATTTTCAAACTTCCCATTCAAAAAACTTTTACTCAAAGACTAATTTATAATTCTTATTCGTAATTAAATTTTGACCACTTTGATATTTTTTATATCTCAAGCAATAAAAACATGCAGTAAAATGCAAAATCGTTTTAACTCACTGCTTTTAGCTCAACGTGTGGATTAAAAGTTTTCTTTTAGTTACCGCAGTTTGAATATTCGACAGATACATGCTTCAACCTCCACAAAAGTCCACATCTTTCAAAATCCAAATGATTTATGTCTTAGTTTTATAGGAAAATTTTATGAAATTATTGTGATTATCTATTGAAAAAGTGATATGTTTGAACTACAAATTTATCTCAGATCAAACTACTTAAAAGATTAATGATGTAGCAGTCACACTCTAATTGAGATTCTCTGAAACTTTGTTTCTGAAAGTGCTTTGAAAATTCCGAAAAACTTTAAACTTTTATTTCTTGCCATACAGCATTGAAAATGTTTTTACGTTTAGATACCTAATTGAATAATTTTATAATTAGCTACTAGATGGTTCAATTTCAAATAAAATTTTACCTGTTTAGTTTAACGATTGAGTTTTCTGAATCTTTTACAAATATTCTTTTGTGTTATCCGTAATGCAGTCTTAGGTGATTTTTCCATATGAAAATCATAATTGTGTTAATTTTTCAAGAACAAAACACTCTTGACCTAGGGACAGCTATAATAATTTCTTTCAAAATATTCATTGGCGATGTTAATTTGTTTTTGCCGAGTTTCCTATAAATATTGTAGTCACAGCTGAGTTGATTGTCACAAATTAGTTGCACACTTTTAGGAATAAAATTTTAAGTAGCTTCAATGTTTAGTGAGTTTGATTTGTTTCATAATTTCAGCAGAAATTCTTTTAACTGCTTTATGCAAATTTTCATCAAATAGTTTGTACTAAAAATATGAGATCTACTTTAGTAGATAAATTCATATATTTAGAACATAACGAAAATATTGGAAGAAAGTGTGAGAGAATTTAAGTCTCAGTTTAAATCTTGAACTTGACCTGTTAACATCTTCTCATCAAAGTTAATACGTGATCATCTTAATTGCGTTTCAATTTAATATTATATTGACGACAACGTAAAAGTGATAAGTTGTCTTCTTATTAAATATTTTTTTAAGTAAAAGTGCAGCGAAAACTTTTAGAAATGAAGGAAGTTAAAGTGCATCATCATCATGAAAAATCTAAGGTCACTGTGATATGAAGAAAGTTTGGTATGTGAAACATTTGAGGCACTAATTTCTTCGAATTGCATTGTTTCAGACATGAAAAGCTACAAGTGAAAATATATTAACATTTTAAATTACAAATTTATTAAGAAAATTTTTGATTGCTGAAGAATTATTTTTGTTTATGAATTTTCAGGTTACTGCAATGATCATTTGCTTGTGTGACATCATCTCCCTGGGTTGCTGAGAGTTTGAAACTGTTTACGAAGACTAAATTCTTTCATTTTTCAGGTAAGGACTTCAAGAAAAAACGAAATCTTTCATTAGGGCTATCGATGAATTTGATTTCATTGCATGTAATTTTTCATAAAGTCTCATGCCTTGATATTGAAGAAGCATTTGATGTTTTAATATTTAGTTCTTTTTTACAATTTATTTTTTCTTGAATGGAAACGAAACGACGATCATTTTTTTAGAATTTGTCCAACTTCGGATCCTTCTTCGCTCATCATTCCAACCGGCAAAGGTGAAGCTTCCATAATTTCTGGTCCGTGTATTAATATTATTAATGCTTAATCACAATCCATTAGATTTTGATTTGGATTGTAAAGCATTTGCTGTTTTTGCTTCCGGTGGAATGTCTTTTCTTTTCCGTTTCCTCCTAATTCTTCCTTCGGTTATTGTTGGATCAGAAGATTCGAGAGATCTGTTGAAAACGTCAAGAAGGTTATTGCTTCGAGAGTTTTTTCTAGCGTGATTCAAACGATCACGTTTGTAACATTTATTTCTTGACTCAGCACCTTCTTCCCTCATCATTCCAACCGGCAGAGGTGAAGCTTCCATAATATCAGCTCCATGTATTAATACACGATGTAATGTAGCTGACATGTAAAACCAAGGAAAGAGGGAAACATAAAGCTTTGCAGTATCAATACAATAAGCACGGAATTTCATTTTATCATTGGTTCCAACACTTCTAGAAGTATTAGAATATTTCTTAACCTTTCAATAAATGAGACATGTTGTCATGGACAAGCGAACAACTTCGCTTAAATAATATAAATTAAATTTCTGAATTTATATTTTTGTTTTGCGTTTCGCACTTTATGTTTACATTTTGTGCGGCGCAATTTTAAGTTGATTTTTTGTCGTGACGTAACTTGCGCTGATCCCAAAAAGTCCTTATCGTGAACAAAAGAACAGATGATTTTGCTTCACATTCATTATTGTCGGATCCTCGTGATGAAAGGATCAAGTTAAGTCGTAGTGATGTAAAATTAGTTAAAGTCGTTCAAATAGTCGTTTTCAGTTCTCAGTGTCAGAATCGTCGTAGTTGTAGGAAATAAGAAAGAAATTAATCTTATTTCCACGTGGTTTTGTAATCATTTAATATCAAGTCGTCGGGATCAGTGCAAGTGTGAAGTCGTCATCTTATCAAATAAAATGATGTCGTCCCGGGATCGTATGATGCTCTTAAATAAAATCGAAAATACTACCAGATTGATGTTGATGACAATATTTTCAATGCGGTAGTATTTTCGATTTTATTTAAGAGCATCATACGATCCCGGGACGACAAGACATTGTACCGGTATGAGGTACTAGATTACCCACACCGACAGCGGGCGGGGTACGAGGATACACTCACACTGATAGTCAGTTGATATCGGATAGCCATCGGGATCGGACACACCGTACACTGGTGTCAGCGCTTCGGGCAAAATTGACAAACTAATCTTCGTTCTCTTTTATGAACATTTCTAATGTGCGTTTTTTAAAGTTTCTCTTAAGCTAAAGCTCTTGCTACAAAAACAGCTGTGTGGTTTTTAGTCCTGAGTGTTTATGTTGCATATGAATTTTTAACCCAATAGCTGATGAAAGCATAGAAGGACATAAATTGCACTGGTGGAATTCTGTAAATATTATATATAAGTATATAGAGAGGCGTTTGGGTTTAGACTGAAGAATTACATTTTTTGACTTTGACACTTAATAACTTTCTATTCCTTTCACCAATAAAAATGAGTCTGTCATCAAAAGTTTCCCAGACTAATAACTAACAATAATCACGCATTACGGAGTTTCTATCGTCAACAGTGCGCTCATAATTAGCAAAACGAGATGTAACGGTTAAGACTTATTTGTCACGCCTAAGACGTTTCAATTAAGACAAGCGAAAAAAAGCAACTGAGATGATTTTCACCATCAAATTGAGCAACTTAAATAAATTTTCTTGATATTTTAATGTTTTATTTATGATTTTATGATAAGATATTTAAATAAATAATAAAAATAAGAAACAGGTGTGATTTAAAGCAAAGTTTTATAATTTTTAACAAAACTCATTAGATTCAATTTCACGGATGAAAATTATTTTTATCANTATTATTATATAATAATAACTCCAGGTAATTATATTATAGTTTTGCAACAAAATTTCCGGTACGCATAGAGTATGCAAAAATCATCGATTCTATTTATTTATATTCTTTAGTTTTTTTAATCACGGGATTGAAAAGATTATTGATGCATTTTGTAATGCATTGATCTTCAATTTATCTATTTTGAAAAATTAGTGGTTTTTTTTTATTTCAGAGCCTACAGCTGCACCAACGCAAGCACCCACTGCTCCATCAACGCAAGCACCCACTTCAAACTGGGTTAATGGTGTTGGTTTAATAATCCCTGAAGGAGCTATTGTTGGAGGCAATGATGGAGTAACTCTTACGATTTGTAGAGCTCGTCATGCTATGGGTTGATGTTGTTGGTGGAGTAATCCCTGGGGAAGCGTTTGTTGGAGGTCAAGGTGGTGGAGAAGATCTTATCCTTTGAAGAGCTCGTCATGCGGGCGTATTGATTCCTGGAAAATATGCTGCATCAGTTGGTACTTGCTTTGTTGCTTTGGGTGGTAAGGAACATACAACATCTGAATTCGAAGTATACGTTGGATCCGGTAGTTGGGTAGCTGGAGCTGGATCGAATATTCCACCAAATGCTTTGCTTGGTAATTTTCAAAACACTTCAAACTATCATCGATAAATTATATTTAATTTTGTTTTTAATTAGGTGTTGAACCTGAAGATGGTGGTCCTGTTTATGTTTGCCGTGTCAATCATTTAGGAACTGTCACCATTGGAAAATTGAGTACACAAGGTGTATGCTAGATCCCATATGGTGTACAAGAGCATAGCTACACTGATTTTGAAGTTTTTACTTCTTAAAGAAATCTTTGACTTCTGAAGCTTTCTTTCTTAAATTCCATTTTTATGCAATCTTTCAAAGCTTTTTATTCTTGCACGATACAAGTAAAATTATATTATATATTTGTCTTTGTCATTGCTACATTCTTAATAGTTCAAATAAATGGAAAAGAAAAAAGAAATTTATTGTTAATTAGGTCATTATGTAGTTAAAGGATCTGTATAGTTAATTATAAGATCAACTTTCTGTTTTATATTTCTGCTTATTGTTATTCGTGAACCATTCCACAGATGAAAGCCTTTAGCATTATCATCGACACTTAAGAATTTCATGACTTAAAATAGTGTAAATGTAATGAAACGTAATCTTAAAAGAAAATGCGTTTTGAAAACTTACATAACACTATTCTTTGGAAAAGTTTAAATTCTTTTGGCGTCACAAAATCTAAATCAACTAGGTATGTTTTAGTGACAGTTTTAGTTCTACAGGCTTCAACCATTATTTCAGTTCTGTTTTCACTGCATCAGATATAGATTCCTTTTGCGATTCAACGATTGAGAACGTCACGAATGATTTTATGAAATGAACGTTTCATACTTGAATGACTTTTGCTCCCGTTTAACGTTGTACACATAACTTTATGATGGGTTGTGTAATATAATTGTGAATAAATTACTTCTAGAAATTAATTTACTTCTAGATGAACTTGAAAGCTTTCACCCAAACTTACTACCAAGCAACTTTGAAATCGAATAGTTTTTTACTCATTTAAATGTCTTGTTCGAGTCTCTCATCACGTTTTTATGTCGAGAAGCACGTTAATTACATTTCCATCAACGCTATTCTTTATCAACGTTAAACATACAAATACTTGTATTCAAATATGTAAATCGAAAAAATTTTCGCCAAAATCCATAGGACTGAAGTGACCTGTCGAGCAAGTAAAAACAGTTTGTATTGCCTTTAGAGTGTTCTTGAGTGCTGGCCTTAAAGATGTCGATGACGATTACATTATAGGATTTCTAATTTTGTGTATTTTTATAAGATTCAACATATTTGTTTATATTATAAAGTTGATCACACAATCATCGTCTATGTTGTAAACCTTGATGGTGAATGTGTTGATTACTAGATCATAATAATATGTAGATAATTTAGCAACTTTTCAGCTTTCTAAATTCAACAGTTAGTTATCCAAAAAGCTCAACAATATTTATTTCTATCATGGGCTTTTTACTAAAACAAATTGAAAAGAAATAATGCTTTTAAACATCGATTTTTTAAAAACTATTGTAATGTGAAACTGTATCCGCCTTTGGTAGGCCTAAATGTAATTTATCATTGAAGCTGGAAAGTGTTGTCATTGTCATTTACCTCTAAAGAACATTGTCAAGAACATTTTAAATAAGGTGATTCAGTAAAGTTGCTCTTTAACTGAGTTTCATGGAAAAGTTTTTCTTCGATACTGTATGAAAACAGTCATGAATTAGATAAAAATTATATANGATCGTATGATGCTCTTAAATAAAATCGAAAATACTACCGCATTGAAAATATTGTCATCAACATCAATCTGGTAGTATTTTCGATTTTATTTAAGAGCATCATACGATCCCGGGACGACAAGACATTGTACCGGTATGAGGTACTAGATTGCCCACACCGACAGCGGGCGGGGTACGAGGATACACTCACACTGATAGTCAGTTGATATCGGATAGCCATCGGGATCGGACACACCGTACACTGGTGTCAGCGCTTCGGGCAAAATTGACAAACTAATCTTCGTTCTCTTTTATGAACATTTCTAATGTGCGTTTTTTAAAGTTTCTCTTAAGCTAAAGCTCTTGCTACAAAAACAGCTGTGTGGTTTTTAGTCCTGAGTGTTTATGTTGCATATGAATTTTTAACCCAATAGCTGATGAAAGCATAGAAGGACATAAATTGCACTGGTGGAATTCTGTAAATATTATATATAAGTATATAGAGAGGCGTTTGGGTTTAGACTGAAGAATTACATTTTTTGACTTTGACACTTAATAAATTTCTATTCCTTTCACCAATAAAAATGAGTCTGTCATCAAAAGTTTCCCAGACTAATAACTAACAATAATCACGCATTACGGAATTTCTATCGTCAACAGTGCGCTCATAATTAGCAAAACGAGATGTAACGGTTAAGACTTATTTGTCACGCCTAAGACGTTTCAATTAAGACAAGCGAAAAAAAGCAACTGAGATGATTTTCACCATCAAATTGAGCAACTTAAATAAATTTTCATGATATTTTAATGTTTTATTTATTATTTTTTGATAGATAAGATATTTAAATAAATAATAAAAAGATA